CAATGCCACCCTTCTCAGACAGGATATACAGAGTATTCTGAGGTGGGGGGAGATAAACAAGGTGGCCTTCGCACCAGAGAAACTTGAGATGATCCATCTTACAAGAAAGCGACACAATGAGGCACCAGCAGTAGTTGTGTCTGAGGACCTCACTGTTCACCCTGTTACTGCCCCAGCTGGACAGGAGCCAGCACTTCGCTGGCTGGGTGTACACTTCGACAGAAGGCTCACCTGGAGACCACATGTCTCCACCCGGGCAAAGAAGGCAAGGGCCGTGGCCCAGCACATCCGGAGTCTGGGAAAGACCAGAGACGGGCCCCCAGCAGACGCTCTGCGGAAGGCGGTCACCACCTGCGTGGTTCCCTCACTGCTCTATGGCACAGAGGCCTGGTACGGCGGCCGCACGCAGCCAGCAAGGCACACGGGCGGGAGTGGGGAGGTTAGCTCCCGCCTGGGATGGCATGTGGGGACAGTTGAGAAGGTGCTTACTATGGCAGCCAGAGGGGTCCTCCCAGTTTTCCGTACAACGCCCATCGCTACCCTATACCGGGATGCTGGGCTCCCATCAGCAATGGTAGCTCTGGAGGAGGCCAAAATTCGATTCGCGACAAGGCTTCAGGTGGTGGATGAGAAGCACCCACTGGCTTCACGGATAGCACCTCCAATGATCACACGAGGAAGAGGGGCTGGAACCCGGCAGCGCTCAAAGACCAAGATCCAGCGGTTGGGGGCGCTGCTACCTGCAGTCAATAGGCCCACACTTGCCATCCCACACTACTCAGAGGGATGCGGGACAGACCCCACAGAGGGTGTAGACAAAAAGAGTGCTGCTCAGGCATTCAAGAAATGGTGGAGAAGTCAACCCTCAACAGATCTATATGTTTTCTCAGATGGATCAGAACGGAGCCTTGACAACAGCAGGCAGGTGGGCTATGGCTTCATAGTCTATCAGGGAAATAAACAGCTGGCCAGCTTCTCAGCTGCGCTGAGCCCTATGTCACATGTCTTCGACGCTGAGGCAGTTGGTGCCTGCCGGGCATTAGAGTGCGCTGTGAAGCTCCTACCTTGTGTCACAGAGGACAGCAGCAACCCTCAGATCTGGCTCTGCCTCGACAACACCTCAGTCATCTGGGGCATACGGGGCAGTGCAGCAGCCTCCTCAAACTGGGCCTACAACCGCTGCCATGAGCTCCTCAGACAGCACAATGTCGGCCTGAAATGGGCTCCTGGGCATATGGGGATAGAGGGCAATGAGGAAGCAGACCGCTTGGCTAAGCGGGCAGTCTCATCCACTGCAGCCCCAGCCTATGGTCTCGAGGCCACACCCACAGTCAGTGGGGTCCGCACAGTGGCCAAGCAGCTCAGCCAAGAGGCAAGGCGAAAGTGGTGGAGTGGAGCCTGTGGCAGGCTCTCTGACTGGTACCGGGGCTGGAGTTTCAGCAGGCCGACTGTGGAATACCAAGTGAAGGCCCCTCCGGAGCTCACCATGCCACGGCATGCCCTTCACCGCTGGCTCGCACTCCGCTCCTCTCATGGGGACTTCTCCTGGTACCACAGGCGTTTCCAGCATGCAGATGCGAGGCTCACCTGTGTCTGTGGACACAACAAGAGCCCAGAACATTTGGTGCTCTGTCGACACTCACAGAGGCACTTTCTTCACTGGCCCAAGAGGCCAGCAGCACGGCCACACAACCGGGCGACAGCTGTTGCCTATCTAGGGTCTCTGACCCCTACAGACTTTGTAGAACTGCTGGACTTCACGCAGTTCTACACACGGTACTGCACAAGGTAACGCAGCCGGCTGGCTGCAAACCATCTGACAACCCCCGCAGCAGTTCCACGAGGCCGGCCTGCTGAGTACACCCACGGTAGCTAGTGCAACTGCCAGGGACATCACAGTCTATGCAGACAGTACAGATAGCACAACTAGGCTCATCTGTCTCAATTAGCTGTGGTGTAATCAGTACAGTCTACGTGTCTGACTCAGCTGATATGGTTTTGACTGCCGGCATTGTATCTACGCGTGCTCTGCTTTGTTTTCCTCTCGTTTGCCCTTGTCTCTATCGGCTCAAATGCTTCTTCTTCCTTCTTTTCTTTGCTCTCTCTGTCATTCTCTGCTCTTTTCCTGTCACAACCTTCTTCAGTGCTCTCTCCTTCATTATTTATCTTGTCTGTCTTTCTTCTGATGTTAGAAGCACAGACAGCTTTCTGATCAACTGAGAGAGGTATCCCTCTCTGCTCACTATAAAGCCTTCCAGGCACGGCAGCGGCGGTCCCCTCAGGGAACCACACTATAGCCCCACCATGAATGGCCATACGTCGGGCCAGAAGTGGATGCGCAGCTCAGAAAAATCCTTTGCAATGAGCTGAGTCTTCTCAAGAGTTGCCACCTGGATTCTGTTTTCTCTCTCTGTGTACATAGAAATCTCTCCAGCGTAGCACGTCTCCATGCCCTTCGGGAGGCTTCTGAAACACGGGCGCTGCCCGTGTTTTCTCCGGGACGTTAAACCTATACATACATACATACATAAACTGTCAATCTGCTCAATATTGATTTATGGAATTCATACACTCTATTCTCTCTTTATATCTCAGAGTCTGATATTCAGAATATTGCCTGTTTCATCAATGTCTATGCAAAGATTCAGATATTAAAGAACTCAATCATCAATTTTCAGAATTGACAGTCAACCACTTCTGCAGAAATCAAAATATTTCTTAAACAAATTATCTATATAAAAGTATATAAATCTTCAACAATTGGAGATTATTGAAATAAAAATGATGCTCAGAAACCACTTCATTTATTAAAATTTTATATGAAATAAAACTAATTTCAGCAGCTTAAAAGATATATTCATATATTCAATTTTTACAGACTGAAATTTTTCTTCATCCAAAAGCTAGAGTCTTTATACTTCAACTTTCATACAATATATCAGAAATACTACAACTCAGATTCAAATCTTTTCATTGATGAGATGATGATTCAATTTTTTGAACAGTTCAAATATACAGTTAAAATGCCTCAGATGTAGCGTACGCGGCTACATAAAGGTCAAATTATAAGTATAAACACGTTTGATTCTCTAAAAGATGGGAGATGGGCGTACGCCCCTATATATATACAGTGATTGTTTATAGAGATCAACTCTCATAGAAGGAGCGATCGCATACAAGGGGAAGAACAGAGGCTCTATAGAGAAGGTAGGAGTGGAAGCTCTCTGTAGAGAAGGTAGAAGCGGAAGCTCCGGGAAGCAGCAAGGAGTGGAGCGGAAGCCAGAGGTGGATAGAGGGCGTAAGTACGCCATATCAGAAGTCAATTAAACGGAGATATAAAATTTTTAAATTAGAAGAATAAAGTTATTTTTAAATCTTTCCCATGTCTCATAATAATCTCTGCATAAATATAATGTTTCATATTTCAGAATTAATCAAGACTGAATCTCTTATAATGAAATTGATTGAATGATTGTCAGTATTTTTACAAAGGTCTGAGCAGCAGAGCTTCTTGCAGCACTCTGAACAGTATATGAAATTGAATAACAGTAAAGAGATTGCTGATTATTCAATTTATATGAACAACTACTTCACCTCTGTTGCTCTATTTCATTATCTTTAAAAGCAAGGAATTGAAACTTGTGAAATCACTCATTCTATCAATCTACCTCCTCTTCTACAAGAATTGAAGAACTCTGAATTATTCACTCATATTCTCTTCAATATTCTGTGTATTATCTCTCAAAATGAAGTCCTTTGTTTTACATGGAAGGACAATAATATGGTTTTACTACTGTCTACAGTTTAAAAATCAGACAGTTTCATTGAATGTATTTGAAAACATTCTGAAATCAATTCCATCAATGGCTTACAGATTCAACATCTATTTAATGATAAATGTAAAACACTCATATACACTCATTTATTATTTTCTTATTATTATATTATCTTTGTTTATATCTTTGTCTATTCTTGCCCCTTTTCATTATACTCTTGCTACCGCTATTTCTATATATATATACAAATGTATGTATTTTGCACATCTTCTTTCTCTTTCTTTTCCTTCTTAGTGATTAGCTACAACGATACTACTACTATAATTACTATTGCTATTATCTTCCATTACGCTATATACTATCTTCTACTATTCACTCTTCATACTGTCATCACCCCTCACAATAAGTATGAACAAATTATGAATATTTCTATCATTATTAATGATTACAATCATAATATGAATGGAATTGATCTAGCAAATCAGTATAGAGCTTTCTATGAGACTCAGATGCTCACTAATCACATATGATTGTCAATTCTATACTGGATTATTGATCATGCAATTGTCAATGTTTATATTCTTCATTGATTGATTACTGCTGCTTCAGACTTTACTGCTGCTTCAGGCTCTATTGCTGCTTCAGACTCTGCTGCTGTGGGCTCTGACTCTACTACTCTATCTCATATTCAATTCCACCAGCAGCTCTATCTTCAACTCCTTGAATTCTCAAGCTTTTTACCTTCTACTCAATCAAACCCAGATATAAATCACCATTGAATTTCTCTGTCAGAACTTTGAGCTTGTGCCTGATGTCAGTATAAAAGAAAGAGAGCAGAGCAGAATAAGAGTAGAGCTTCAAAATCAAGATATGGTTGTGCTGCATGTAATAATATTCCTCTCTGTCTGAAAAGCCGGTGTTGGCAGGAGTTCCATTCTATATCTTAATTAGGGCTAGATCAAATAGATTACATAGATTACACAAAAACACGCTAATACAGCCGATCTATCATATAATCCAGTAGATTTCGCGTTTTAATACACCAACATACACGCTAAAAAACGGCGCTAATTGTGCCTCGCGGCCAGACGAGGGGATAGAAGTAATTTTCATTGGCTCCGTTTTTGAAGATTAAATTGCAAAACGCCAGGTCTTTTCTCACTTCTCACTTCAAAGACGCTTGGTTCTATAAAATCTCCCTACAGATAGCGGGAAATATCGGATTCAATGCCTCCAGATGCGAACCGCCTTATCCCTCCCACCACTGCCCACTTTCTCTCCATCTGGACTCCAATCAACAGCGTAAACTTCATCTAAGTGACCTGGTAAATCCATGAACAGTTTACCGGTGCGGACATCCCAAACTTTCAGTGTGGTATCTTTAGAGGATGAAACGAGGAGGCGTGAATCGGCTGAGAAGCAGCATTGATATACAGCGCCCACGTGTCCACGAAGGGAGGATATGAATCTATTGACGTTAGTTAGAGAAATGAATATGATTGTAGCCCCCAAGGTTGGTTTGTCTGATAGAGAGATCAAAATTCTAAGTTTCTTTAACCTACTTTCCATCCCGAGCATTCCACAGCTTAACATGGTTATCAAAGCTGGCAGAGGCAATGTACGCCCCATCTGGAGAAAATGTGACATGATTTACTTCTTTCTGGTGGCCCAACAGGCGTGCAACGGGCTTATTCGACGTCGCGGGGTCCCATAGAAACATTGTAAAATCATCACTGGCGGAGACAAATCGTTCAGTAATTTTATTATTTACCATTGCTGCTTTTTCAAACCGACGCTTGGCGATTGAGATTTTAGCCTCGTCAGTCTCGGGAACCTTTTCGTTGTGTTCGAAAAAGCAAGTTCGGAGGACAAAGTCTGTAGATAACGCTAGATGGTTCACGCGGTGTGAGTGCGAAGAGAGCGTCTGGAGCAAGCTGCCGTCTACCGGATTCCAAATTTTAATTGTTTTATCATGGGACGAGGTGTATATGCGCCCAATCCCGCCCCATCGAACACAGGTGACGGACCCCTTATGCCCAGTGAGCACCGTGTCGATACGCTTCGACACCACATCCCAAATTCTCACAGTGCTGTCTTTGGAGGCGGATGCGAGTCTTGGAAGTCCCGGCCTTTGTAAATGGTACGGCTCCCATGCCAGGCTCATGATCCATTTCGTATGTCCCTTCAGCGGTCCACCAAGAGCTTCACCTGTTTTCGGATTCCACAGCCGGACGGTATTATCCATGCTCCCTGTCGCTATTATCTGCTCGTTCGGCGACCAACTGACGGCGAGAACCCAGCTTTTGTGTCCCTTCAAGGTGTGTAGCGGAGTTCCCGTATCGCAGTCCCATATCCGCGCTGTTGAGTCCCCACTTCCAGTGACCATGCGTGATGACGAAGCTGGGGAGAATGCTGTCGCTAAAATTGCCTCTCCATGTCCTGATATTGACGCGGAACACCTCGATACAGCTTTTACTCGGAAGACGGCCTGTGGCGTATAGTGGAGATGGACTGTATCTTCGGGCGTTTTCAGTCCTGGTTTGAGGAGCGAATGATAGAGGTCTGATAGTATGTCGACAACCTCTCCATTGTCTTCTGTTGGGTTATATGCGAATCGATAAGGGACTCTTTCGTCATCATCCTGTTTATTGGGATGGATTAGCTCCCCTTGTTTCCCTATATATGACATTCCCCTGAAGATGAGCATACCTACATTCCCTTGTAACGTGTTCACGAGTGTTTCAAGGTTCCTAACAGATGCGTCTGCAATTGGAACAGATACTGGGGGCCCGGTAGTTTTTCCCGTTGTCTGGTCGAAGAATTGTACTCGAATACTGCCTAGGTTAGAAGGGATTGTTTGGATTTCCTGCTGCAACCGCGCTTTCTCCGCAGTTTCCCGCTTCTGGCGCTTGCTGGGAGGAGGAAGCACTGTCGCCATGGTGCAGGATTTTAAGTATTACTGAAATTGTCGTTGTGAGCTGCCTTGGGGGAAATATTCCAAAATTGAGCTTCAAAAAAAAAATAATAATTTTGATAAGAATGATTAAGCACTTATATGAAAAGTAATTTCACACTAAGACGAAAATGGAATAGTATATCGCCTCCCCCTTTCCAAGCCTCAACTTCCAACAACCTCTTTGTATCCAACGACTACATTCACAATGTAAAAAATGTTCGTCACGTATATACCCAGCAGACATTGAGCGGCAGTTATTATATCTGAGCCAATTCTGTTATGGACCTGTAGCTGCGTCCAACCACGTCTCTCTGGGATCCCAATTTGTTGAGGATGCCTTCAACCCGTTGCTCAACCAATACTTCATATTTCCCAAGTCACGGCAATGTCCTTGCTCGACGGCCTACAACAGACCAATCAAGCTCTGGATACCCCAGGACAGCGAGGCCAACAACAGCGGGAACAAGTGTTGCCTCTCAGGAAATTATTTGTGCCATTAGTGAATCCCGCGGAATATCTCCTACAGTTGGCCTGGCCTTTGTCAATTTTTCCACATCAGAGGCCGTCTTGTGCCAGATATGCGACAGCCAAACTTACGCCCGAACCATCCATAAATTGGCTGTATTTGATCCAACGGAAATTCTCTTTATGAAAACTGCTAAAGAACCACGATCAAAGCTTTATTCCATCGTGGAGGAGAATTTACCTCAATTGACTGTTACTTCCGTCGATAGACGGCTCTGGGCGGAAAGCGCTGGCCATGAATATGTCGAGCAGCTTGCGTTTAGAGAAGACCTTGAGTCTATCAAGATCTCTCTTGAAGGAAACTATTTCGCGACATGCTGCCTCGCTGCGGTATGTTTGCTGTATTCAAACGTGTCTGATTGGTCTGACTCACTGCTGTTTGTTCTAACATGCTCTGACATGAGCATTCAAGGCACTCACTTATATTGAGACGGAGTTCTCCAAAACTTTTTCTCACCATTCCCTTCGCATCAAATATGAACCGTCTGAGGGTTCAATGTTGATTGATCTGTCAACGATCGTCTCGTTAGAATTGATCCAAAATCTTCAGAATTCTAAATCTCGGGATTGCCTTTTCGGAGTACTCAACGAAACTCTTACCCCAATGGGCTCTAGGCTCCTCCGCAGTAATGTTCTGCAACCCTCCACAGAACAGGCCAAGCTTCTAGCTAGGTATAACGCTGTTGAGGAACTTAGCATGAAGGAGGAAATGTTTTACTCTGTTCGGCAGGGTTTGTGATCAAGAGTTTCCTACGGCGTACAGTGCTAACATAGTGTTTCCAGCTCTCAAGTCTTTCGTTGATTCGGACAAAGTCCTCACCTCTGTAAGTTGCTGTGGTTATAGCGTTGCTTTTTGTCGAAACTAATTATTTTTAGCTAATTGTAATTCCGACGAAAGTAACATTTCAGCATGCGGAGCAATCAATCAATAACGTCATCATGCTCAAAACCTACGTTAACGCGATTAAACCTATATATCAAGCGTTATCGCGCGCCCAGAGCACCCTTTTGTTAGCAATCCGCAATGTTCGTTATATTTTGTCAATGTTTTTTGTGTCGCAGGCTGACACGATCTAGCTGTGTGCGCCCCAAGAGTACAATACGATCACAGAGATGATCAATTCCACACTGAATGAAGATGTCACATATCAATCACGGCCATTAGATTTGCGAAATCAGCGCACCTACGCAGTTAAAGCAAGCTTCCCCTCCCCTCTGAAACCGTCCAATGAGGATATACTACTAATCTGTGCAGGCTGGAATTAACACCCTTCTCGACGTTGCAAGACAGACATACAAAGAGGCAAATAACGATGTTGTTGAGTTGGCTTCGCGATTAGGAGGTAATTTACAAATAGCAACCCCAATTTTGGTGACCACAACCTAATTCAAATTTAGATGAATACGACTTGGCCCTTGACTTGAGGTTCGAAACAGGTCGACAGTATTATTTTCGATTATCTGTTTCGATCCTGGACAACAATCCACTACCCGATGTTTTCATTAATATCTTCAAGAGGAAAACGTACATCGAGTTCCAAACTCTGGATCTTGTTAAGTTGAACCAAAAAATTACCGATTCTCACAATGAGGTAATCAACATGAGCGATCGAACAATTCAAGAATTGATAGAGGACATCCGATCACAAATAGCCGGGCTTTTTCGTGTAAGCGAAAGTATCGCCATACTAGATATGCTTGTAGCCTTCGCACATCTTGTAACTATCCAGGATTATGTTCGGCCAGAGCTCACAGATACCTTAGCAATCAAAGCTGGTAGGCACCCTATTCGCGAAAAGATACATTCGGACAAGTACGTACCCAATGATGCATACGCCACCCAACAATCGCGGTTTCAGATTATCACCGGCTGCAATATGAGCGGCAAAAGCACGTACATTCGATCTCTGGCTTTGATGACTATCATGGCCCAGATCGGCTGTTTTGTTCCTGCGCAGTATGCGTCGTTCCCAATAGTGCATCAGCTTTTCGCACGAGTATCGACAGACGACAATGTCGAAGCCAACGTTTCTACATTTTCCGCCGAGATGCGTGAAATGTCTTTCATTCTTCGCAATATAGAACCAAAGAGCATGGTTATTATCGACGAACTCGGTCGCGGTACTAGCACCAATGACGGTCTCGCCATTGCTATCGCGATCGCCGAAGCGCTTATCGAAAGCCACGCGCTAGTGTGGTTCACTACCCATTTCCATGATCTAGCCAAGATCATGTCAGAGAGGAATGGTGTTGTCAATCTGCACCTTGCCGTCGAGATGTCGCCGTCTACTTCAAAAATGACAATGCTTTATAAAATCTCGGACGGATTTGTAAAGGACAAACATTATGGTCTCTTCCTCGCGAAACTTCTTCCGTTCCCCCAGCCCATGCTGCACAAGGCTCAAGCGGTTTCAGAAGCACTGAGTTTGAAAATCGAAAATCAACGGAAACATTCGAAAACCCTCGCCATTGCGAAACGGAGAAAGCTCATTCTAGATCTTAAAGAGCAACTGCTGCAAGCTAGAGAGGGGGCGTTGAAGGGCGAGCCGCTCAGAATCTGGCTGAAGAAATTACAGTATGAATTCACGTTGCGAATGGTAGCCCTCGATGCGGAAGTTGACAGGGCAGATGATGATCTTATGGATGTGGATGAAAGTCGGAGTATACAACCGTCAGTGTCTTTTGACCTTGATCCCGAAGCGATTATTCCAACAGAATCTAAGCCCATGACTAATGTTACGACCCCATCTGCCCGACCGTCTCATTTTTCATCACAGCTAGAGAAATCTCCTTCAATTCCATGGTCTCCATCCGTCATGGAATGATACTCCGTTGCCTCCGAGGAATTAGCACTGTCATCTTTTATAAAATTATCAAGAATTTATGCTCGAAGAGTGTGGAAGATCCCTCCATTTCTAATAGCGTGATTTAGCCTGTCTTTATGAGATTATACTCTTCATTTATTAATTTTCTATCACCCTCACAATTATCAGATATTGACGAAGCCCTCGTGCATATACACGTTAATTTGTTCTAAAATTACGAGATATACGCATTCATTATATTTGTATTTTAGCGACCCAATAAACCCTATTCGTTTACGTTCAATTAGCTGTTTATTTCTACTAATCAAAATGGTATGTGTGGTAACATGTCGATTCAATTCCCACTTATACATTGCCGCTGATCAGCATATATATACATAATAGCTATATAATATCTTCACCTCTACCTCTATCAGTGAAAACCCATCCACTCCCCGGCTCTCAGCCCCGTACATTGCCATTGTCCTATTGTGGAAGGTGTAAAGCTTGCTTGATTGAAGGATTGCTAGCTCCGTGGCAAGTTATATGGTGGAAGGATTACTAAGCCAGGGCAGTTGACCTGACACCCCCACTCACCATAGTAACTATACACAATGCTACATACAAAATTTGCCTTCAAATCAAGTACAGGTACAAAGACAACTGGAAAAACGAAGTAGTTAAAAAAAAAAAACCCAGCCATCAAATCCATCAATTTTTACCCCCCTATCCCTTCATCTTAATAATCTCCTTCCAACGCGTATATTTCAACATTCCGAGCGGCTTGGTTAACCCGTCTGCCGCGTTCTCGGCGGATGGGACGTACCGGACCGATATCTCATTCTTGCGGACGAGATCCCGAAGGATATGGAATCGGACCTCTATATGCTTCGATCGGCGCGGAATCGCTTCGGAAGAGGATAGCTCGATGGCAGACTTGTTATCGGCATGAATCGTATAAGCAAGGCCATTCGCCGGAGGTGGGTTGGGGTGATCGTCGGCATCCAGATTATTGAGGCGGGACGGCACGAAACCGGCATCTTCTAGGAGCTCCCGTAGGCAGACGAGCTCATATGCGGCTTCGGAGGATGCGATATATTCGGCCTCGGTTGATGATTTGGAGACCCCTGTCTGCCGGCAGCTTCGCCAGGCGACGGGGCCCCCCGCCATATATATGATGTAGCCGGTAGTTGAGCGGGATCCCGGATCCCTACCGGCCCAATCGGCATCGGCGTACGCCACGGGTTCGATATCGGCGTCTTTGTAGTAGGTTAAAATAGCCGCATTAATCGTGCCCTGCAAGTAGCGGAGCGTACGTTTGAAAGCGGCCCAATTCTTCGAGGTAGGGCGGGCGCTGAATCGGCCTAGAAAGCCTGCTGCAAAGCTAACGTCAGGACGTGTATTGGTCGCAAGGTATTGCAGGGATCCAATGCCTGACTGATAGGAGCGTAGGGTAAATTCCGCCGTATAAGCGACCGGTTCCTCATTGTCATTCATGAAATCAACGTTCTCCTCTATGGGAGTAGACGTAGGGTGGCAGTCATCCATAGCGAATTCCTCCAGAAGATTCGTAATAAATAGGGGTTGGGACAACGTAAGGGAGGTCGAATCCCGCTCAATCTTCATGCCCAAATATCGGTTCGAATCGCCCACATCCTTGATTTCGTAATTAGCGGCGATTGCGGCCTTGGCCCAGTTGAGATCTTCGATCTTCGGGCCGTATAGGCGTACGTCATCCACGTATACAGTCATATAGACCTTTCTCGCGTCATGAATGAACAGTCCAGCATCGTAAGGACTGACACGGAAGCCTGACTGCAATAGCATTCTTCGCAGTTCCTCATACCATAAAAGCGCTGCTTGCTTAAGACCGTAGAGTCCCTGCATTAATTCGCAAACAAGATCGCCACGACCTTCACGGAAGCCCGTAGGCTGGCTCATATATATCCGTTCGTCGGCCGGCAGTTGGGCGTTCAAGAACGCAGTTACCATATCGATTTGCAGAACGTGCCACCCTCAAGATGCCGAGATTGCCATGAGAGCTCGGGACGTGGAGGCGGAAACGACGGGTGCAAAGGTCTTCGAATAGTTGACACCCTTTTGTTGATAATTGCCGCAGACCACCCAGCGGGCCTTATAGCGGACGACTTTACCCAAATTATTGAACTTCTTGTCGAACACCCATTGGCCCCGAAGGACTGCCATATTAGGGGTTCTTTCAATTAATCGCCAGGCCCCAATTTGCTTTAAGCGATTAACCTCTTTAACGCAGGCCTTATAGTAGAACTTCCACTCAGGGGAAGCCTTAGCGCGCGTGAGATTCTTCGGAATCGGCAACCCATATATCTCGGGATCGGAAGGCAGATCATCGGAACCGTCCCCCACTGAAGATTCCCCCACTGAATCGTTATTCCCTGTAATTGTCGGGGTATCCTCAATCTCAATAGGAGGGCTAGGGGAAATCGGTGTATTCTGCACCAAAAAGGTCGGTATTCTCGCTGATATTTCATAGTCTATCCACCAATTATTGGTGGGAACTAGGAATAGCGGACGGAGGGGTTGGACTTCTTCATCGATGAATAGGTCATTAACTGAAGGAATCGGGCCAGGAGTCGGCGAAGGAATCGGCGAAGGAATCGCTGCAGCCGCCTGACGGGCCGCCGTGGGTAGGGTCTTCGGGTGCCCAGTGGCTGGGGCCGACGGATCCATAAGGTGAAGATCCTCCTGGAAAATGACGTCTTTGGATATATATAGACGCCCATTGGAAGGGTCAACCAACCTGTAATTGGTAAAGCCATCGTAACCTACAAAAATTAGCTCTAATGAGCGGGAAGCCATCTTATTCGTGGGCTTAGGGACTATTTTCAGGAACGCCTTGCAACCCCAACGGCGGATTCCACGGGCCGACGGGAGCGCTCCAAGCCATGCCTCATATGGGGTAATCGGCTTCATATTTTCGGGACCGCCATATAGAATCGTGGAGGTCGGCATAAGATTGAGCAGCTCCGTGGCCGCAATAACCGCCTCACCCCACATCTTTTCGGGAGCGGAAGAGTCTATTAATAGCGATCGGGCTTTTTCAATAATTAACCCGATCGAACGTTCGGATACCCCATCTTGTTGTGGAGTATGGGGGGGAGTGGGTTCCCACTTAATCCCCTCGCTAAGCATATATGCCGTAGCCGCGTTCGAATTCAATTCGCCGCGATCGGAGTGTATAATCGCGATGCCACGGCCCAGCAGGTTCTTGATGAATTGGTTGAAGATTCGTAAATATTTCAACGTCTCATCCTTGCGTTCCAGTAGGAAAATCCATCTCATTCGCGTTGCGTCGTCTGTAATGACCATGGCAAGTTTCTTGCCGGCGTAGGAGGATATGTCATTTTCGGTTCCTAGGGTCTCACCTCCGCCGAAAATATCCACCCAAATCTTAAGAGCTTTGCGAGTGGCACGGCGTGGTGCGGAATTCTTATACGTAGCGCGCCTCTGCTTGGCTTTGACGCACGTGGCGCAGAATGACAACTTCTTCGGGCCGATAATGGCAATTCCGAAGCGAGGGTCCCTGGCCATCTTCAATATATTATTTTCGCCGATATGGCCCAATCTACGGTGCCATTCATCAAACGGCAGTTGCTTCGGGACCACGGCAGGGAGTCGGTTAGGTGGGGATATGACGAAGGAATCCGTATCCGGATCCTTGGGGTTAATCAATTGCTCAACCTCCTCACGGTTGAACGGCCCTAGGGACCCTGCGTTCGGATCATAATCCGTTGAAATTGTCTTTGGTTTCGGAACAGCCACGTACGCGACCGCCCCATATTCTTGGTCATTCATAACGCCGTCAAACGTCGGAGGACTGTCGGATAGGATGTAAATATTATTGCGGGAAAGGTTGGCATAGAACACGTCATTGCCAGTAGGGGACAGGAACTCAAAATAATTTCCAGCGTCAACGTGCATATCACGGCGAATATAGCCCTGCCGTTCCATAAGCCCAGCGGAGATGAGGTTAGCTGACAGTCCTGGCACGTAGTATACGTGATTGAATTCAATCAACCTCTCGCCGACTGGGATGGACGCCATGCCGACGCCTTGGACCTTCAGAACGGCCTTGTTGGCCACCTGGACCGTAGGACCGTCGATCGTAAAAAGCATTGAAAATCGTGATCTATCGCTCGCGATATGGCAGCCAGCGCCGCTATCCCATATGGTTAGGGGATCCTTGTGGGGTTCCACAAAGCAGGCCGGCACATTTATAACCTTTGCAAGGTTCGCCATCTGAAAGGACTCTGACCCGTCCGTAATCACTAACTGGGTCTTGCCCCCACTATTGTCCTTATCCTTCTTCGCCTTCTCCTTCTCTTTGAACTCCTTTAACTTAGTAGCATTATTGGCCTTCCAATCATCGGGCGCCTGGTCGGGATTCGTAAACCAACAGACAGTGCCGAAGTGGGATCTATTGCACTCGGAGCAGGTCGGCGGATTGCCAGCTCCACCACGGCCACTGCCGCGGGAGCCGCCACGACCGCGTCCGGAACGACCTCCACGGGCCGAGTTAGATGTATTCGCGCTATTATTGTTCGCGGAATCGGCAGCTGCTGTGGCCCCCGATTGGGCAGCGTTGGCAGCTGTATTCACCGATTGTGCGGGCTTTTTATCTTTTGGAGGGTCCAATTGAGATCGGATCTCCTCCATGAGAAGGTGAACGTCCAATACAACCGGGGTCGATTTGGACTCTTGGGCCTCCTCAATCTTCTTCTGTACATAACCCCTCCAAACGTTCGGAAGGGCGGAATAGAATATGTCAAATACCCACGCGTCAGGCGGGTGAGCATCCATCATTTCCAACTTCATGATCGCGGCACGGAACTTATCAAAGAAACTGTGCACGTTAGTGACCTGAGTGCCACCAAGCGATGTGAATTCTAGGACTGCCTCTCGGCGGAGCTGGGTCTTGGGGATAGAGTATTCCTCCTCAATTGCCCGCCAGAGGGTGTAAGCAATCCTATTCTCATCATTTTTTATGAAACGTGGCCTGACGTTCGCACCCAAAGAGTTCGAAATGAACGCGTAGGTCCAACGGTTTCGGGCGTCCCAAAAGGGAGCCCATTCGGGGTCCTGCAGGGGGTTCTGAACCTGCTGCTTTTCTATTATACCCCAGCACTGCGCGTCAACCAGCTTGGTCTTCATTGACGCGTTCCATGTGAGGAAATTTGACGTGCCGGTCAGAGCGTTCGGCTTGGTCATTGATTTTACATCTTCTTTAAATTGGGCGATTGCCTTGCCGACACGGCTGTCCGGATCATAGAGGTTATACTCCAATCTTTCACCAAGATCCGGGTCCCATGTGTGCGTTCGGGCTGTAGGAGTAGTCGGTGTATTATTATCAGCATTCTGAGGGTTATTCGCGGCTCTGCGAGCACGCATTTCTTCTAGTTTTAACTCGATTTCCAGAGCCTTCCGTTTTTCCTCCATGATCTTACGCCTCTCCTTCTCCATCTCAAAGGTCATCATGAGGCGTTGCAATTGCACGTCCGACAAGACCTCGTCGGAAAGCAAGGCCTCAGAACGTCGAGCCGCCTCATCATGATGAGAACCAGCCTCACTGAGCTGTCGGGTGGTTCGGGTAGATTGGGTAGGTTGGGTAGGTCGGGCCGCAGGCCTGACTGTGTCAGGAGCTGTATTCAATCCAGCTTCGAATCGGAACGGCGTTTCAGGAGGATCGGGCTCATTAATAGAGCTCTCAAATGCTCCTGGCGGGCGATCGTGAGCAGAGCTTGGGCGTGGGGGAATATCATCATCCGCCACTACTGAGCCAGAGGGCAGGACGCGAGAATGCGAGCGGGTATGAGGGCGAGATCTAGATCGATCCGCCATACTCCGTATTGATTTTCAAATAAAGGCACCTTGGATCAGATCCTTGCCAATATAAGCTTTCGTGGCGTTCTATTCGCCAATCGGAGGTTTAATTTCCAACGTGGTGCGTTCCACCCTGCAAGCTTGTTTTCTAAGCGAGCAGCGGCGTAGAATCAAAACAAGATCTTCAGAACGCGCCGATTTGGATAGAATAAGACGATTTTAACGCCGAAAGGGGCGTATCGAATGAAGCAATATTAAATAGGGATTAAATCGGCAAGGAATCCCCGAATTGGCAGCGTAGTGCGCAAAACGGGCCTCATAACCTGTGGAAGGTGTAAAGCTTGCTTGATTGAAGGATTGCTAGCTACGTGGCAAGTTATATGGTGGAAGGATTACTAAGCCAGGGCAGTTGACCTGACACCTATTTCATCGGGACACAGAAACATTCGTTCACGCTACGGGGGCGTATTGACATTATATCCGCCCAAAATAGTGTTACAAGTAGAGGCGAACGAAATGAGCCGCGGCACAGAAAGGAACATCCCTCTCCTGCTGGCCGGGGTTGGCTTGACGCACTTTTTTTTCGTCTCTGTTTGAGCGCGGGTTAAAAACAAATCTACTTACGATAATAGCATAATTACTTACATTATAGTAAATAAATGAAACTGACAATGGCTGCTACTCACCTTGGTTTAAGTAGGATATGGCCTGTCATTGAGAAAAGCGCGGCTACGAGTTCAGAGGTAATTGTGTTTTTGTCTCCTTTCAAACAGTGATTCCATAAGGATGGAGGTGGAAGGCGGCAACAATATCTCGCCATCGGTCCTCAGGGACTCTAAAAGTCAAATGCTGCCTCAGTTCATTTTTGTTTACTTGTGCTGAGATGTATTCCCCATCTGGGTATTTAAAAAATAAAGTATTGAACCGTAGTAGAGTTGAGATCCTCCACAGAACTTCAGCTTACATTGGATTGGTGCAACATTACGGAGGGATGAATAAAACATGCAGGCCGTACACGCACACGCACACTGCCCTTCCCTTCGCCAAAATAAAGATACAGATCAAGAATTGTTTCTGATTATGTAAAGATCGACCGGAGATGGACACATCCCCAGGTGCTATATAAATTTCGAAGCAAAATCAAGCTTGGAAGCGATCAATGGGAAGAATATTGTTGTCCCCCACATCTCACCACGCCGTTGTGCATACCAGGGCTCATTCTCCTACCCAAAATGATATAGCACTTGCTTCCCTTTCTTCCCTTTTCGATTCTTGCCACCTCCTTCCCCACCATCACCCGTTTCTCCTTCACTTACAGCCTCCGCAGGAGTAGGATTAACCCCTCCCCTGCCCCATGGAGAAGGTGCCGCATTGCCTGACGATGTACCACCCCATCGAACCGTACCACGCGTCAGTCCCGCCATGAGGGTGTTGGGTTTCGGAGCGGCAGGGAGCGCTGGAAAGGCGTCCGCGTTAGTGCCTCGTGTGAAGGGAGCTGCGGGCGTGGCAGATTTGGGGCCACTTGATAGAGACGGGCGGGAGGGGGCCGGTGAACTCCCTGCTGAACGAGATGGAGGGGTTACAGTCGACCAAGGTGATGCTGATGTACGTGCGTTCCTACCGCCAGTGGGTCCTCCAAGGGGCGGAAATGGATTACTGCTGGTGCTGATGCCGTTTGATGTTCCTAAGAGGCTTCCGCTGCGCCCGACAGCCGAGCGCGAGGATTGCGCCGTCGACGACTTTAGGCGTAGCACGCGTTTTCCACCGCCGCTGGTACTTGGACTGGTATTTGATAGTACCCCGTTGGGCCCGGGTAGGGCGGGGTAGTCTTCATTTATGGCGCGCCAGTCATTCCAAGCTTTGAGAAGGGCAGTGCGTTTTGAGTTGTCGTCGTAGAGTTCGGCAAGCTCCTTTATTAGAGTGCCTAGTTCGCTAGATGAAGCGTCGAAAAGTGAGAAGAAGGATTCTATCAGGTAGGGGGCGTTGATAGCACCAGTGCGGTAGGAAGACACTTTGTTGCGGAATTCGGATACTTTGAGTGAGTCATTGCGCAGGAGAGATGTCGCACGGGCCATCACAGCGCCATGTGCAGTTTTGCGGGCTTGTTCCTGGGGAGTAGAGGGTGTCACATTGGGACGGCCAAGGTCTAGCGCTTCGAAAGCGGGAGGAAGAGTCGCTGGGGTAGTGGAGGGAGGGGGAGCAGCTGATTGAGGTGGCACGCAAACTGTCTGAGCCCCGCTGGGTGTGAGCTGGCCGCCGAATGTCCTGCTAGTGACAGATTGAGCGCTTTGAATGGCGATTTGTCTTTGGTAAGCCAGCTCATCCCGTCTCAAAGGTTGCGCGCTGGATACAGGGAGAGTTTCTGCATTAGGATCGCGTCCTCTTCCTGCACCTCTTCCCTCTCTTCCACCCCGCTGTGGTTGGTAGGGAGTTCTGTAGTCGAAAGTGGATAAATCAACTGTTCTTGCATCTCTCCTTGCATCCTTGGAGAGCCCCGCTGGATGGCACTCTAATTGGTGGGCCTTTAAATCCAATTGTGATTCAAAGACTACAAACTTCTTCTCCAAGCACTCCTTGTCAAGGCAGAGGAAGTGGTCCTTGCTGAAATGGTCCTCGAGGGAATTGTAGTTGATATAATACTGGTGCTGCCGGGATCCATTGCGTCGGTCACAGATATGGCATCGCTCATGCTTATCTCGACAGTGCGTGTAAAGTTCATCATCCCCATAGAACCTCTGTCGGCAAAATCCGCACTCTGGATGACCTTTGAAACCGCTTTGATCAATAGCGCCAGGGATATCGTCTCCGTATTTCTCATGCTTCCGCAGTTGGGTCATCGAAAAGAGCTCATGTTCATGAGTAAACACCTTCTTATTCCGAGTACATAAATCACTATTTTCCCGTTAGCAACGACATTAAAATCATTGAAAGGTAACCAATCGAGCAGAGTGAAACCTGTGCATACCACATAACCTTGTGATGCTGGCTCTTTACATGGCGATGTAGGTCTGGCCATCCCAGACATGCGACATCGCACTCCGTATCCGGGCAGTTATACCTCAGGAGCAAAACCGTGTCTTCAAAAATATCGTTTGTTTCATATTTAATTCCCAAGTTGTCGTCCGTACGGATGAAGTCATTGTCTCTGAAATCTTCGAATTTCTTTACCAGATCATCGGTAAAAATTACGAACGGCCACTCAGTCTATTCAACATGTGACGTAACAGATGGAAGCAGATGTACGTTAGCACTCGGCATTCCCTAATTATCGCAATTGATTCTCCAAGACAGAGGAAATTGAATGATGTAAAAACATACCCGACAGTGCGCGCAAGCCTTAGTTTTATACAGGGCCCTTAATCGCAACGCACAAATATGGCATGTCCGATGGTTACAAGGCGCAACGGCAGTATGGTCGATACTGGACGCACAGATAAAGCACACTTCGCCGGTATCCGCCTCCTCATCCATCGCGGCAGCTGCGGTCACAGCCGCGCCCTCGCCCTCAGTACGTTTGGCATCTCCGGCCAGGCGATCACCGGAGGTGCCTCCACTCCGAGGGGTTGAGCCGGGTGGTTCGCCGTAGTCCCCATCTGTGAATTGGCCCGACCGAATCGTAGAGTGACTTTCTGATTGTGGTCTTGTTTGCCTTCTTCCATCCGGTGCCCCCTCTCGTGCACCCCGCGAACCTCTGCCTCCTCCGCCTCTGCCGCCTCTGCCACCGCTCTTTTCGCGGCGCTGATGGGTATCTGTATGCACGTTGGCTGATGCGCCGCCACGTTGTCTCCGATTGCCTCTGGTAGGGTTCTGGTCTCGTTGTGGAGGAGAAGTATGGGGAGTATTACGGGATATATCAGCCATATTTAGTAATCGAGATTGTTGTTCAATTCACTTGGAAATGAGGGGAATTTCTGCAGGCACTTGTTTGCGGGGAACACTTTGGTGGTTTGTGGCTCTCGATAATGAAAAAGGGACACCGGCCACAGAATCCGAATTAGAGTAATCAGAACCGGAGCGGGAAGGAGATTAACGCAACAGCAGGCGGAGAGCAGAATGGTGTGGGCTATATATATATACAGGTGGGAGGTTTGCGCTTGTTGAAGAGAAAATCTTGACCCAGGAGGATGGATTGTGTAATAATACAGAAGAGACGTAAGAGTTCTGGCCATGACTGTGTAAATTACCGTACTCCGGTACCAACGTCACAGATATTACTCATCCATCCTCTCAGCCTCCACAACCCAAGCCATCAGCCATCAGCAACGCTTCAAGTTGAGAACACAGCGGAACAGATGGCTGGCCGCTTGATATCGATATCAAGAGATCAGATATCTGAGTCATTGGGGTGTCCTGTCTAAGATGCAGCGCGGCGTTACACCAAGTAAAAGAGTCACAAAAACATGATTTCCGCGCGATCAACCAACCAACCCAGCTCAACCCCCACTCACTCACTAATTATTCTTCGCTTTATTCTCTTTCGCCCTCTGTACCAGTTCTAGCAACGTCACCATTTTCTGACTGTCCAGAAACTCCACAATCTTCACGAGCTTTGCCCCCGTCTCGTCCATCCACAACAGAAACACCAATTCCCCTTCTAATGCCCACGCCGCCTCAGATAGCCCCTCAACCTTCAACTCCTCGCGGAATATCGCCTGGCTTGTCGCCCACACTGTGACTTGATTACTGCTCTCACTCTCAACGTACTCTTTGGCTGTTACTGGGATACCGCTCAGGATGGCATGGATGCCGGAAATGTGTTGGATTAAGCCCTTTTTGTCGAATGGGCCGGGTGGATTCATTGACGCTGGCGCGAACTGATAGACGAAGTTCTCTGCCAGGATGGCTTCCAGCGTTTCTGTGGAAAGCGTGCTGAAGTTGGCGATGAATTTTTTGGCCGTTTCGAGACGCTTGGATGGGGATGCCATGGCTGCGCCTGCTGTTGGTCGTGATGCTGTTGATCTGGGGTAGAGGAGAGAGTGAGGTGAGGTCCCGTACGTAACTATGTATTGGCTTGGTAAATGTTTAATAAGAAGAAGAAGAAGAAGACTATTATCTCAAATATATTCTCCCGAATGACCTTTTATACGATGTCCCAGAGGCGGGGTAATCTGATACATGCCATAGTTTGCACAGGATTTCATGGCTGGGATCTTCATTCTTGTCCCTTCTCTGACAAGGGTTCTTAGATCAGCTCGCAGGGGTGGAAACTAATCGATTCAAGGGTTTCGGAGATATATCACTCTACTCTGCGGGTTCACCAAGGCGTAAGCAACCTGAGATTCGGATGTCGTCAACATCCGGATTATTAATACTCGGAAATATTCCAGTAGACTGCAGCAAGAGAGGCTAGGTCGACCTTTTATGTGGTAAGGTGAGATAATTCTTGGGTTGTTTCTCTTGACAGCCGAAGTCATTCATATTGGAAAGTGGAAGTTCTAAATCTGATTACGATTTATGGGAATATACATAAAAAGATCAACTTGCTGTCAGGTCAACTGCCCCGGCTTAGTAATCCTTCCACCATATAACTTGCCACGTAGCTAGCAATCCTTCAATCAAGCAAGCTTTACACCTTCCACAGGTTATGAGGCCCGTTTTGCGCACTACGCTGCCAATTCGGGGATTCCTTGCCGATTTAATCCCTATTTAATATTGCTTCATTCGATACGCCCCTTTCGGCGTTAAAATCGTCTTATTCTATCCAAATCGGCGCGTTCTGAAGATCTTGTTTTGATTCTACGCCGCTGCTCGCTTAGAAAACAAGCTTGCAGGGTGGAACGCACCACGTTGGAAATTAAACCTCCGATTGGCGAATAGAACGCCACGAAAGCTTATATTGGCAAGGATCTGATCCAAGGTGCCTTTATTTGAAAATCAATACGGAGTATGGCGGATCGATCTAGATCTCGCCCTCATACCCGCTCGCATTCTCGCGTCCTGCCCTCTGGCTCAGTAGTGGCGGATGATGATATTCCCCCACGCCCAAGCTCTGCTCACGATCGCCCGCCAGGAGCATTTGAGAGCTCTATTAATGAGCCCGATCCTCCTGAAACGCCGTTCCGATTCGAAGCTGGATTGAATACAGCTCCTGACACAGTCAGGCCTGCGGCCCGACCTACCCAACCTACCCAATCTACCCGAACCACCCGACAGCTCAGTGAGGCTGGTTCTCATCATGATGAGGCGGCTCGACGTTCTGAGGCCTTGCTTTCCGACGAGGTCTTGTCGGACGTGCAATTGCAACGCCTCATGATGACCTTTGAGATGGAGAAGGAGAGGCGTAAGATCATGGAGGAAAAACGGAAGGCTCTGGAAATCGAGTTAAAACTAGAAGAAATGCGTGCTCGCAGAGCCGCGAATAACCCTCAGAATGCTGATAATAATACACCGACTACTCCTACAGCCCGAACGCACACATGGGACCCGGATCTTGGTGAAAGATTGGAGTATAACCTCTATGATCCGGACAGCCGTGTCGGCAAGGCAATCGCCCAATTTAAAGAAGATGTAAAATCAATGACCAAGCCGAACGCTCTGACCGGCACGTCAAATTTCCTCACATGGAACGCGTCAATGAAGACCAAGCTGGTTGACGCGCAGTGCTGGGGTATAATAGAAAAGCAGCAGGTTCAGAACCCCCTGCAGGACCCCGAATGGGCTCCCTTTTGGGACGCCCGAAACCGTTGGACCTACGCGTTCATTTCGAACTCTTTGGGTGCGAACGTCAGGCCACGTTTCATAAAAAATGATGAGAATAGGATTGCTTACACCCTCTGGCGGGCAATTGAGGAGGAATACTCTATCCCCAAGACCCAGCTCCGCCGAGAGGCAGTCCTAGAATTCACATCGCTTGGTGGCACTCAGGTCACTAACGTGCACAGTTTCTTTGATAAGTTCCGTGCCGCGATCATGAAGTTGGAAATGATGGATGCTCACCCGCCTGACGCGTGGGTATTTGACATATTCTATTCCGCCCTTCCGAACGTTTGGAGGGGTTATGTACAGAAGAAGATTGAGGAGGCCCAAGAGTCCAAATCGACCCCGGTTGTATTGGACGTTCACCTTCTCATGGAGGAGATCCGATCTCAATTGGACCCTCCAAAAGATAAAAAGCCCGCACAATCGGTGAATACAGCTGCCAACGCTGCCCAATCGGGGGCCACAGCAGCTGCCGATTCCGCGAACAATAATAGCGCGAATACATCTAACTCGGCCCGTGGAGGTCGTTCCGGACGCGGTCGTGGCGGCTCCCGCGGCAGTGGCCGTGGTGGAGCTGGCAATCCGCCGACCTGCTCCGAGTGCAATAGATCCCACTTCGGCACTGTCTGTTGGTTTACGAATCCCGACCAGGCGCCCGATGATTGGAAGGCCAATAATGCTACTAAGTTAAAGGAGTTCAAAGAGAAGGAGAAGGCGAAGAAGGATAAGGACAATAGTGGGGGCAAGACCCAGTTAGTGATTACGGACGGGTCAGAGTCCTTTCAGATGGCGAACCTTGCAAAGGTTATAAATGTGCCGGCCTGCTTTGTGGAACCCCACAAGGATCCCCTAACCATATGGGATAGCGGCGCTGGCTGCCATATCGCGAGCGATAGATCACGATTTTCAATGCTTTTTACGATCGACGGTCCTACGGTCCAGGTGGCCAACAAGGCCGTTCTGAAGGTCCAAGGCGTCGGCATGGCGTCCATCCCAGTCGGCGAGAGGTTGATTGAATTCAATCACGTATACTACGTGCCAGGACTGTCAGCTAACCTCATCTCCGCTGGGCTTATGGAACGGCAGGGCTATATTCGCCGTGATATGCACGTTGACGCTGGAAATTATTTTGAGTTCCTGTCCCCTACTGGCAATGACGTGTTCTATGCCAACCTTTCCCGCAATAATATTTACATCCTATCCGACAGTCCTCCGACGTTTGACGGCGTTATGAATGACCAAGAATATGGGGCGGTCGCGTACGTGGCTGTTCCGAAACCAAAGACAATTTCAACGGATTATGATCCGAACGCAGGGTCCCTAGGGCCGTTCAACCGTGAGGAGGTTGAGCAATTGATTAACCCCAAGGATCCGGATACGGATTCCTTCGTCATATCCCCACCTAACCGACTCCCTGCCGTGGTCCCGAAGCAACTGCCGTTTGATGAATGGCACCGTAGATTGGGCCATATCGGCGAAAATAATATATTGAAGATGGCCAGGGACCCTCGCTTCGGAATTGCCATTATCGGCCCGAAGAAGTTGTCATTCTGCGCCACGTGCGTCAAAGCCAAGCAGAGGCGCGCTACGTATAAGAATTCCGCACCACGCCGTGCCACTCGCAAAGCTCTTAAGATTTGGGTGGATATTTTCGGCGGAGGTGAGACCCTAGGAACCGAAAATGACATATCCTCCTACGCCGGCAAGAAACTTGCCATGGTCATTACAGACGACGCAACGCGAATGAGATGGATTTTCCTACTGGAACGCAAGGATGAGACGTTGAAATATTTACGAATCTTCAACCAATTCATCAAGAACCTGCTGGGCCGTGGCATCGCGATTATACACTCCGATCGCGGCGAATTGAATTCGAACGCGGCTACGGCATATATGCTTAGCGAGGGGATTAAGTGGGAACCCACTCCCCCCCATACTCCACAACAAGATGGGGTATCCGAACGTTCGATCGGGTTAATTATTGAAAAAGCCCGATCGCTATTAATAGACTCTTCCGCTCCCGAAAAGATGTGGGGTGAGGCGGTTATTGCGGCCACGGAGCTGCTCAATCTTATGCCGACCTCCACGATTCTATATGGCGGTCCCGAAAATATGAAACCAATTACGCCGTACGAGGCCTGGCTTGGAGCCCTACCCTCTGCACGTGGCATTCGCCGCTGGGGTTGTAAGGCGTTCCTAAAAATAATCCCAAAGCCCACGAATAAGATGGCCTCCCGATCACTAGAATTAACCTTTGTCGGCTACGATGGGTTCACTAATTATAGATTGGTTGATCCCTCCAATGGGCGTCTATACATATCCAAAGACGTCATTTTCCAAGAGGATCTCCACCTTGCAGACCCGTCAATTCCAACCGCAAAAGACCCGAAGGCCCTACCCACTGCGGCCCGCCAAGCGGCTGCGGCAATTCCTTCGGCGACCCCTGACCCATCGATTAATGATCTTTTCATCGATGAGGATATCCAACCCGAACGTCCGTTATTTCTAGTACCCACGAATAATTGGTGGATCGATTATGAAATTTCGGCGAGAATACCTACCTTTTTGGTGCAAAATACCCCGATTTCCCCGGATCCTTCAATAGAAATAGAGGATACCCCGACACCGTCAGGGAATATTACTGCAGTGGGGGAATCTTCAGTGGAGAATGGCCCTGAGACCGAAGACCTCCCTTCCGATCCTGAAATTGCAGGCCTACCGATTCCAAAGAACCTCACGCGTGCCAAAGCTTCCGCCGAATGGAAGTATTATTACAAGGCCTGTGTTAAAGAGGTTAATCGCCTAAAGCAGATTGGGGCCTGGCGACTGATTGAAAGATCCCCTAATATGGCAGTCCTTCGCGGCCAATGGGTGTTCGACAAGAAGTTCAATAATTTGGGTAAAGTCGTCCGCTATAAGGCCCGCTGGGTGGTCTGCGGCAATTATCAACAAAAGGGTGTCAACTATTCGAAGACCTTTGCACCCGTCGTTTCCGCCTCCACGTCCCGAGCTCTCATGGCAATCTCGGCATCTTGAGGGTGGCACGTTCTGCAAATCGATATGGTAACTGCGTTCTTGAACGCCCAACTGCCGGCCGACGAACGGATATATATGAGCCAGCCTACGGGCTTCCGTGAAGGTCGTGGCGATCTTGTTTGCGAATTAATGCAGGGACTCTACGGTCTTAAGCAAGCAGCGCTTTTATGGTATGAGGAACTGCGAAGAATGCTATTGCAGTCAGGCTTCCGTGTCAGTCCTTACGATGCTGGACTGTTCATTCATGACGCGAGAAAGGTCTATATGACTGTATACGTGGATGACGTACGCCTATACGGCCCGAAGATCGAAGATCTCAACTGGGCCAAGGCCGCAATCGCCGCTAATTACGAAATCAAGGATGTGGGCGATTCGAACCGATATTTGGGCATGAAGATTGAGCGGGATTCGACCTCCCTTACGTTGTCCCAACCCCTATTTATTACGAATCTTCTGGAGGAATTCGCTATGGATGACTGCCACCCTACGTCTACTCCCATAGAGGAGAACGTTGATTTCATGAATGACAATGAGGAACCGGTCGCTTATACGGCGGAATTTACCCTACGCTCCTATCAGTCAGGCATTGGATCCCTGCAATACCTTGCGACCAATACACGTCCTGACGTTAGCTTTGCAGCAGGCTTTCTAGGCCGATTCAGCGCCCGCCCTACCTCGAAGAATTGGGCCGCTTTCAAACGTACGCTCCGCTACTTGCAGGGCACGATTAATGCGGCTATTTTAACCTACTACAAAGACGCCGATATCGAACCCGTGGCGTACGCCGATGCCGATTGGGCCGGTAGGGATCCGGGATCCCGCTCAACTACCGGCTACATCATATATATGGCGGGGGGCCCCGTCGCCTGGCGAAGCTGCCGGCAGACAGGGGTCTCCAAATCATCAACCGAGGCCGAATATATCGCATCCTCCGAAGCCGCATATGAGCTCGTCTGCCTACGGGAGCTCCTAGAAGATGCCGGTTTCGTGCCGTCCCGCCTCAATAATCTGGATGCCGACGATCACCCCAACCCACCTCCGGCGAATGGCCTTGCTTATACGATTCATGCCGATAACAAGTCTGCCATCGAGCTATCCTCTTCCGAAGCGATTCCGCGCCGATCGAAGCATATAGAGGTCCGATTCCATATCCTTCGGGATCTCGTCCGCAAGAATGAGATATCGGTCCGGTACGTCCCATCCGCCGAGAACGCGGCAGACGGGTTAACCAAGCCGCTCGGAATGTTGAAATATACGCGTTGGAAGGAGATTATTAAGATGAAGGGATAGGGGGGTAAAAATTGATGGATTTGATGGCTGGGTTTTTTTTTTTTAACTACTTCGTTTTTCCAGTTGTCTTTGTACCTGTACTTGATTTGAAGGCAAATTTTGTATGTAGCATTGTGTATAGTTACTATGGTGAGTGGGGGTGTCAGGTCAACTGCCCTGGCTTAGTAATCCTTCCACCATATAACTTGCCACGGAGCTAGCAATCCTTCAATCAAGCAAGCTTTACACCTTCCACACTTGCCAGATAGCCAGCCAATAAGCTCAATAAATCTCACAACAATAACCCTGATCACTTACTCCCCATGGTATATATATAAATAGGAGAAAAAAGAAAGAAAGAAAAGAAAGTAAACGTGAAAGGCTAGTCCCGTACTCCTTCCCGTACAAATTTTTCAATACCTGTAGATTAATGGAATTTAATAAAATACCTTCTCCTGCCATATGGGAGGCTGACTCTTCACCTCATCCCACTTTACCTTATTTCTCTCGTCCAGATGAGCCTCCTCATCCGTCATCGGCGTCACACGGCTCGTTAACTCCACTTCGCGACGGCTAATCCCTCCCGCATCGCGCGGTACCCACAGCAGCGGCGTCGGACTCCACACTGAGGGCGGGTAATATGCATTGTCCGCCACTTCGTCTGAGTACTCGATTGGCGTGCCCTGCCGGATCCGCTTACGTAGCGTGGAGTAATCGATGTAAATATGTGGCTGTACGATGGAGTGAATGAAGTAGGAGAATTTGCGCAGAATCGTTTGCAGAGCACTGGGTTTTTGATGTGGGAAGGCCGGAATTTCGGTCGACGTGCCTGCTCGCGTGATTTCAGCTAGTGTTATCGTTGTCTGGGTTGCGCGCTTGAGTTTGGAGGAGATGGAGATTGGGCTGGGAATTTCGTTGCTGCCGCTTGCTGGGCTGATGGGTGATTTCTCGCTTGTTGCATCGTCTTGGCAGCTGCTTGCGCTGTCGTCCTGCTCACCCATGTCTTTGTTGCTGTCGTCATCATCACCATCGCCCAGCCTTTCAGCTTGTTCGAGCGTACGGGGAAGTGCGGACAGGAGTGGGCGCAGTGCGTCGTTCAAGGATATATGCGCTAGAATCATCAATATGATGAAGAGGACCATCATGATCACCGGTCCTATGGCACCCTTAATGGCGAATAAGCCAATCATACAGACGGAGGAGAGGTATACGCCTGTTAATACTTGTTGAAGTGCACGCGGGTAGATTAGGCCCTTGGTGTCAACATCAGAGTCGTAGACGAAAAGCAAATTGTATCGGTAGGCTTGGTAGACTAGGTACAAGCCGAATGAGGAGAACCCGAGAATAAGAGGGGCGATGCAAGAGTAGGTAATTGCTATAATTGGTTAGATATAGTATAGACGCCCGGGTTCAGTGATAATAACGAGGCTGATCGGTAAAAAACTTGAATGCACTTACCTATCACGACCATATTTGTGAAAACTGGGAAAACCGTAGCCCAACGCAATCCGTTCATTGATGTCCATCGTTCATACAATTTGCGCGGAGTGGTGTCAAAAAATGCAACGAATATTTTGAAAATCAAAAATCCCACCACTTGCACCACAGCACCAGCACTCAAGACTAGACCCTGAAGAAGGAAATAGGAAATATAGAAATTTGAAGCTTTTGGAAGATTCTTTGCGAGTAAATCTTTCACCGACATGGGATCCTTGATAATTTGGCTTGTTGCGGCTGAGGCTGCGGAGGTTAGCGTCGTTACAAGGAATACCTGCACGACCTGGAAGCAAAAGTGGGCGTTCTGCGTAAACAATTCGACGTGGACGGTGGTTGGAAGTCCTGATTGTCGTGCCAGAACTGCAGGCAAATAAGCGTTAGCCTTCATCCTCTATCGGGTTGGAGGTTGAACAATCAACTTACATCTGAGCAAAACGGGTACCAGTGACATCAGCAAAGCAAGTCCTACAGCGGGAAGCAACCCACTGATAACGCCCTGAATTACTTGGGGGAGTTTATTGATAAAGCTAAGGAATGGGAGGAGATTGCTTAGATATGCCACATTCGATATCATTCCGACAAAGGCGGAAGGAATCGACCAGAATATTATCAGGGCAGTAATAGCCGCTTGGACCAGGAATTTCCGCACAATTCTGGACCACCAGCTATATTGCAAGGCAGGCCAGATAATTTGTTGAGGCGTAATTCCGATATAACGGGGTGTCATTTGGAATGGCTGGTGGTGGGACAGCATTTGATATGCAGTCTGCGCAGCTGCTTGCGAATCGAATTCGATAAAGATAGCAGGAATTGGCTTTGCACCCCCATCTCGATGTTTCTTCTGTAGTTTCTCGACTTCCGGAAGCACTTTCTCAAGCTCGGACCGCAACCATTCAATGGAATCAACCTTTTTGCCTGTGAAATAGCGAAGGCGATGTGTGGGTCGTTTCACTTTCTTGGCCCAAGGGACGGAATCAAAATCGCAGCCTGTGGTTTCGGGGCGGGCTCCGTCATCAGCTGCACATTCTTCATCATTCTTCTGCCTTTTCATCGCTTTAGATCTTGCCAGGTTTGCAGACTTGATTAGATCTGTCTCTAGGCGCTCAAGCCGCAACGCCAAGTTGTCCCTGCTCTGCACTAGCTCATCCAGCTTTTTGCAGTCTCTGGTAATCCAGATCCGCCGGATAGACTTTCCAAAAACCTTCGTCATCTTAGACTCAGTGAGAAGGGCCTTAGGGACCGCCATGAATAAGACAGTCCTCGACGAAATACGGCTGGCATATAGAGGCGAGAGAAAGTATGCTTGTCGAAGTGTAGCATAGAACATGCCTTCTCGGGTTACCATGTAAAATATGAAAGCTGCGATAACTTGCTTAGCCTCATAGGTCAAAAATTTTCTTTTTGGGACAAGGAGGCTCACTAAAGAACATCCAGGCGACGAGGACATGAGCATAATATCGATTGGGATCTGTCACATTGCTGAAACTCAGTGCATCAAGCTGAGTATTCCCGGCACCCCCCGTGGCATGGATAGGGAATAAAATCGGCCAAACCACAAGACATCCCACAAAACATGTTACCGACATAAGCCGGAGGAATCGTAGGAAGAAGTATCCATCCAAAGAAGAATGCTGAAGCACATAGGTGTCGGACAGGTTAAAGAAGGCACCGATCCAATTAATCCAACCCGAAGGTAGTTCCGGGCTCCGTTCACTGATGGTAGGTTATGAGGCTGACCTTTGAATAGGAAATTGTAGTAGCTTGAAAGAGGTAAAGATACTTACTGTTCATGTATATTTCCCAGATAAGATCTGGGAGCGTAGAACCGCTGTTGACTTCGTCGGCAGATAATAAAAGCTAGAGTCCAAAGGGTAAAGAGAATAAACGCAGGAACAAAAGTTGTCAGCAGGGCCGTCGCAGAAGTAGAGACATCCACGCCGAGTGAGTTAAGTGTTGAGTCGACAGTTGACTGGTTGTCCCCGCGAGAGGACCCGATGTTTGGATCATTGTTTGGATTCTGAAGGCAGTTATCAGCTTCTACAAAATGTCCGGCACCATTAATCGTCGTCTCTCTAAACGGAAAATAAAACTGACCAGAAAGTCTGCCATTGTGTCCGCGCCTTGTGAGGAAGCCTCAGGAAGTCCAAGAATGGCCTCACCACTTGATGGGAGGAATGATTATACCGTGAAAATATAACCACATTCCCACTATAACAATGGGCTGAATTAAGCCCTTAATCTAAAACAATAAGTGGCTTTTGCGATATTGGGATCAAGGAGGGAGCTCTTGGACAATATGTACAGATTTTCCTTTGAGAAAACATTCAGGGTCTGTCTGGCAGGCCATTGAAAAACCAGCACTTTGGCCTCGAAAGACGCAGGCACTTTCGGCCCTCCCCCTCTGCATGGATAATCCAGTGGGGCGCCCGAGGGGACGAATAAGAATATGAGCAGTCATATTTTTGATAATTTTGAGCTTTTGCTTTTGCTTTCATCCACAAAGCTTAATTGCCTGGAGGCCCAAGCCTGTGTTGCGGGATTCGCAAACTTCCAATGACTCCTGACAGTAACGACGAGAAATAATTCCATCCGCAAATCAGCATCGAACCACGGCTGCAGCTGGGAAATCATTTGCCTGTGGGCGGCGTGGGCTTGATGGTGGAGACAAGATGGGATCGATTGCAGTTGATTGGGAGGTTGGTCCACCATGGTTATCGCCGATCCTGTACTATTGGACATCTGGAGCTCCCCCCGAGATAGTCAGCGCACATCCAATGCCAAACGGAGGAATCGACGAACCCTCGGCTGAATTCAGGACGGAGAATTTTCACTGCTATCACTCAATGCACTGACTTTAGATCAGGTTGGCATCTTGAGGTTAATCAAAACGGGTACCTCTGCGCTATCAAGGCGCCAGAAGGGATTTCCCGAAATATCTTTCAACCTTCTCACCACCGTGACGCAACAGAGAGTTAATTATGACTTCTCATGTGCGACTACCAACTTGTAGTTACACGTTTTGAGTTTTATCCTTCTATGCAGGAGGTATTTGCAACATTCGCAAAACACCTGTGCTGTTGCAGGCAAAAGGTGCCCAACAGAATTTTAAGGAAGTAAACAAAGTAGCCGCGGGAAAATGGATGACGTCCCGTAGCTAACGTTATCTTCAATCCAATAATAAGAGGTTCCCCAGTTCGTGACTGGCAGGAAGCCAGCTGTCATATGGCCTTCGTTGTGTCCGCTTGCCAGGACAAAAGGCAAAATAATAGTTGGCTTGAGGTTTTTACGAAAAAAATAGTGTCGTTTTAGCACCGCACATATAGTTATGCCTCAGCTGCCGACATGCTAATACAACCACTTAGACGTCCCACAAAACAAAAATAGATGTTTTTAACTAGTTTACTAACTACAGATTAGTGTTAAGTGAGTTAACTTACCCGTAAAGATAGTGAGTTTTGATACCTCAGGTTCTTTGGCCATAAACTGATCCTCAGGTTCTTTGATTTGTTTTACTTCTGAAAAGCCAGATACACTCTTTTATGCGGTAGAACCACATCATAACCGCTGTGGACGATGACTCAATATAATTCTCTATTCCTCTGTCTCAGCTGTTCCTCACTTATTCATCTATGCTGATAGATAACCTACAGCACGAAATACAATTCAAGGGCTTTGTGATATTGAAGGACAACATGGATAGGACGGTACAGTTGACAGCCAGGCAGACGACAGAAAAGAAAGAACCAGAAGCCACAGAAATGAAATTCCGGCAGAACGATTTCCAATGAAAGAAGAGCACAAACGAGACTCTGTATTGGGTGATATAATTGGCGATCGCCGATTTCATTTGATGCCTGATAGACCCCTTCTCCCGAATTAATCAATGATTTTTGCTCCAGTCTTGTAACAGACCGTCCAGTCCAGGTGGTCTGGGACCAGCTTGTGGCACATCGGGCATTCGGAGCCAGGCTTTTTGTTATAAGTCGTAGCCGGCGGCACGTCTGAGCAATGCGTGTTACGCTCTCCCTTCTCGAATTTATCACAAAGTATGAGCTGGTTGACGAAATGTTTGCAGCCGTACACCGTGAAGGTATTTTGGCACATCTTTACGATTATCCTGTCCACCAGTATTGTTAATTTTCATGTATAAAATCCCAAATCACAGCTACGCACTACTATCACTAAGTAGTCCTGTGACTCCTGTCTAACGAAAATGGATCTAGGAATCTTACCTAGAATATCTATGTCGAGATATGTGAAGGTATCCAACGTATTAAAATAGAGATTGATGGCTGAAGAGGCGTGATAGAAAAGGTTCTGAATGAAAGCGTCCCGGCGAAGTGAAACGAATATTCGAAATATTCTTGATGCCTGATCAAACGAGATATAGAAGACGGGAGTCCAGTATGCGTCGCAACAATTTGGATGGATGTATAGCTTGATGTGTTTATATTCGAAGCTGACCGACGCTATTTATTGAAGCAACTTGTTGACTCGGTTTCTACCCATGAGTGCTCTTCGACAAATTATGAAACAATGCCACAGTGACCACTAAGACCTGTGCCGCTTGAAATGAGGGGGAAGCTTCCGAATAAGAGAAAAGAAAAATGCCTCCAGGAGGCGGTTTCCGCAGACGCTGTTATCAGGCCCGGCTCTATACATACTACTCTTGGGAGTTGGGTATCATATAGAAAAAAACAAAGAGTTGTAGCAAGGCCATTGTGAGATAAAGCAGGAGGAATAAAGAGAAGCATTGTCTGTTTCAAACCCTTTTCTTTCTACCATCACTGAAGCGAATAACATAGATAAATACAGAGCGCATGGTTTTGGGGGGGACTCATTCCACTAATGTGAGATCCCGGGCTGCTGGCTATACTGCTAATGTGTTTCATGACCAAGCGATTTCCAGTCTATAAGAGCATGCTACACGCCCTATGAACGCAGCAAAATTCCAGAGAAGGAAATCGGCTACGTAAGGCTGATCCCTGTATAAGCGGCGTTGGGGGGGGGGCGGTTGTGGATAGAAACATCCTTCAACATCTTTGTTTAAAATATGATTTGATTCCACTTCATGCGGAATAGAAATATAACGAGAAACTCCAAACTATTGCGTTGGCTGGAATTTCGTTCCTGTATAAATACTCCGCGATCAAGGAAGATCAGAGCATGAAGGACAGGCAGTGCTTGACAACCCCCTTGGCGTTAGGCAGCAGGTAATCGCTTTTGAAAAGGGTGGAGGGAGATAGATACATATCCCGGATCAATTGTCAGATGCATTTTATGGGCTTCCCTCATTGCTAAAGAGTTAGAATGATATGGGGGATGCATGTATACTAGCATATAACTACATAACATACTTCCTAACAGGATCTAGCATTGTCGTGCTGAGGAAAAGGGGTAGTTATATCCAGCGAGTTTCCATCCCTTCGTTTAATTTATTATTACGCCATGTATGTAAGGTGTATATCCGGAAATTCAGATAACACTGATAGATCATTCACGCAGCATTCCCCCGTTCTTTTTCGCCCTTACTTTATTCTTGTCCTTCTTTTGCCCCCTTGCCCCCTTCCTGGAGAATAAGGAAGAATGTAAATGAAACGCAGAAGCAAAAATATTGAAGAAATTCTGTTACACGATGTATGGTATCCGACAAGGTTGATGCACAGAAAACATGAATAAAAGGAAAGTGAAAGTGAAAGACGGCTAGAAGCATTAGCCATCCGGAACGGTAAGTGTTAAAAGGAAAATGAAACGAAATCTCTTTTTTTTCTTTTCTGACTCGAAGAATTCCTTTGTTATTCTATGGTAGTTACGGAAGTTAGTCGACGTATTTAGACTATCAAAATATAATTAATCGCCTGGCTAAAAAGGGAGTTACAGTGAAGCCAATGGCACAAATAAGGAATCGAAGTGCGAATATCTCGGGAATATCGTGACGAGCAGCAGCAGAAGGAAAAAAGAGAAGCAAGAAAACTCAATATTGGAAATCTCTGACTGGAGAACATAGTGTAGCCAAAAGAACGAAAGGAGAAAAAAGACAAAATTTGGATCGAAGCATAAGATAATCGCGAATATATATCAAGGCGCGCGGAATAAGTAACATGTGAATTAACAGATTCATATCAATTTGGCACACACAAACATACACAAGGGGGATCCACCAACCAACTCCACCCGCTGGAGCAAAATATGGAAAATATGACAATAATGTTTTAAAGATAAAAGGAAAATGTAAATGGAGAGAGGGAAGCATGCATGAAAATAGCTGGATTGGTCGCCCTGGGCTTTGGGAATTGGGGAATAATCAGTGGTTCGAGTGATAATATCATGGGAGAGAGATGACCTGTTCTGAGGTTTGCATTTTTCTTCTGTGGGGTTCAGGTTCGGCGGGCGACGGCAAGCAAAATATGGCATGATAGATGTTTAATGCTAGAATGGAGAAGCGAAGAAAACAAGGGCAAAAAAAGGAAAGACGATGAAAAGATATTAGATCTTCCAGGCATTCTAGCACAATTTGCAATCCGATGGCGGATCACAAAAGAAAAACGAAACAAAAAAACGTGGTGTAAATATCCCTCCCTTGTCCGTCATTTAAACGCCGGATCAAGATGATGATTGCGATGATGAATTACCGATAAAAGAAAAAGGGAATTTCTTCTTCTGGTTCGTGGGGCTACGTTAGTTTTCGAATAACTTCTTCTCTATATTCTGTCCTCACTCGTCAAGGTTGTAGAGGTTGTGGTTGAGGATCTTGGTCATTGTGAACATGTGTATTCGGTCCTGTTTAAAGACGGCTCGCATGAGATCGTCGCATCGGATTTGCCGGCGATCAGCGGGATCTTGGAGGTTGTTTTCGCGGATATATTGCCACACTTTCTTCACGGCTTGGGGTCGGGAAAGCTGGAGGGATATTGGGACGATTGGGTTAACATAAGTGGCTGAAGGAACGATTTGGAAGAGAAAAATACTCACGGTTACTTCCCCGCCTAGTAGGACAGAGAGGGGAGCAGATAGCGCAAGGGGTTTCTTAGAAACAAAAGTCAATATCAGCTGCAATAACAGTTTGGAAGATCGCCTTCAACTCACATGGAAACCACCCGTTCTCGTTACTTCCTTTTTGGATTCCGAGTCCTGCGCATCTAGATCTGAATCATCCTCCGCTTTCACTTTCTTTGATGTCTTTGATTTCGTAGCCGGCTTCTTTTTCTTGACAGGCACAATCTTCCTCGAATTAGCGCCCCTGGTAGGGCGCGCGCGCAGGTTCTCCTCCGCTTGCAATTTGGCCGCAAAGATCGCGTCGGCATCTACCAGGTTTGACTTTCTCTTCTTCTTGGGTGGGGATTTATCGCCGGAATCCGAGACGCTTTCCGGCTCTGGTGTGCGTTTTTGCGGGGAGGTTGACAGGGCGGGGGAGATGGGCTCGATTGTGGGAATGTCGGGCTGCCCATTCGACGAATGGCCATTGACCGCCGGAGTTGATTCTGCCTGCTTCTCACTCTGTTCCGCAAATATATCGAAGCGCTGCATGATTAGGACTTTGATTGCCGCCTGTGTCCACAATGCATTAGCAACAAAATAGCCCCGCAAGAATGTGGGTAAAAATCGAGCTTAGTCGAGGAATGATAGCCAACCTTTTGAGGGGTGATATCGTAGTCCACGGCATCTTGCAATCCCCTCCGTATGCGCTTTTCTGAGATAGTGTTCAGGTCACTGGTTGCTAGGATAGAATCGATGATTTTGATATATGACGCTTGGACGTCGTCGGACACTGCAATGATGGGAAAATGTCAGGTTAGATGTCATAAAATCATGTCCATACTCCATTGACACAGTAAAGACATATCGGGAGCTCTCACATTCCATGTTTCTGGAAAACCCTGATACGTTGTACCTTCCCAGCCCGTTGAAGCGTAGAGAAAATGTTCGCTAGGAAAAACGACGCCGGCGCACTCGGAGCTGGAGCATGAGGTGAAACAAATGTATGAGGTGGTCAGGTGCCCTGACTGGGTGTCGCAACAAAACGCCGGTGGTGAAAGTAGCACCAGAAAGCGTTAGTGCGATTTGCTGACGCTTGCTGGGGTTGGCGGGGTATTCGGGAGCAGAACGGTATGGAGGTAAGTTGACCAATGTGGGCGAAGGACGGGTGGCTGGCTGGCAGAATTAGGAAGAAGATATTGGATGAATAAGAAATATAATATATGCAATAAGTGAGGAGGAGATGAGAAATAGAGGTAAATAGAGGATGAAAGAAAGAAAGAAAGATAACCAAAGAGCAGACACCGTATGATCAGATGAAACAGAGATAGGAATTGATAGTGAATATCAGCCCGCTTCTAAAAAAAAAAAAAGTGAAGCAAGCGACGAAGCAAAGTCAGCGGCAGGGCGGATAGTACCAAGTCCTTGGTTGGCTGTGGGAAGGCCTAGGGCGGGTAAATAGGGCCAAACTATAAGTTAGGCCAGGCCTGGAGCATGGGGACAGAGAGCTCAAGGAAGTGGACCAGCGTGCAGGTTGATTATATCCAGGAAGCCCTGAAGTTGGGTGAATTAGCAGCGATGGGGAATGCCGCAAGCTCTGGAGATGGACGAGATACACCGTGACGCACCGGCGGCGCCTATGATGTCTGATGTTTGACGTTTGATGTCTTTGACGTTGCGATGTTCAAAATGTCCAGAGCTGGAGCCGGAGGGTGGAGAAAGCTGAGTCAGTGATGTGTCAGCGGCACAAGCACGTGATTATGCCGATCTCCAACCATGCCCCATCGGGAATAGCCTCCGCTTGCACACACATCTTTTGCCCTAATCAACAAGGGAAGAAGAGCAGTCTTGATCGTTAGAAACTCGCTGTCGCTGCTCATCGCCTTGCTGCTCTCCCATTCTTCTTCTGTTACGCCTGTCTGACTGTTTCCTGTCGCCATGGCACCGAGTTTCGACACTCTTTCAGAGCAGGACCTCCACGAGCAGGAGCTGGATATCGATTTTTCAGGTGCGTTTTTTGTTCCCAATCGATGCTTAAGCCTGGACCAGGGCTGATGCCTTGTTTTATTTACTACTGTTTTCAATTCTTCTTCATTGATAGGAGAAACCTCTTCCTCTCCGCTAATCATGTTTTGAAAACAGACCTTAAAGCACAATATGAAGTTAGACTGGAGGAGGGCTTGGATGCCTTTGTGGTTATCGATGGGCTGCCAATCGTGCCCGAAGAGAGCAAACCGCGGCTTGTGAAATTCTTGCTGAAAAAGCTGAACACTGTTGGCCGGACGAGCGAAGATGCCATTTTTATGCCCATGAACGAGAATAAGATGTCGGAAGGGTGCGTCCAGACCAAAATTGAAAAACACCAGCGATACAATGAAGCGGTGGGGACTCTTAGACTAATTCCAAACTATTCCATGAGTATATTTTCAGATTTGCATTTGTTGAATACGAGTCACCCGAACAGGCTCTCGAGGCCACGAAACATCTTCACGGCACTCCCCTGGATAAAAAGCACACATTGGCTGTTAATAAACTTACGGATATCGATCGGTATGGACGTGAGGGCCGTGTTGACGAGGAATATAAACCACCGACCATCGAGCCATTCCAAGAAAAGGAACACCTTCGATCGTGGCTAGGCGACCCCAATGCCCGCGACCAGTTTGCAATGTTCCGAGGCGACAAGGTTGGTGTGTTCTGGAATATGAAAAAAGACCCTCCAGAGAATATCGTCGACCGGGATCACTGGACCCAGCTTTTCGTACAATGGTCTCCACAAGGCACTTTCCTCGCGTCTGTGCATCCACAAGGTGTGCAGCTTTGGGGAGGACCCCAATTCACCAAGCAAAAACAATTCCCCCATCCATTCGTTCAGCTTATTGAGTTTTCCCCCGGTGAAAGTTACTTGACAACCTGGTCAGCACGGCCGATCCAAATCGAAGGCCCCCACCCGGTTCTCTCCTACGAAGAGGACGGCAAACATTTCATTATCTGGGACATCACAACTGGCAAGCCGCTGCGATCATTTGTCAACCATGACGTTCCCGCGTCTGCTGGCCCAGAGGGAGAGTCTGTGAAGAAGAAGGTCCAATGGCCTGCCTTCAAGTGGTCTTCGGATGAAAAATACGTTGCACGAATGCTCCTAGGCCAATCCATTTCTGTCTACGAGCTTCCACGCATGAACCTCCTAGATAAGACATCTATTAAAATCGAAGGAGTTACTGATTTCGAATGGGCGCCCGCGGCACCCCAACGCGACGGCATTAAACAATACGAACAACTATTCTCCTTCTGGACCCCAGAAATCGGCAGCAACCCCGCGAAAGTCGGTTTGATGAGCATCCCTTCCAAGGAAATTGTCCGGACAAGAAATCTCTTCAACGTTTCCGACGTTAAACTCCATTGGCAATCGCAGGGTGCATACGTCTGCGTCAAAGTTGACCGGCACTCCAAGTCCAAGAAGTCTCTTGCTACAAATCTCGAAATTTTCCGTGTTAAGGAGAAAGGCGTCCCTGTTGAGGTGGTTGACTCTATCAAAGATACCGTGATAAACTTCGCTTGGGAGCCCAAGGGCGATCGGTTCGTTCTCATCACGACCGGCGAAGCCACCCCTGGCGCCGCAGTTGCTCCCAAGACAGCCGTTTCGTTCTTCTGCCCTGAGAAAGTCAAGGGCACCGGTACGGGAAATTTCAAACTTATCCGTACCATCGAGAAGAAGACGAGCAACGGCATATATTGGTCTCCTAAGGGCCGGTTCGTGGTTGTAGCCACTGTCCACTCGCAACAGAACTTCGACCTCGATTTCTGGGACCTGGACTTCGAGGGTGAGAAGCAGGAGAGCGAGAAGGACCTTTCCGCAAATCTCCAACTAATGAAAACCTCCGATCACTACGGTGTCACTGACATCGACTGGGACCCGACTGGCCGTTACGTTGTCAGCAGTGCCAGTGCTTGGACTCACACAGTAAGTTGCATCCCTTCGTTGCCGGTTAACTATATGAATATATATATAATATAAAGTTCAATGCCAACTGATGCTTACCAACAGATGGAAAACGGGTACAACATCCACACGTTCGCCGGCACCACACTCGCCGAACACCCAACAGAGAAATTCAAGCAGTTCGTCTGGCGCCCGCGTCCCCCGACCTTCCTCAGCAAGGAGGAGCAGAAACAGGTCCGCAAGAACCTGCGCGAGTACTCCCGAGAGTTCGAAGAGGAGGACAAGTACGCCGTCGACATTGCCAACACGGCTATTGTCGAGATGCGCAAGAGAGTCCTTAAGGAATGGACTGCTTGGGTACGCCGGGAAAAGGAGCTGCTGGATGAGGAGATTGAGATGCTTGGCCTGGAGAAGGAGGATGATATGGATGCAGCGGCTAAGGAAGAGACGGAGGCGGAGGGAATGGTGGTGGAGGAGATTGTGGAGGAGATCATTGACGAGACGGAGGAGATTATTGGATGAAACCCCCCTGGTGTTTTTCACTTGTATTTCATTCTCCCTCCGTCTCTCCCTCTCTCTTCTTCCTGTTTATTTTATTTTGGTTTCGTTGAGGTCCCCTGACGAATATATGCATTTCAGTAATCCGGGTAATGTCTCTCGTTGCCTGTTCATGTCTCTGTTTCTTTAAAATTCTCCTTACCTTCTTTTGATGCACCACCTTCGCTAAACTCGTATTAAGTTTTGATACCCAAAACATCTACCGTAAAAGTGCTTCCCAACAGCTGTAACAAAATTTGTTACGGGCATCCAATCGCGGAGGAAACAAAAAGTGTGCATCGTCAAAGCGCTAGTGTTGACGGAAGTTACAAGTTGAATGTGACGCCATTCGAGGCTATAAAATGATAAGATTCACGTTTCCAGAAAAGACCAATGACATGGTTTTGGCATCTGATCAATGTCTTGATTTTGAGTACCATGCATGATCCACTCACTACTAGTACATTTAGTTCCTCCAACCATGTTTTCACCTTTTTTACACCCCTCCCCCAGTGTAAAGGCCCAATTGGGTGTCATCCGAATATAATAAGGTCAGGACAGTTCAGTCATACTCTGTGCCACTCAACTTTCCCAGGGACTGTACTCATGGATCTCAAGATTTGATTTTGAGGATAGAGCATATCCCTGATCATTACCTGTAAGGCTTCTGATGATTCCCTAGTATACTCCTCTTACTTATTTTATGTGGCTGTTGCTGCGCTGCCCTCTGCTGCGGGTAGACTGCCGGGAGAGATAGAGAAAGGCCCATCTATGTTGGCCCTGGGTTGTCAGTGTCAATTTCTTTGGGGACGTTCAATGACATCTATGGGGTTGAGGGAGAGGGGTCGTGAGGGGAATCCTGATTGTTGCTACCATCCTTGAACAATAAGGGTAGAGAATGAGGTTTATGAAAATGGATATCCATGTTTTCTCGAGCTGGATTCACTACCCTCAATACGTTACAGCAGAATTGGATTTTGACTGACTAAGAGCGGCTATATGAAAATATGAAAATTATCTCAAATGCAGTAGCGATCTAATAATCTCATTCCTATGCCGAGAATTCTACATCCACACCAAGCGAACGCCATGGTTTGGTAACTATGTATATATATAACTAACAATCATTGCCAGCGATAAGAATCCAGATCAAATTCGACAAACCCTTTCTCCACGCAAGGATATCCTCCCGCCGACTCTCCTGGTAGAGCATTCGAAGCATCCCTCACAAATGCTCCCCAAACCACGTAACCGCCTGGACAAACGCCTGTTCTTTCGCGAACCTGACAGCCTTGTTGCTCAAGTCGCCGCGGACGGAGAAGCCGTGCTCGGTGCCGCTGAACAGGGTGATTTGCCATGGGAGGCCTACTTTTATGAGCAGTTCCTCGGTGTCGTGGCGCAAGTTGCTGGGGAAGACGGAGTCGGTTTCTGTCATGGTGTTTTTGTTTTGCGCGCGGCGTTGGGGGGTTTGTTAGAGGGGATATGCATAGTGGGTTTTATAGATATATATCTTTAAAAAGGGAATAGGATTTTTTACTTACGAGCGGCAGAAATGGCATATGGACCCTTTATAGCTAGCAGCTCCTCAGCAGCGACAAAGTACGGATGCGCGACGTAGCCTACATCAAGGCCCCCGCCCTCTTTCAAGAATCGGGTAACGTACTATATGTGTATACATAGAAAAGAGTCGTTAAAAAGGGATAGAACCAAACCTCTAACGTCAAGCTCACTAGTAAACGATATATCTCCGATTTTCTTGATTTCGCCCGAGGCGATTCCCTGGTGCTTGAAGCCGCGGGTGCAGCAAGCGCTGGGTGGGTGGGATGCCATTATTGCTGCGAAGGGGCTGGAAGGAGTTGAAAGGTATTATTTGATGGAAGACGGGCAGATATAAATACTACTGATTGTCTACGGCTGCGAAATTAAGGCCTGCAGCAGCAGTCTTTTCGCAGGTTGATGGCTTCGTATACGAGTATTTATATGTCTCTGATGCTCGTCCGTTCACGGATAGCGCTAGACGGAGATAGCGGAGACCAGTACAACCAGCTGGGGTGCAGGCCCGTTGTTATACGGACCTGAACTGGGCAACTAAAGGTTGTCTGGATGGACTTATCTCCATTGTCATTGTTCTTGCATGTATGATTGCGTATGATTTGCTGTCTTTCAGCCAGAGCAATTAGGCCTAAATGAGGCAAACTTTTTCTATATTGGCGTAGATATCCAGACAGGATTGTCGCAATTTCATCTCCTTGATAAATTATATCCGGGAACTACGCACAGTATAATCTGTATAGTAAATCCCATCTGGACTCAGCTTCGATGTCGGATAAATATTCCTACATCCCCGGTTGAAAAAAGGAAAAATCAAGCTGAGCAGTAAAAAAGCACAACCCCTAGATACCCGGACAAGGATCTCCAGATCCATCGGTTACACGATCTACGAGCTAGTTAGCTTCCTGCTTAGAAATCGACAACACAAAGCCCTCTCTGCAGAACTTAAAAAGCCAGATGCAACAAAGCAGGTTGACCGGCGAGCTGCATCCGGCGGCGAAGATGATAGATTATTAATCGCTCCACAGCCAGCATCTCTCCGCTGAGAACAGCCGATCTGGGCCGCTTTGAGAGATTAAGCTCTGCATGGGCATGGAACATAGGCTTCGATAGTGCTGGATTGAGTTGGTTTTGATGAGCCTGTTCATGAGTTCATGTCGTAACTCGCTACAAGCTGCTCCCGAGACCACGAAATCTATAGTCTGGAAAGCTCCATACAACGATCAGTAAATATCCGAGCTCTACTCAGTACACTCTCCATAGAAAAGTGATGGATGGTTCTCATGTCGACTGTGCCTATGTGAAATGTTTAAACTCCTTAGCAGCGTCTAAAGACTAGGCAATATTCGTAGCGTCTCCACTTCCATGACTACCATGGGCCTCAAGTCTCCATCGAGGAATCCACTCTTGAGCTATGACGATTGCGAGTCCCTAACTAGCTGTTGGTTATTCATGCAGCATTACTAAGGTCAAGGGATGAGAGGGACTTTGGGACGACCAAGCGGGTTGGAGGTATTCCCGAGGGTCTGCTCTGGGACATGCGCATAAGGGGTTGTTGTACGGTGTAAGCGTCCTCCTGTGTCCTTGCCCTGTGGATGCATGCAACATGCTTATCGAATCATAACAAGGTTTGCGCAAGAAAGAAGTACAGTAGTTAGTTACGGGGGGAAGCAGCTGGATACAAAGGGATCCTCAATATATAAAACACCGGCCCTTCCGCCCTTCGATGGGCCCCGTTTCCCTCTCTACATGCCGACACACAGTACAGGCGGGTAGACGGATTGCAACATATGTATGAATCTCTCCAGAACGAAATATCATAAAACCATGGCCTCCGTAAAGTTCCTTATTACAGGTTCGACGAGCGGCCTGGGTGCTTCTGTGCTCGCCACTCTGTACAAATCCGTCGACGACCCAGCGGAGATCATAGCTACCTCCTCCCGTGCTGAAGCCGCCGCCAAACTCCAGCAGGATTACCCGGGCACCCAGTTCCGGGTCGTCAACTACGACAACGAGCCAGCACTGGAGAAGTCCTTTGAGGGAGTCGAGCGACTGTTCTTCGTTTCAACACCTGTTGTCGATACAAATAGGAGGGCCAAGCAACATTCGAATGTCATTGAGGCCGCGAAGAAGGCAGGCGTTGGGCATGTATGAAATCCTTTTTTCTAAAATTCCATATTTGCAAATGTGGAACCCCCTGTGCAGGAGGAAGGGGAGAAATAATTTTCTTCTCTGTGAGTTTGCAGGTATATTACTCCAGCCTATCATTTGGCGGCTACGGATCGCATTCAAAGGCTGTCGTGCAGACGGCCCATTTAATCACTGAAGAGCAGCTGAAAAAGTACCAAGTATCCCTCGGGCTGAGAAATCTCGGTTTTTCCCACTGTATGTACTGTACATTCCTCGCTAACACATCCCCCAGATCCGGGATCTCATACACCTCCATCCGCGAAGGTATCTACGCAGAAGCTTTCCCCGTCTTCGCTGCCTGGTATCCCGATACAACCACCATGTACATCCCCACCGACGGCCGTATCGCCTGGACCTCCCGCAGCGAGCTAGGCGAAGCGAACGCAAAGCTCATGCTGCGGGACCCAGCCACTCTCCCCTCCCTTCTCAAAAACGACTACGACAACAACGTCGCCCTCCTCACTGGGCCCCGTGCGTACACCTTTGCGCACCTCGCTGAAGCTCTCACCCGCGCCACAGGCAGGAAAGTAACTCTGCAGAAGATCCCGCGGGAACAGTATGCAGCTGTTGTTGCCGTGGAGGACGCCAAGGAGGGCCACGGCGGGAAATCAGCGCAGTTCTTCGAGCTATGGGCTAGTTTGCTGGATGCAGTGGGCCAGGGTGAGGCGGAGATGGTGGCGCCGTTGATGGGCGAGTTGCTGGGCCGGCCGCCACGAGATGGCTTGGAGCATATTGAGGAGTTGGTGCGGGAAGCAGGACCTCAGGGTGGCTATACGTGGCACCAGAATTATGATATTGGCAAGAGGTAGATGGTTAACGGCTTTATTATTTGTTTATTAGTTAAGTTTGTGCATATGGACACGGGTGTTGTGTGATTTGACACTTAGCTTCCTTAAAATTATTGTTATTATTATTATTATTATTAACTATTATTATTATCATATATATTTTTGTGGTCTTTCGTCTGGACAAACCAGGTGTAGTGATTCCAACAGAATGTAGGCATCAAAGGCTCGTACTAGTTGCCAGTACTTATCATCGTCAACCATCCATATCTTTTCGGGAAGGGTTTATTTAGTTAATCGATATTGATAGTTAACTATCTACGGAGTATGCATGTCACCCGACAGAATCTACGGCACGTGCAAAGAAGAGGGCCCGTGTGGTTTGAAGAAAGTTGGAAAATGCCAGACAGATTGGCGTTCACCGGATATGATTTGCCTGTTCGTTATTAACTATATTATTTCTACTCCGTATTTGTTATTTATTATTTGTTGCTGGCGGCCTAGACTGACCCGATAGAGTGGTTCGTGGGGGCGACGGGTGGCTGGGGGCCAGGAAGTGAGAAAAGAAGGATATAAAGATATATCCATTCGTTGCAGTTGCATGGAGCTGATAGCGAATCTATTATTTGATACAGATCACCGTGGATGATTCCACGGATAGGGGTATATAATATATAACTAATATAACTATTCTGTATTCTGTATATGTAGTTACAGATCTGTGCCGTGCAAGTGCAATCACTTTCTTTCAAGCCCACTTTTCGCATTCTGCATGAAAGGAACTTAGTGAAGTAGCTAAATAATAATAAATAATGCCATTCATTTCCCTGCTGTATTTTCTTTTTCTCCCGTTTTGCATGACGGGCCCCGAAAAATGAAAGCCCGTTTTCTTCTTGAGATGGGCTGGTGAATAGTTCCATCCCTTATCTTTCCCTCCTTTGTCAACCCATCGGGTGTTTCTCTTCCTCTTTCTCTTTTCTTGTTTTATTTTATTATTATTATTATTATTATTATTATTTTCAACCTCCCAGGCTTGCGGATCAGCCATTCCATGGACGGGTGATCCTGGGGTAGCACTGCCGAAAGGGCCTGTACTTGTCCCCCGTAGCAAACATTCGTGTCGACACCCATCGCCGTCGAGAGTGTGTGCTGTCGAGGCCATTGACACATCACAGCAGCCGCATCGCATACGCACCGCCCTCTGCCTTCGGGATATTGTTGTTTTTCCGGTGTGGTGGTGTGGTGTTGTTGTTGTGTTGTTGTTGTTGTTGTTGTTGTTGTTGTTGTTGTTTGTTTCATCCGGCGACAGAGTTCGTCTTATTAGTAACAAACCTCCGCCCTCGCCGTCAACTTCACCGTGTCCTCCTACCAGCCTTCTTGACTTGCTCCTCTCCCCCAGTCCCGGACCGCTCGAGGAACCAGGGCCAGGAACACGGTCAGGAACGCTGTCCTCTCCCAATCTCCTGTTCCCCAGCAGGTTTCCCCAGAGCATGTACACGCTCAAACAAGACCGCCCGCATCCTGTCCCACCACCACCGCCTCTCACCATGGATCACCTCCAGCATGGCTATTCCACCAACACACCCGTTACTCTTCCTGGCATCCCAGAGGCTGCCAGATCTGTTTCCACGGTTTACGAAGGTCGCATCTACTCCCTCGATGTCGTCCAGCAACCCATCCGCGCGAGAATGTGCGGCTTCGGCGACAAAGTCCGTGCTATTTCTCTTTCCTCCCCACTCCCCTCTTCCCCTCCACCTCCACCTCCACCCACCGGGGCTCCCCACCACCATTGTTGGCACAACTGCACACCTCGCCTCTATTTTTATTTTACACGTAGCTAGCTAGCTATATCTGCTCTCCCACCAAAACCAGAGTTCAATTGACTAACGGCGCGTCGTGTATATTTATAATTTTTTCTATCTAGGACCGGAGACCTCTTACCCCACCACCCTGTATTAGGCTGATAGTCCGCGATGCTACCACCCAGAAGGAGATTGATATCAAGTGCGTTTTCCCTTGCCCAGTATTTCTGGCTTGGATATGAAATCTAATACGTTTTTGCGCTCGAACCGCGCACCCTGTCTTAAAAGCGAGATCGACACCTCATTCTACGTCCTGACCGTCGACTTGTGGAACGCTGAGGGGACCAGCGAGGTCAACCTCGTCAGACACTCGGCTACATCTCCTTCTATCTCTACCGCTACCTCCTCCGCCTACCCGCCTCCTGCCAACATCATGCCTTTCCCCCAATATGCCCAGGCCCACGGATACCCGCAAACCGCATACCCGCCCTACTACGGTGGACAACCAGGCTACAACCCTCACGCTGGCTACCAATATCCCCAGGGAGGTCCCGATCCATATTACCCGGGCCTCCCAGCTGCTAGCACCTACTACCCTCCAGGCACGCCCACCCAGGCCCTTGGACCCCAGTCTGCGCTGGGCCCGCACATTTCAAGTGCGTCCACGGGCATGTTTACCCGCAATCTGATCGGCAGTCTGAGCGCCAGTGCCTTTCGCCTGACGGACCCGGATGACAAAATCGGTGTCTGGTTCGTCTTGCAGGATCTCAGCGTTCGCACTGAAGGCTCGTTCCGGTAAACGTTCCTCTGACTCTCTCTCTCTCTCTCTCTGTTCTCCTCTCCTTCTCTCCCACACGCTCTCTACTAACGCTCTTCTTTTGACAAAATGTCCTAGACTAAAAATGAACTTCGTCAACGTTGGCACCCAGAGCCAGGCCCAGGACCAATCACCCGGCGGAACTCCGTCCAGCCCCGTGATCAATGTTGGTTCGGCACCTGTGCTGGCCTCGGCCTTCTCGGAGGTTTTCCAGGTGTACTCCGCCAAGAAGTTCCCGGGTGTCATCGAGAGCACACCGTTGAGCAAATGCTTCGCGTTTCAGGGTATTAAGATCCCCATCCGTAAGGATGGGGTGAAAGGACCCCGCGGTGGACAGTCACATGGCTCCAAAGGCCAGGATGGAGAAGGGGAAGATTGGGAGAATGAAGGGTGATCTTTAGTCTTCTTGGCTTCTTGTCTTTTTTTTTTTTTTTTTTTTTTTTTTTTTTTTTTTTAATTAATAAAAAAAAACCAAAATTTGGTTTTTCAATTTTTAATTTTCTTTTACTTCTTTCTGCGGTTCTTTTCGGGAACGGCGTTGCAGAATGGACTATTTTACTTCCCCTGGTGCCTTCTTCCTGGGTGTCTCTAATATTCGGTATTGTGTATCGTTTCTTCTTTTTCTCTTCCTCTCATTTCCCCTCCCCCTTTTCTTCTTGGTTGTCCTTCCCTCCTCCTTTTTCTCCCTTATTTCCTTTGCTTTCCCCTTTTATTTTTATCTTTAGTTTTTACCTTTCTCTTTCTTAGCTTTTCTCGAAATACGCCCTGCGAAATTGGATGAACCGGGATGGGTTATGGTTACTTGGGTTCGATCTGGTGTAGGCCTCTTTTATGCTCGTCTGCACACTTGCGGATACTTTCATTTTTTATCTCTTTTCCGGCTCTGCTTTTCAACAAAATGACATAATAAGATATATGGAAAAGAGGGAAAACAAAGAACAAAACACGAAAATGAAACAAAAAAATAAAATAATATAATATAATATAGCGAGGGAGTCAATCAATGAGCATGGCATTGTGTTTGGCTTGTAGATATAGACCGTAATTCCAGCAGAGGCTGGTTTTGATCTGCCTTGTCCATGGAACCAATAATGTATTTATTGTACGTCCTATTTTCATCCGACTAGAGATAAGACAAACGACAGATGCCTTTTCCCCGCCTTCATTGCTCCTACTTACTCCCAGCATGCCTTCATATAGCACATGTGATGTGATTTTTTCACGAAATGGGGAGGGGTTTGGGTTCATCATTGATATTTTTTTCTTTGCATGTGCCAAAACCTTGTTACGCAGCATTTTCCACCAGGGCCTTCACCCCCTGCCCCGCTCCGCCCTGATTAAAGATCGTTGCCGTCGTCCTGTCCTGTGCTAGTATCTCCAGGATCTACCGCTAAACACCGACCCCGAACAAAATGACTGACCAAAAACGAATATCCACCGGCCGCGGAGGCGCAGGTACGTAGCTCATTCATATATATACCTTAATCCCCTTCACATCGGGTTAGATATAGCTCCATCCAGCTAATTCCGCACAAAACCATCTGGCTAGGAAACATGGTTTCTGTCCCAGGAACTGCAACTCCAGGAACGGGAACGGGAACTGTAGCTGGAGCTGGAGCTGGAGCTGGAGCTGGAGTGGCAACGGTTACATCCCGGACGCCCGCTGACCTTGTAACGCCCACCATCAAGTCGGATATGTATACCACAGGCCGTGGCGGGTCGGGGAATATAGTTGCCAATGACGATCCGGCCGTCGCACGCATGGCGCAGGATGTGGAAGTAGATGTGATAGGGGAGAATAAGGGGGAGAAGGTGTTTTTGGGGAGGGGTGAGTTCAAAAAAAATATATTTTTTTTTTTTTTGTTTTTCTTTTTCCTCCTCGTTTTTTGGTCATCATTTGTTAGTTCGTTGTGGTTGTGGGTTTGATTTTCGATTTCAAGGGGTTATGGATCTGCTTTTGACATTGTTTTGGATCTTGCCTCTTCTTCCTCTTGTTTACCGCTAACGGAAATAGGTGGTGCGGCCAATCTATATGACACTTCCATTGAGATGGATAACAATAAGGATGCCCATTGATAAGGCAATCATGTGAGGGAGTAGTTTGAAGAAGGATCCTGAGTTCGAGTTTCATATATCAAATGACTAGTATAAGATGTTTGACCATGGCGAGATGGTTAATGACCGGGTGATTTCTCTTGATACCACGTTTCTTTCTTCTTGTTCTATTGCAGTTGCCATTCATCCATATCCATTGGAACTGGTTTGTTGTTTCACGGTCGACACCTTTACGGGGTCATCGAAAGTCAATAGAAGCACGACGAGCGTTTTCAGGCTCCATTAGCAGCTAAATCAGTACGAATGATGGATTCACCACAAGGCCATTCTCTGAGCCTATTCTTCTTTTCCCATTTAGATAATCAGCAGGGGACACCATTGACCAGTTCTTGAGCTGACCATATCCCACTTGACCTCCTAAGGATCCCCAGGGAATTTTACGCAGGCCATTGTAGATACGCATAGCTCGCATCAAACCTACTCCGCACATGCCAACCGTCTAAGCCCCTAATATCAAACAACCGAAATTGCTAAACTACTGCTTCCTTGGATCCTGGCTAGCAGATTCATAGCTTTGCATTAAGCGCCAATAACCGGGAACACAATCCCGCCAAATTGTGCCGAACCCCTCAGCATCTCGACGTCAGTACCTGTGCGGTTCTGGAGAAATAGTCAACTCGTTCAGAAGCTGACAACGCGCTTGAACCATACGTTTGGAGGCAGTTTCCAGGGTATGTTCCCGCAAAGGTATCAGATGCGTCGGTAACGACAAAACTGTCATACCCTTGGTCGATCGGACTAAGCGCAGCGAATGCAAAAAAATAGCTCTGTTAACGCGCCACCATCATCTGTAAGCGGCTCATCTTTTCGTGAGCGTCTGAAAAATAGTATTCAGGTGCCACACGACAACTTGTTTCTTCTCAGTTGCTTCGACATCTTTGACAAATTATTTTGTCATTCATTAAATTGATTTTTGGCCAGGGCGCTGAATCAGGGGAGCGTTGGGAATGGTTTCTGGAATCTCTTTGGCAATCGGGCCGTTTGGGTCAGCCTAAAACGAGGAGGACAGAATGACTGGTGTTTTAAAATACCTCGCTACTTTGCCAGGGCCATAACATTGGGTAGTGTGAAATTCACGAGGATCAAAATTACCGACCATCTGAATGAGCCTGGACTCCTTGTTGACAGAACACCAGCTGCCCAAAACAAATGGTAACACATGATACAAGAATATGGCTATACCTGGTGGTCGACAAACTGAAAAACACAGTTATCACTGTCATTCGTAGGCAGGCGGAATGATGAATGTTGTTGGAAGAAAAGGTCAAAAGCAACCCGTAATTTTGATTGAGTAGGATGACGAATTAACCACAACGCGACTTGCGTAAGACTTCGGAATGTATGAATTGCCGACTCTGGCGGGGAAACTGAAAAAAATCCTTCAATTTAGCCTCAGGCTACGGGCTTGCATTGTCTTCTCACACTCTCACATGGCTTTGCCGTGTCAACTGCATGTTCGCATCAAGTACGCGGTGCTAGGGTTTAGTCCGCCATTGCCATGGATTCCTTTTGCGGCACTGATCTTAGACAACCAACTCCACGGCAAGAACATTGATGGTAATGATTTATGAATGAACACATCAGAGATGTAAATATCTGAGGCTGACAAGTTTCAAAGGATTGATCTTATTGGTTGCTCGTGTAGTCGGATTTGGAGAGCCGGTTTTATCTCGGTTCCGATCATTCGATATCGAGAGAGCTGGTGCCAAATTTCCTTGTGAAGAGGCCTTAAAGGGTACCTCACATTTATCTCTCCCCCACTTCTGCATGGGAACTGTTTGTGATTCCACTCATTGAGAACAATGGTAGGTTTATGGGTACAAAACAGGGAGTAATGAGCCAAGATATGTGCAGATGCTGCTAGCCGTTTGCTTGTGTTGGTCGCCCGTCCAGCCCAGGGACCAACATGTGGGAGGGCTTTATTGATATCGATATGAGGGGTCCGACCATGTTAGCTCATGCTTTCAAGAAGTATCTGTGTGTGATGGTTTACCATGTTGGCTGGAAATACAGCCTCAGATGTATGCTCCATGCGCGGCAGGTCAGTCCGGATTTTAGATGCACATATAACACATGAGGTAGCGCCCAGGATATTCATACGCAACGTGGTGGCATGTTCGCGTACCCAGCGAATGGCAATTGTTCTTAGAGTACATGACGGTTGAATCTCTTCAGGAGTTTGAGTTCGATGGCACAAACAGCTAACTAAATAGAGAAAAACATCTTACCTATTTGGGCAATTCAGATGCTTCAGCTCCAGCAGCCACATGGGAGATTCAGGTTTTTTCCATTCAAGTTGGATGGAATATGACAAGATCGGTTCTTTGCGAAAGGGAAACTATATTTACTTAACCTAGTTGTCCTTACGGTTCTTCCACCTTCCTGTAACGCGAAATACATAGCATCTGAAGTTAGCCGTGTTCACATCGCTGTCGATAGCCTAGCAGCTAACTAACCCCGGCCAAAATGAGGACTGCGTCCCTCCCGCTCGAGTCTCTGCTTATTGTCAAGCATCCTCTTCAGAGACTGCATTCTCCCTCTCGCGGGTTTTCTGCGGTTTTACATGTCAGTGAAAGGCTTATTATATAATACCCACGCGCTTCTGCTTCTGGACTGTGTTGCGATAGCAATAGAGCTTCGTTCAAATAGCTACTAGTAGCTACTGTCAGAATTGATATTGATTGATTACGTTTCCTTTTGGTTTTCAGTTAGCTGCACTCTCGAGCTTCGCTTTTTCGTTCAAATAGTAAGTGTCGGTGGTGTTCTTGGTTGGGTGTATTTATATGTTTTATATACATTCATACTAGTATATACCTCTCTTCTCTGTCATGTTCTATCCTCTCCGTGATGTCCCTCATCTGATTGACGGATTCGGGGGATAAAATGATGTTTTTAGCATCATCGACCACCCGAATTTAGCGTACGTAGCTATCACAAACACATCATTTTCAATGAAACGATACATTCATGAACTCCGCTGATTAAAATCGATTCACAGGAGCGAGGCATACGGATGGCATTTCCAATATTTGACCATCATCGGCCTTTGCATGGCTACACTCACAAACCTGGTGGGTCTGGCTGCAGACGTATTTTTGTCAATACGCCTGTTTGCTGTCAAGAACGTTCTCCTGGTGTGTAGCGCACCAATGGAAGTGTTGATCAGTGTTTTATATTGGGGCTTGAAAATCGTACGGCCTCCCCCCTGACAACCTTGCTTGAAGCTGCAATGCCGTATGCCTAGTCTAATGATGCCTTGATTCCAGATTGATGCTAAGCTTGTAAGGCCCGATTGGGTGGAGCTATCTACGGAGGCTGGTGAGGCTCCTTTTCTTTGGTTTCGAGGTTGGATCGATTGGACTGATCCGTATATCAAAACACTACCATAATCGCTTCGGTTATAGATATTGGATTCCATGCCATTCCAGCCATAGTGTTGGCCATCGATCTACTGTACCTTTCGCCCCCTTGGTCTATAGGGGCTATCCCATCTATGGGATTGGCTAGCGTCATCGCGTTTGGCTACTGGTTTTGGGTGGAGAAGTGCTACCAGTACAACGGCTGGTATGTATCTCAGTTCCCATTCATATGCTTTTGATGTATGCTTAAATTCGACTTTTTATCCCAACAGGTACCCTTATCCGATTTTCGAAATGCTCACTACTGGCTGGCGAATCAATCTTTTTTTGTTCAGTGCTATCCTGATGACCATAAACACTCTGTTATTGAAACACATTTATGGTCGGATTAATGGCTTCCTCCATCCCATTTCAGACACACATCCAGAAGATTTGAAAAAGGCTTAAAAAGGCTCTGCGCCTATTATAACCCCTCCGCCCTTGGCGTGTGGATATGATGAAATCGATCGACTTGCGTTATTATATCATCATGTCCTGCGTTGCCAAATTGGGGGTAGTTCAACTTGCCGATGTCAAATCATTCCCCCATTACTTTATCTTAGTAAGAGCGCATTTGGACCTCGTTCTGTAGTTTGTTTGATGCCACTGTTTAAAACCCATGAAGAATAATGCAGCACAGAGCAGAGGGACGCTTGATGATTATTACCAGTAGTACATGTTAGTTTGGTTGTGGAGTTACTAGTACGTTCTCTATTATTGCGATTACGTGGTATGTCGAAATGAGCAATGGATAAATCTAGCGAATAGGCAATGAAGGGCATAGATATCAGAATAAAACGCGCACTTCGAATAACTTAGATCGGAATCTACATATGTTCCGCCTTTCTTCGCGGGCTGCATGCCAAGACCCTAACAATCTGGCTCCGGCTTACATCATGATCTCCCAAAAGCTTCCTCACCACCGAACATACGACAACACCTCAACACACACACGAGCACACAGACACACACAGGCATACACTGACACACGAACGATCATTGCACACCCCACTAAAATGCATCTCACCGTGATAAACGGGCCCTTCCGCACTGCGGCCCTGGGCAGCAGGATCCCGTGCAGTTTGAGCCCATTCATTCTGTCAAGCTCCTCCAACACTGCTGGGGCGCCAACCAGCTCATCGTTCCCCGCGTTGCACCAGCAATGCAAGTATAGCACTTCTCGATCCCTAAGGACTCAACCGCCGCAACGGCAGCAGCGCCATGCGAGTACTGGATGCAGTGGACAGCCGCTCTTCAAGTTCCAGCACAATCCGGCCTCGCGGATCCCAGACCGTTCTACCTTTGCCCTGCTTCACGTCTCCGCCGCCGCCACCACCACCACTACTGCTACTTCCCCTCGTAAATTCTCCACACAAGCTCCCTCGTCATCAACGAGTTCGTCCGCAAGCAGCCCATCCGCCCACAGCAGTACACCTCCCGAAAACTTGCCCCTCGATTGGAACTCCTTCTTCCGCCTCCGTGCCTCTCGCCGGAAATACTCGCTCGTCTCATCCATCATAGCATCTGTTTTCAGCACTGCTGGTGGCGTGCAAGTGTTTGTAGCGAATAATATGGATTCCATAGGTGCGCAGGCTTTGGGCCTTGATCCATTCATTGTCCTAGGTTTGGCAACTGCATCTTGTGCGGCGTTGGGATGGCTGCTTGGCCCGGTATTGGGCAATTCCCTCTGGGGCCTTGTGCATAGGAAATACAAGGCGGCTGTCGCATTGGTAGGTTTGGCTTTTTCTTTTCATCTCCACCCCCGCTCATCTCTGTTTCCTCCCACTCAAAAATTTTTGGCGTCCTCATTCTTACCTCTCATTATTTTTGACTTGCATGATTTTGCCATGGCCATCGTACTGACCATCGATGCCCCTATTTTCCATAACAGAAAGAAAAGGAATTCTACAGCCGGATAAAGCGGTTCCGTGTGGACCCTTCTGCCAATTCGTACTCCAACCCAGTCCCCGATTACTATGGAGAGAAGATTGGCAGTATCCAGGGCTATCGCCAATGGCTCAAGGACCAGCGTGCCTTCAATCGAAAGAGGCGAAGTTTCCTCTGAACTGAGGGCTGAATTGAACCAATTCCTCCAAGACGCTAGAGATATTTCAAAAAGCGTACTTGAAGAAGCACAAGGATATTGCGGGCACATTAGAATTTTGGCTAGGGGTGGGATTTTGGGAGTGAAGGGTTTGTGAAATGTTGTTTTATGGTCCATTCTTGTTGAGGTGATTTATTTACCTTTTGTATCACGGCAGAATGGGTGATGTTGTTTTACCCAATCGTGGTCATATGTGGACCTTGTTCTGTCGACGTCCTTTACTTTCTTTCCTTTGTTTGTTTTTATCCTATGTGGAATGCTATTTTCATATGTACGGTTGCTGGCTCCCTGTCCAATCGTTTTTTGATTCTGATCCTTTCGATATCCGATTGATAAACCTGTATCATCATAACCTTGGCATTTGAGTTGGCTTAGTACGTCGGCTTCCTCGCACGCCTTCGCGGGTAGCGTCTCTAGTAGTTATCTTATTGCCTCTATCCATCTCATTCCTCGGCTTAAGTTTGTGAATTAAAACTTATATTCTTTTTGTCATGCTCTCGCGCAACTTGCGTGAGCTCCGATAAATTTTCAAGGGTGTAATTTATACCATCTATATATCTCCGTTTTCCTAAAATTGAGCAGAATAAAACGCAGAAATAAGCAATCGAATCCCACGTTATCAGTTTGTAGGGCGTTGTTGACCCAACCTGTCTTGCAATTCGCTGGTATGAGTAGGAGAAGGAAAGGTTATAATAAAAAGTGAATTATTGAAAATACGGCAGAAGCTATTTGAATTGAGACGAAATAATGTGCTCTATGCATAAAGGGGAAAAGAAAGTGCGGGGTCTCGTTGTTCAGCATCAAGGTAAAAGATGGAAACGGAATAGTTAAATATTGTCCGAACTGTGAAATGCCTTTCTTGAGAGGGAATAAATAAAAGACTACAACCAGATTGGAAACAAGAGAGAAGTAGAAAAAGAGAAAACAAAAAAAAATAGGGTCATAAATCGATGATATAAGCTGGTAGGTTGCTGCACATTTATTTTTTCGAGCCCGCAAAAGCAGAGGGTGGGTGTTGTGACTAGTAAAATGTTGGATCTACGTAGTTATAACTAATGGCAGGGACAAGCTGGCAGTGGTCTTGAACATGGGTCCGCGGTAAAGTTAATATCGCAGTTTGCAAGCCTACTATATCGCCTACACGCCTCAATGGCAGCGCTGGCAGCTTCGATCGAATTGAAATGCATCCGCAACTCGGTTTTAGATGCATTCTCCTCCATATCATCCCCAAGATCGAAATACATGGGAAGCTCCTTCTTGACATATGTTGCAACGTCCGCATACCTCTCGGGATCATGAGGGCCTTTGATGGAGATACACCTCGTGTGGCCACTGCTGATCTTTTGTTCCATATCCCCCGACATGGGATATGTAGCCTGTTCAAAAATCCCGATACTGGCACGTTGATCGTCGAAGAACACTCCATGGTTTTGGGAAAACCTGACATATGCCCTTGCATTCTTTTCGTAAACGAACGTGACAATCCCCATGTGATAGCCCGCAACGCGCTCCATATTCATCAGATGGGCAGCTAAGACCGGTCCGCCGCGTACAGCTTGGAATAAGTGTCTCAGGCAGCAGCTGAGGGGGAGGTTCGCAATGGCTACTGTTCTATAACAATTCCTTTCGGCCTTGGAGGGGTCGAAGATAAGCCCGTGTTTAAAGAGTCCCAGAGGGTATTTGGTGCGAGGCTGTGCGTTCAGGGCTTTGGCTTCCTGGGCGGCATCATCAAAGGGGGAGGAGGTGGGAAGGGTGTATGTGACTTTTCCATCCCACGGCACAGGGATTGGCCGTCTAGCACTTCTTGGGCTTGCTGGTCGCTGTGTGGTCTGCACATCGAGGTAAGAAAGAGTTATCAAGGAAGGAGTTTGAACGGAAGCGGGATGTATTACGTACTGGCAACAAGCGTTTGGATTCTGTATAATAGTCTTGAGCCACGTCTGTTGGTGATACAATACCTTCCAATAGAGCCTTGATTGTTTCTTTCTGACCTCCATCGCTATGGGTGTTCATATAAGACGCCGCTTGCATCTCCAAATGAGATTCAAAGGCTCGAAGGTCGTCAAGTGAGTAATCCTGGCTTGGAGTTACAGGCTTTTCAGATGCCGGGCTGACATCGTCCAAGAGATCTGGTCTCTGTTCTGGAGGAGATGACAATGGAGAAGAGTCCACCACTCCAATTGAATGGCTCTTCTGTACAATTGAATGTAATTTCAACTGGAGTATCTGATACCGCATCTGCGCGGATAAAGCATCACCATCTGATTTTGCTAAGCCACTGTGCATGCCTCTCGGCTGTGGAGACTTGGAATTGAACAATTGCGCAGATTCGGAACGCGCTCCAGGCACGCTTTGATTTTCGTTTGCACCTTCTTCGTAGTCCACGGGCTTCGTAGGAGCTAGTCGATTCTTTCTTAGCTCCCTTTCAAGCAATGAGATGCGGGCATCCTGCTCAGCTAGACGCCGCTGAAGAGCTTGTAGAGCATTTTCCGAGGTCGACCCCAAAGGCAGTTTCGTTGCTTGTACATTGGGTTGTGAGCAACCACCAGGAGTAAACGAAGCCCTTTCCACCTGGGAGGCCGACAACCTTGACAGGCTTGAGACGGTCCCCTCCATTCCGACGTGATTTGTCAACGGATCTGAGCAAGCCGAATGGCAAAGAGTGAGAATTGCTGAATAAAACACACGTTGAGTTGACGAAAGCAGAGCTGTTATGTGGCTTAAAAGAAAGACACTGAAGGTAAGAGGAAAAGGCGAACTATACAAGCCGTGGGATGAGCCCGTGTTATGTAGCTGAAGGGTGGCTGGAGGGAGATGGGAATGAATGAGGTGTGAAAGGGGGTAGTAGTAAAGAACGAAGAATGAAGAATGAAGAGTGAAGAGTGAAGTGAAGTTCCAGTGACAGCAACAACCGGGGATGGTGATAAGAGGTAGAAAGGGACAAACAGGGTTAAGTTGTGAACGACGAACAATGCCTACCCCAAGCCGTACCCGTAAGAACAAGACCACGCCAGTGCCTGTAAGGAGGCCCCGGGCTACAAGCAATATGAAGAAAATGGAGCGAGCCACCCCGATCAGAACCTTCCCACCTCAGAAGTATGGGAAACCATACATTTAGGAGACTACTGAATGGACGGAATCTCAGCTCTTCACCCTGATGAGCATCTCTTATGGAAGGGTTATATTGATATCAGAGAAATCACCATTGACCACACTCCTTTCTTTCAACAACTTACATCCGAACAGTTTCAGATTTTGAAGACAATTCTTGAGAACAGCTCTTCAAAGATATTTCTCTCTGAAGCATTCAGCAAATGATGGCCACACCATTTCACTCTGAATGAAAAGATTAAAGATGTCAAAACAGCTTCAATCACCACTGAAGAAGTCTTGTCCCTCACAAATACTAAATCTCTGATCAGAATCTTTATGTATCAAGGAAAGTCTATGATCAGTCTTTCAGAAAATCTGCTTTCAGAGTCTACTGAAGTGAGCTTTATATCTTCTGCTGAATGAAATGAGATTCTGCAACTACAGAAAGAACTTGAAGAGAAGATTGCTGCAATTGCAACCAAGATTCTTAGAAGGTGAAGAACTTAGAGATACCAAATGCATCACTTGTTAGTCAAAATATCTCCTTGAAAACTGAACTGTCTTCTGCCTTACAAGCTCCACTACCTTTAGAAGCAGTTGACAAGCTTAATAATGCTATTGAGCACATTCATTCCATGCTGTCTGCCAGTATGACTGGAACAAGCAAGAGACCCCTTGAAAGAACTGAGATGGGAGATTTCAACAAGAACAAGCAAGTGAAGACTGCAACAGCTGTCTCAAGATCAAGTGTCTTAGAAATACTTCAGAGAATGAATGAGATCTCCTTTCATGATGATGCTAAGGATCCGAAGATGTCAAATCCTTCAATGAGTGAGGATCAATAAAGTCAAGAAGTGCTTGTATCAGAAGTCTCTGAAGAAGAATCCCTCCTCCTTTCAATGGATCTAGAGATTACATCAGTTCAATCCATGCCATCATCTCAAACCCATCTCAAAGCTAGCACCAAGAGCATCAGATTTGTCAACAGATCTCTAGCAGAAAGTGATGGTGAGATAAAGGAAATCTTTGACACTGTGAAGCAGCACATCCTACATTTTGGTGGAGATCTTATCTTGTGATGCAAAGATGATTATTATGACTTACTCAAGGCTGGGATCCCCTACTCAAGGTTATTGCAAGAGCTTGACTTCCGGGGGATCGAATTCAATGAACCTTACCTCAGAAAAGAGATAGCATCGGTGTTCAAAGCTCGCCCTTCCCCACAGCTTCGGGTTGGCTTGTCACGTGTTGTTCCTACTTCATCGCCCGGTATCGATATCCATTTATAAGGTGTTGGAAAGGGGAATGAGAAGAGCAAAAAGGATTCGCAGCCCCGAAACCGATCAATTGGAATGTGTTCCATTCCAGATATATCAAGCGTCTGCTTCTCTAACCATATCTAGCCAGCAGAATAGGCCAAAGAGCTGACCAAGAACAGAAGATGAGGGACTAGAATCAAATATAGAAATTAGTCTTTGCTGTGCAATATTCTAACCATAAGCAAGTCAAGACACAGTTACATACATACACGAAAGGAATTCCCAGCTTCCTAAACCACGAATGAAATTTTCAAAGAGTGTATAGAAAATCTGGCCGCTTATCCCCTCTCATCCCCACCTGCGTCGGATCAAGCCCTTCCACCCAATAGTTCCTCTCCCCACGCAGCCTCTTCCTGTTCTCTTTGCGAAGGAGGGTATACTGTAAAACACTCCCGCCTAGTAAAAATATGACTAGATATGCGAGTACAGTAGCGTGCCCCGGGTAGAATCTCGGTCTATCTTCTCCTCGATATATGTTCGATGTTATACAGCCCTGAATATTCCCCCATCCAATAACAAAACCAAGTATTATACCACGCTTGTAGACGCCTGTTATGCAATTAAAACCAGTTTTGAAAAAGGAGAGCCAAACAAAGGAGGAGGTAGTGGGGATAAGTACCTTCAACATTATTGCTTATCCATGCAATGGTATTTGGGATTGCGGGGTAAATGCCCATTGCGCCGAAGAACGTTCCAACGTACTTCACCGCTGGTCTTTGGGAAGCGAGGAGCATAGTGAACCCTGTAATACCACATAAGGATATAGCCATGTTGTAAATGCCCCGCTTACGAGTGCGATCCGCGATATATCCCACAGTAATAGTTAAGCATGCCGCAACAGCGTATGGCGGAACGGTGAGAAGCTGAGCCATAGTGGAGGAGTAACCTAGATGGGAATAAGGTTAGGTTGTTTTCTTTTACTTCTTTTTTTTTGTCTCTCTTTCTTTATTTTGAATCGACAGGAGTCACATTTACCCTAAGATTGATGTTAGAATCCAATTTAGAAACAAGTTCAATTTGTAGATATTTGCTATACTTACTAACTCAAAGATAATCGTCGGGACAAAAAGCGAGAATGCATAAAGGGACCCATTACAACCCATGTATATCATGGCTGACGTATACATTTTCCAGTCCTTTACACTGGCCCAGATATACTCTGCTTTGAATTCCTCGTGTGCGGCGCTGGATTGTTTGTCGGCGGCCAGACGACGGATCACCCGCTTGCGGTCGGCCTCTGTCAAGAAAGTTGCCTGGTCTGGGAAATCCTGGACAACCCAGAATGAAATAATGCCAATGACAACTGTGAACAGGCCTTCCAAGATGAAAATCCACGCCCAGCCAGGCTTCCCGCCAACACCATCCATTTGGGCGATAGCCGCCGCAAGCAGACCGCCAAACGAGCCAGCAAACGCCGCCGCGGAAAAGAAAATAGCCATCCGAATGCCAAATTCAGATCGCTTGTACCAACAGGACAGTAAGTATCCTACACCAGGGAATAGACCAGACTCAGCAGCTCCCAAGAACCATCGCGCGGCCATGAGACCGGAGAAATTGCGGACTAAACCCATACATGTCATGCAAATCCCCTTGAAGCACAAGGAATGTTAGTGAAATCACGGGAGCATACACCCTAGAATGAACGTGTAGGAGAGGCCATACCCAAGCCACCATTATCAGGGGGATGAAGACACTTGGTTTCCACTTCTTGAGCAAAACGTTGGTGAGTGGCTCGAGTGTCGAGTAAGAGACGAAGAAAATGGTGAGAGTCGCATTGTATTGAGTATTCGTCAACCTGAGAGCGGTCTGTAGTCCATCTAGCTTCGCATTTCCGATGTTTGTCCGGTCCAAGAAGCTGTTCGGGTAGCTCCGTTAGCAAAACAATACCAATCACACAGTTGTAAGAGAGGTCGTGTGTGTGACAAATGCTAATACCTAAGGAGGTAGAGGAAACTGAGCCACGGAATCAGGTGTTTATCCAGCTTTCGCACCAACTGCCTATCCTGCATTCCACATACACCACTTTGTCAGCTAGATAATTTCGCCATAAGATAACAGCTGCTGGGTACTACTTCGCGGTCACATACAACCACTGCTCTCTCCTCCGTGCTCAATCCAGTGTCCGGGTCGTCGACGTCGAGGTTAAGCACCTCCTGAGAGTGTTTGGATGCGAAATTGTGTTCCAAGCTCCTTCTGCCGGCTTTCGCATCGGAGATCTCTTCGCCGTCTATTTTCCACATCGTGGACATCGGGCCACGCAAAATCTAATGCGGGAGGAAAGGAAGAAGAAAGCAGAGGGGAAAATCGGAGAAGTGGAGAGAGATAGTAATGAAGCCATTCCCAAGCAGAAACAGATTAAACCTCGGTGGTTGTACAAGATATGACACAGCCATATTGCTGGGGGCAAATGGTCGCCTCTCCCTTCTTCCGGTTCTAAACTTGGGCACAGCATTCTGAAAACAAAAGTAGAGACATGTCACGGTTCCATGGATGAGCGTCCAAAAGCTTAACTCTTCAGATAGGTCCTAGTCCCTAGTTTAGTTAGTACAGTGGGGGGTATTAAGTTTGAAACCCCTGGCCGCCGAGATTACACTAACCATATAACGTTAATATCTATATGCTGCTTTTTGCAAAGATCTTTATATTAATATTTTGTATACCATCCTTCTGCCTCTATAACTGCCTTCACTCGATGAGGCATTGTAGCAGAAAGATTATATAGAATGCTATCATCAATTGCATTCCATGTCTTCTTAGCTGTCTTTATTAAAGCTCTTTTTGTAGCTACTGTATCTGATGCATGCTTCAGCTCTGAATGCAGTTTATAGATTTTCTGCTTCAACAATGCCCAAAGATTCTCTATAGAATTCAAATCTGGAGAATATGGAGGCCAAGGCATGATCTCTATATTCATCTCCTCAAGAACCTCCCTAACTATGTGAGCTGTATGAACCCTGGCTCCATCATGCATGAATATATCCCCCTCTCTCACAAATTCAGGTAAAAAGGCCCTATACACATCCTTTATCACTCTTGAAGAAAGGGGTAAATAGTATGATAAAAGCAGCATTCCAACATAACTGGGTTTGGGTTAGTGATATCTTGGCATCACAGGTGTGGCAGGGGGGGGGTTCAAATTTAATACCTGACACTGTAGGTAAACAAGCACCGAGGAGCGGTTTCAAATTGTGCCTGTGCCCCACCCCAACCATAATGATATTTTGATCAAGAATCTCAACTATTCTTATTAAAAAAATCAATTACTCAATCAATCAAAGGTGTTGCTATTAACTAAACAATATTATAGATATCATCAAGAGTTAACTTATTTCACCACTTGCTGGGACACTAAATCACATGATATAGTATGTTTTAGAAACACCGATCAAAAGAATACAACTTCAACCTCATACACTCATCGATTGTAGCTGCTTGATATAGAATTTAATAATGATGAATATAAATCAATTTGCTTTAGCAGCTTTAGCAGCTTTAGCAGTTCAAAAATGTAAACTCAATTAATGAAAAGCTGTCAGATTATGTAATACTTCTAAACCAAGTTTATACTTGTACTTTCAATTATACAATTTGAAATAAAATCTGTTGAGTACTGAGCAGCCATGAACTCTATATAGTTAGCTTCAATCATAATCAGATTAATCATTCTGCAAAATCATCTTTGATTCAAACAGATAAATGACTTCTATCATCTAAAGAAGATTGTCGGAACTAGATAAAGTCCGAATATTGATCCAAATACTGAATATCAAAAGAATAATTAAATTTCTTCTATTAACTCCAGTAATTACATGATATCTAGGCAGTATTTATAAGAAAGAAGATGCTTGAACATATGATAGGGGCAGTGCTGATATCTTATCGGAACATCCATCCGGTTTCCGATATTGTCACAATAGAAGATCCTTGTTAATGTAATCAGTAGAATCTGAGATATGATATATCACTTCTGACAAAGATACTCTTATACAGTGGATTCATACAGAGTCTGTGTACAACATCTAGATATAAATTGCATCTCTATAGACTATATTGATATCTAGAATCAGAAGTAATAATAGAACACGTTCTATATAGAGTTTGATATCATATGATTTAATGTCTCAGAAGGCGGTGTGTCTCAAGAAGTGGTGAAGTATATCAGTTACTTAATTAACGTAATTCCCAAGCGAGCGAGCAGCCCAAGCGAGCGAGCAGCCAAATTCTTCCACCTACTAATTTACCTACTCATCCACTTCAACGCGCAATTATGCCACCAATTCGCTCTAAAGATGCTAGGAACTCTATAGAGATAGAGGGAAGACTTGAACTCGCGATAAATGCTATTAAAAAGCAGGAAATATCCTCTATTTCTGAAGCTGCACGCATCTTTAATGTGCCACGCTCTACACTTGGTCATAGACTCAGTGGTCGATCTTCACGGGTGAATTTACGCGCAAATTCACATAAATTAACTCCTGCTGAAGAGGATAAGCTTGTTCAATGGATCCTAGACCTAGCTTTACGAGGACTACCACCCCGGCCTGCATTTGTGGAGAATATGGCTAATCATCTTCTTGCCATACGGAAGCCTAGCCATACAAACCACCCTCCTCGCGTTGGCAAGAACTGGGTGTCAAATCTAGTGGCACGCCGTCCAGAGCTCCAATGCCGCTTCTCAAGACGCTATAACCATGATCGGGCCAAGTGTGAAGACCGCAGGATTGTGGAGGATTGGTTTAAGACCCTAGAGAGGGTAATGACTGAGCATGGGATTGTGTTTGAAGATATTTACAACTTTGATGAAGCTGGGTTTGCAATGGGGCTCTGTGCAACTACCAAGGTCATTACTAGTGCTGAGCACTACGGACGAGCAACTCTTATACAGCCTGGGAATCGTGAGTGGGTGACTGCAATTGAGTCAGTCAACGCGTCAGGATGGGCCCCTCCGCCGTATATTATCCTCAAAGGTCACAATATTCAGGAAGGCTGGTTTGACGGGCTGCCGGAAGGCTGGAGATTGGATGTTAGTCCTAATGGCTGGACCACAGATGAGATAGGAATCAAATGGCTTACACGGCTGTTTATTCCAGCTGCAAATCCACGCAGGGTTGGAACCCATATTCTTCTTATTCTGGACGGGCACGGCAGTCATCTTACTCCGGAATTTGACCAAATCTGCAGTGAGAATAAGATTATTCCTCTCTGCATGCCACCACATTCTTCACACCTTTTGCAGCCACTAGATGTGGGTGTTTTTGCACCTTTAAAGCGCGCGTACGGAACCCTAGTTGAACAGCGAATGCGGCTAGGATTCAACACCATTAAGAAGGCAGATTTCCTAGATGCCTATCCTGCAGCACGTCGGGAAGCCTTCAAGGCTTCAAACATTCAAAGTGGGTTCAGGGCCACTGGAATAGTTCCATTGGATCCTCAATGCGTTGTTCAGCAGCTGAATATTCAACTCCGAACCCCTACTCCCCCAGCCAGCAGGTCAAGCAATTCAACGTCATCCTGGATCCTACAAACACCTAGTAACCCCCGGCAATTGCAGAAGCAGGTGAATAAGGTCAGAAATCTTATGGATCAGGATCAACCTCATGGGTTAGTGGAAGGCTTTGACCAAATAATCAAGGCCTGCGAATACGGGATGGTCAGCGCCATGATTATGAAGAAGCAGTATGAGGATATTTTCAATGCAAATGAGAAAGAGAAGCAAAAACGCAAGAGGTCTACACGCAGGATCCCAAGTGCAGGGGGTCTAACTAGGAATGAAGCTCAGAATCTTATTATTCCTGCAGCTGAGCCTGTTGAACAGCCTGTTATTCAACATTCCGTACCTGCGGCCCCGGAGCCTAGACCCCGCATACGAGCGCCACAACGCTGCAGCAATTGCAATACTGTTGGGCATACAAGAATAAGATGTCCTCAACTTCATGTAATTTAATTTAATTTAATTAGTGGTTGGTGGGAGTAGATAATTTGATTTAAATTCTGGTTAGTTGAGATATGCTAGTTTTGCTGCTCGCTCGCTTGGGCTGCTCGCTCGCTTGGGAATTACGTTAACAATAAATCAGATTATAAAGAATCTAGTAACGTAATCCACAAGCGAGTCGGACACACAAGCAAGTCGGCCACTCAAAAACACATATAAAATGCAATAAATTACAACATTATATCTCAACAATTACTGAAGATATAGATTAGATATCTTAATATTTAATTAAATATAATATTAAAAGTATATTTCTTAATTTCTAAACTACTAGCTGATCTTATTACTTATATTACAAAAAGTACATAGTAATTTATGTAAAATACTTAAAATCTAGTATTATATATTATATTTTACAGAAATCTAGTTCAAATTCAATAATTAATTAGAAAAGAATATATATATTAATATATTTTTATTTGAAACTATAAATTATCTAGTTGTTGAGATATAATGTTGTAATTTATTACATTTTATATGTGTTTTTTGAGTGGCCGAGTTGCTTGTGTGTCCGACTTGCTTGTGGATTACGTTATGTGAAATTATAGATACTTCAGAACTAATAGTTTAGCTGTTATTTTAATGATCATTTGATTTTTCTATATTTACTAGTTATCTTGGCACATTTTCAACACCAGCATTTCCAGCTCTTGCCTGTATTTAGCATCACACAAGGACTTTATCCCCTTCGTGGTTAGGTTTTGCCCCAATTAGCGTGATTTCAATTAGTGTATATTATACAGCATATTATTGACCGGTTAAGGTAATTTTGGTATTAGTCAGTATTAGCGTATTTAAAAAAGCCCTAATTAAGGATTCGCGACGTAATTACTCTATCAAGCCATCTCATGGAATTCCTCCCAACATCGAGTTTTCAAACAGAGAGGTGTTTGATATGTTGAACAATCAGAATATGATCTGCCAGTTCATCCAGCATTCTCTAGCTTGCTTTTATATCTACATCAGACACAAACTGCCTGAGCTGGCAATGAAATTCATTGATGATTTAGATTAGAATTTGATCATTGAGGTGGTAAATCATCATAAATCTTAGATGAGAACTCAAAGAGTTCCTGATAGAGCTTCTCATGAAAGCTTATATGAGAAGACAGGTTCTTAGCAGGAACCCCCTGCTGCTTCATATATATATACTGAAACCGGTATGCATTAACAGCCGCAGCGTCAATAAGCCAGTAGAAAATAGGAAGCCATGTTTGATAGGTGACCCTATGACTAGTATATGCTGCCTGGTACTGATTTGCTAGGTCCACCCCATTCATATGATGATTATAGTCATCTATAATGACTGGGATTTTCAGCTTCTTCTGTGATTGCTTTTCAAAGACTTTCTGAACAATATTGATGTTGGTTGAGAGTTCTCCTGGCCGTGTAGGTACCCGTTCAATAACAGTGTTCAATTGATGAATTGTAGTCAGTGCTAATACCATATTATTATCTTGCCAGGCAAGACAGGGAACATTCTCTTTTTCAATGACATGCAGAGTATTCCAGGGAATTGATTTTGAAGTTGAATGCTCACAAAATTCACTTAGTATAGCTGGCACCTGGTTAGAGTGGGTAGTTCCACATGCTCCATATCCCTGTTGGCACAGTTCTTTGAATAGAGGAACAGAGGTAAAGTAGTTATCCATGTAAATTGAATAGAAAGATACCTGCTGTGAGATAGAGATTTCATTCTCAGCAGCATTCAGCATGGCGTTCGGTGTGGCATTCAGCGTGGCATTCAGTGTGGCATTCGGTGTGGCATTCGGCGTGGATATAGCTATCATAGGAACCCGGTTCGCCAGATTCATCACTATAGATCCTGTCTTTGTTAATCCTGGGAATTGAAACATAGGCATTATACTCTGCCGATGGCTTGACCAGGAAAAAAACCATAAATAGCCATGTTCTGCCAGGCTAAATATCTTATATCCCCAAGGAATTGGTTTATTAGACATCTTGTATGTGTGTTGACTCCATCCGAAGCATTTAATCATGATCTCATCAATGGAAACCTTTGAGCCGTGTGTAGTATTTTCAGCATGCTATATGGAATTCAGTGGCCAATGGCTCTACCTTATACCACCAATCCTTATTTCAGGCCTCAGGCCGGCGGGCTTCACGGGGGTTAAATATATGAATATATCATTTAAGCTGCTTAAATCACGTATGGCTCATATAGAATTGAATGGAATGAATAGGACTCTGTTTCAGATCATTCTGTCAGTATAGATCAGTCTGTTGAGATTTATGAACTTCTATATAGAGAAGAATGTCTATAAACATCTTTATTTCTGCTGGATTGGTTTTTTTCCATGGTTGTTGCTGAATAGAGAAACTGGAAGATATAGAGCTTTCTGAATTCTCTTCTTTTTTCTTTTTCTTCTTCTTCTTCTTCTTCTCCACTTCTGAGAGCTCTGAAGCTTCATCATCAGTATCTCCAGCATCTCTCTTTAGTTTTGCATAGAGATTGATGGAATCACTGATATTTTGAAAGCATTCCTCAGATAAGAATAGAGTAAATAGGGTGTAGAAACTGCTAATATTGATATTCACAGAAATATTGAGAATTGGATCTCACAAAGCAGGCTGCATTGGAAGGAACTTCACTGACTTCAGAGGTGGAAGCTCTGCTATGACCTCTTCAACAACTCATTTTCATTTTCTAGATGTTTTTGTACAGTCTAGAGAATTGATTAGTTAACTAGATCATAAGAATTGATTAATATAAGGAAATTACCATTGGATTTGGCAGTTTTCTCAGTGGATTCCATGTTCGCGGGTGGGTGGACGGATTCCATGATGGAGAGAATATGCAGGCAGGCAGGCAGGCAGAGAGTAGAGTTCAAACGCGTTGAATTCCATACGCGTTTTCAAGCTTGGCATGGAATCGCCAATCAGTGGATTTAAATGACCAATTACTGTTCATATAAAATTATATGGCATTCTATTAGTTATAAAAAGGCGCCGGTGCAAAATTCCATACACTAATTTGAAACCACGCTAATTGGGGCAAAACCTAACCACGAGGAGATACGAATAACACAAGAATGATAACAATAATAATACCCGGCTCACAAATTAAATAGACAGCCAATCATATGTAGAGTTAAGTTTAGTCATTTATTTTAGTCATCATTTATCTTCCAATCAAGGTTGGAGAGTGTTATTAGCATGATGTAGGTAGCCGAGGCATATATTTGCGGTGCGCTAGTCTGTAATGGGTAGTAGCCTAACACATTGTTGTTTGCATCTTCAACAGAGAGAATTGGATCATTTTTACTCATTTTTTGTTCATTTTAAATCATTATTTTGCCCATTGTATAGAGAAAACTTGTATATTATTGACCTCTATCTACAGAGAAATTGAATCATTTTTGATCATTCTATAAGGAGATATGTTCTGTGCGCGGTAGGGCCCGTACGGATAACGCGCCCCCTTGATAGTAAGCAGCGCCCAACGGCAGGAGCTTACGGATTCATAATTCTATCATCGCAAACAGCCATGTTTAGCGAAGGGAGAAAAGTACAATCACCACAATAAAGAAGGTAACATTGCTGGTGATTTCGACAGTGGACTCGATGACAGTAAAGAAGCCGGCTCTCTAGCAAGTTTGATGGAGTGGGGGATTGTTGAATTTTATCGTTTAAATTTGGCAGTGAAACGATGTTTGATTGTAAATAATTTGACGATAACTGCATGTAATTTCCAATAAGTTTTAAATCATTAATGCTTTTCTCATGATTTTTTTTTTTTTTTTGAATACTTTATTCTGAACCATTCAATTGACTTTAGATATTTTGTTGACAAGGAAACATTTTGACACTTTCCACTTTTTATTCTTTTAAAGCTTTTTTTAAGAATTTATCTATTTAACAATAAAGAATTAAAAAAAAAAAAAAAAACTTACTTTTGCTGATATTTGTTGCATCATTATAATGAAAATAAGTTGAAAAAGAAAAATAGTCCTCATAACAAATACGGAGTAGTGTTGAACGATGCCAAAAATATAACAAGAACATAGGAAAATTTAATCAATGACAGGATTTGGTACAAGCAATAGAGGTTTCCAGCCCAGAATTTGTAGGAGGATAGTGTTGTTGTCAATTACTAAACTAACTACGCGAGAGCAACACAATATGTAATCTGTATTAAATAGAGGGATCCTGCAAACACCAATCGCAGTAACCGCCTTCCTTATTAAGTTTAACCTCACGTAAAAATGGCATTCGGTGGCATTTTTGATTAACGCCACTATCACACGTGTGGATCCGTACGTGCGATGTTTTCGCACCGATCCGTACGCAGCAACTGCAAAGTATTAGCGCCGTACGGCCTTCCTTATTCAGTTAGATTTATAATTGGTGTCATTATCATCGTGCGAGAAGTTAGCATCATATAAGGTTGAACTCAGAACGGGTGTATGGAACTGACGGCCTATATCAATATGGAAGATCTCGCTTTCTTGCATCAAAAATAGAGTTCAAAACAACTGTACAAGCGGCAGCGGCAGCAGCAGCTGCTGCAATCTCATTTTCAACATTCAAATCCATCATGATGATGAGATTATGCCCACTGCGGGGTTCGAAGCTCTTAATTATAGTGATGGATTTATTATCATATCCTTTACCCGACGTACAAGAGCTTTTCAATTAGATTAATACGACATTTACAAATCCTACGCCACGAGAGCGCCGAATCGTGGCATCTATGCCTATATAGGAAGGCAGTGCGTACTAAAAATATTTTGCGACTTGGCGTTGCAGAATCCCTCCAATAGGCCACTAGGGCAAAAGAGCTCAATCACCAGCGCCGTGGTGGTATAGTCTAAGATACTATGTATGTCATGTAGAAGAATCAAAGAAAAGCAATCAAAAACTGCAAAAATTTCACTCAATTAAGCATTGAATGATAGCCAAAAGCAAGCTATTAATAGATGAATTTATCAGATCAATATGAATATTTACTCTTTCACAGTTAAATATATTAAAGCAGGTGTTAAAACTGATCAGTAGAATCATAACTTAATACATTTGATTTGATTTGATTGATCTCAGTCCATTTCTGAATGTGACATGAAACGAATTTTAGTTATAAGAATTACAGAAAAGAACTAGATTTTCTAAGAATACAAATAATTATTAAAACATGAGTGAAGATGTGATTCATCCGAAGTGGTGAAATACCTTAGCCTCGATGGCTCATAGGAAGGATAATCCGCTTGGTGTGAACTGGCAAATATATTTCCGCCCGGGTCCATTGCCACCTCCTCTGCTGCCATCAATGCTAGGCGTGTCCCCCTTCCTCCTTATACAGCATCTCGCGTTATTCCGTTGGTAGGGTTGCAAGTGCTTAATATGAATGAATGATACCATTTCATTTACCTCCCCTTTGAAGTCCGCTGGATTATCACTCCGGAGCGTACAGGACAGGGTCCAACGCCGAGGATCACCTAGGGACGAGAACAATCGAGAGACAGGGGGCCAGACATTCGTTGTTTAGTGTTGACATGTCCAAATACGGGATGTTATAGAAAACGTTGATATGGGCAGGATTTTACAGGGTAGTAACCTCCAGGCTTGATTCCAGTTCAACAAATTGCAAAATCCTATCCAAATCTTTCACAAATTAGGCCTCCAAAACCATACAGCATGATCAACCGCCCGCGACAGATAGATACTAGTATCCAATAGGACGAAGTTTCCTACCAGCTAATGAAATGAATCAACCACTCCTCCCAGTTGCACAAAAGGTTGAAAGGGAGGGAAAAAAAGAGGAAAAGAGGGATAAAAAAAAAAAAAAAAAAAAAACCAAGGTCCGCAAAGAAGACACCTTTCATCCTTGAGAATAAAGCCATTTGAATCGCCTTCCCTCTCATAGTACCTGTTACCTTTTTAGGCCGAGGTGACCTTTTCCCTCTTGACACAGGGGTGTGAGGAGTCTGATGCTTTAGATTCGTTTACGGGTGCATTCATAAAACCGATGCACACGGACTGGTCGGTGGCATTGGATGCAGCGCTGTCGCTAACAGATTATGATGACGATGCTTTACGTTTACATTCGTCACAATCGCTGTCCACGTATACGGTCATACAGGCGATTCCACGTTGGGGACAGTTGAACCCACAAGGGTATACCGCTGTTCCATAAACTACATGACTGCATTTGTAGACAAATTGTTTCCGGTAACACATGGCAGGGGAGATATCTGGGTATGTATTTGGTCTACGCAAGCCAGTTAGCGGGGAAGGTTTGATTCCGCGTTGCGGTTTTTTTTCCCCCCCTTCTCCCTGGGAGGGTCGTTCTTTTTGTCTCCCGTCATACAAGGTAATACTTACAAGCGTATGACACCACAGATATGCCTGAAATTTGGAGATAGCACTGACGTGCTGCTGTTTCGATTCGGTGTATAAGCCAGAGGATTGATGAGCACACCGGTCCTGTTGGACAAGGGGAAACGGGTCAATAGATCAAGTAAAATAAACACAGTGATTTGGCCACTTCGATCCTGCGGCGAAATCGGCGTTGATATCACCAGATATTTCACGATTGTTGCAAGTGGGTTAGCAGACGCTCCTGAAGGGGTTAAATAATAAGCCTCTAGAGCAAAAAGCTTTGTTATTTAGACTGTGGTGGTCAGCAAGCAAAATATTTCCTTTGGACAAACAGTGGGGATGGCGAGGGGGAAACAACAACTGTTAAAAGGATACGTGGGAGGGATAGTCTGACGTTTAGAGTATGTGAAACAGCTGAACGGCGAGGTTGTCACAAGGCAGCAATATGAAGGATATCTCTATGGACAATGAAGATTCTAGATTCCATCAGGTCAGTGATAACCTGGGTCTAAATGGAATGATTATGTATATTAAAACCCCATAATATACAACCTAGCTATCACGCTCCAGCATTTTGCATGATTGCCTAATCTGAATTGAGATCTGATCAATCTAAATAAATGACAAACATGTAAGTTGGGCTCCAATTATATAGTGTAGACCAACTACACACGATACTATGCATGTTAGGAAGAACTTACATATTCATCCGTAAATAAGTTGAAGTGATGACCAGATACGTTCAAAACAGCTGGCGTGAAATGATGTGGATACTTTTCCCAGCCCAGGCTGCGGAGCTCGCGCACAACATCGACCCTGCAAACTGCATCCGGAGTGTCTGGCATTGACACTGGCACGTAGTCGTCACAGCGAAGGAGAATCGTCTTAGGGATGGACGGAAAATCGATGTTTGCATTCGATGCCGTCGTTCCATTTTTCATATCAGAATAGGTAATATTGGCGGGAGCCACGGCATCAGCGTGGTCCTCCATTATAGCTGGTGGTCTGGGCTCGATTAGGGAGAGTTCCTTCTCTAATTCGGTCCTTTTCAGGATCAACCCGGAGTCGCTACATCCTCTCCAGACGGGAGGAATCCAGCTATCAACCATAGATTGAGCTAACTCCATGCAATGGGAAACAAGTTGGCGTGTTTCAGCCCGGGTATCTTTGCTAAACACAGGCTGCGGACCAACGACGTTCGAAACCGCCTGAGAAATCGCGAGTGGGTATATAGAGTCAATCATGACCAACCCCAAAACGCGGACCGCTGAAGTCCTGAGCAGGATGTTTGCCACCTCCAACGAGAGAAGTCCGCCCAGTGACCACCCTAGGAGGAAAATGTTTTTAGTAGGAGGTTTGCATGCGACGTTGTGTATGTAGTATTCGAGAGCAGCTCACCACCCAACAAAAGTGGTCCCGACGGCACAACTGAAAGGATCAGATCCGCATATACCCTGGCCATTTCCGGGAGTCCACCATCCCAGGGCTGGCCGGAATAAAGACGCGGGTTCTGTATGCCATATACCGCTCTATCTAGGGAATCCAGATAGCAATATGATACGATTGTTCCCCCGCCGTCATGAACGAGAACAAGTGGTGTTGCGGTTTCTAGCCCAGGCGGCGCAGACTGTATCATATATATGCAGTCCTCCATGGCTATAGATCTGGCGTTGTCAATCCGGGTTATAAGAAGCCAGGCGTAGCTAGCGACAAACTTCTCACTTTGAAGTTTCTCGGGAGAAAGAGGCTTGAAAAGGGTTAGGGACCATCGCCGGCGCCTCCAACGGCTGGCGCGGGGTAAGAAAATGAGACCTCAGCGCTAGAATTGGAACAGTTTACAGGTCCCGTGCCGTTAACTAGTTAATATTAGGCCACTAACTAGGGCAGAAGAGCTCAATCACCACCAGCGCCGTGGTGGGAAGAGTGTACGAATCACCCAATCCAATCCCCCCAACAGTTAATGTCTAAAAATGCTAGTACCAATGAATAAGCAGGGCCACCAATTGGTATTATGTCCTTTGAAGGGTTCGTCGATGAATAAAAATGAATTGACATATGATATCAGGGTAAGAAGAGTATTAAATTGAAATGTGGGAGAATATGCAAGTATCAAGGTATTGAATTTAAACATAATAGAATTTCTCCTCTGAACCTGAAAATCCACATACTCAACGTTATCCGCAATATAGTAGACATCATGGCAAATCACAACCAAAATAGCAGTTAGTTACATCATAACAAAAAATGAAATAAGTGAAATAGATAAATACAAGCAATACACTGCGTGGCTGATATTCTTAAACCAAGTGATGCAAAATAAAATCATTAACTTGTAAAACTGTAGTGCACTGCCCAAGCATTTCTGCCCAGGGCTCAACAATGATGCTTCAACTACTACCTATTACGGACTAGCGCACCGCATGTATATAACACAACCACTTGACGTCCCACAAACCAGGACCACGACGCCCGATACAAAACCAAAAATTCTGCGAGCTGTTTCCCTGCAGCATCAGAACTTCAACGATTGAAGCGAAAAAAATAGCGTTGCTACGGCCTTGTCCCTCGTTTCAAGTGTCGAGCGAAAGAGTTCTACAATTGATTGAACATGGATCCTGATTTTCCACATCCCGTTCATGAGCCCCCGACCCCTGGATATTCTCCCGGCACCCAGGATTGTGGTTCCCAACTATGCTGCTGCTGGTGGTCGCAGTGTATAGGTGGTGGGTTGGGTGGCCACACCCACGGGTATATATATCACTATGAGCGCAACCATTTAACAAATGGTTACGTTGGCTTTTTGCTGTGGGTAACCTAGTGGCTATTCGGCGTAGTGCTATCCTATTACAGGATGCCACTTTCCTTCTGCAGATCTTGTTTCATTCTCACGTGCTGAGACATTTGGGACCCGCAGCGGACGAGATTCGAGCTCTCTTCCAATATCACCGTTCGAACGGTCAGGAAACCCATGTTGAAATTGCTCGCTCCCATCTTGTTTTCCAACCGTCTCTATTCGTTATTGACGCTGAAAATGAAAATATACCTCACTTCGAGCACATTAGGGCTGATTTCGTTACTCTCCTGCAGACAAGGCTAGGCGACTCCTTGCCGGACCGAGGAAAAAGCGAAACCGACCATTGTACGGAGTAGTCGTAGTGGATCCGTATATACTTCTGGAGATTGGTCAAACATCCTCAGCGAAATGAATCTCATCATCCGATCCCAGGAAAGAGCTACCTTCGCAGTTGAGTTTCTACCAGGATCATCGCCCCAGATCAATTCTACGGAAGATTCGGAGAAGGGCGAACTTGGTGTCTCCTACCTTTATCGGCTGGACACCGAGAGTCCACTTGAAATGGGCTGTTCGATCGGTGTTGTGCGAAAGAAGGCGGAAGAACTATGGGGGGATTTCTGACTTTAACCAGTGGCAGATCAGTTTACAAAGGATTTTTAACAAATTACCATGTTGTGAGAAATCTGTCAGAATCCCCAGAGGCCCTTGAAGAAGCGTACCGTTTCGGGGTGTCTCCAAACAGAGAGACTGCTGGAGGGGACGTATTTAATCTTGCAAAGCAAGATATCAGGGGCGACACAGAAAGATGCTGATGACAGCATAAAAGGACTTCAACAACAGCTTCAAGAATCCAAGTCCGAACAACACGACCAAGAGGTAGCTGGGGCGCACCATTCCATCCGAATCCAGAAAGGCATAGAGAACTCCGAGAAACTAATCAAAGTATTTGAAGCAACATGAAAGATAGTTGATTCAATGCCAATTAACATTGGCCAAGTCTGTTCACATCAGAAAAGGTCTTCATCCAAGACCAGAGGCATATCATGGATTGCATTTGTCAACTTGGCAAAGTTTTTGCTTTAAATTATTTAAACCAAATTGCATGCTGTCCCACTTTCACAGTAGCCTAGGCAATACAACATTGATATGTCAGTCAGTGTTCTCGCCTCACACCCGTTGGATTCGTTCGGGAAGATCACAAGAGGCTTGTATTTTTTTGAAATCGGACAGAACTACCAATGTTACAGGGGGGATATGCAACAGCATTCTTGTTATGTGCAATTGATGTGAGAAGGACAGGATGTGCTTTGATTCTCAGAGAAATCAGATTGAAATACAATCTGATCAGATGGAAGAGTTTATCATCTTTAATAAGTGAGTTTACATAGCTCAGCATGAGCAGACTGAATTTTGTGCACTGAGAAACTCTGAATCTCTGATAATCAATGAAATAAGTGAAGTTTGTGAACTTTTTCATGATTCTGTGTCCCTACTCTATAGTCCTGTTGAGGAGCAGTCTTTTTACACTAGTACAGAGTTGGTTTTAACAATAAATAAAGTTACAGAGTTCATCAAGATGAAAATGTTCTCTCAGAGCTTTGATGATGTTTCTGCTATTAATCTTGAATTGTAAGACCTCCTCACAGCCTGTTGTGATAATGACTCTATATTAGAAGTGGGGTTGGAAAATTTCTATATTTGATTTCATGAATCAACTTTTCAGATATTTCTGAGTTTTTCAAAGCTGTTTTCAATACTCTGAATGACTTCTATTTTCTGTTAATCAGTCTACTTACAAGTTTGATACACCTTTCATTGTTTCATTGTGAGTTCAACACGACACAGGCCAGTTGCTCTGTGAGCTCTGTTTTCAAATCTTCACATACTGATATTTAGACAAAGTGAGCTAACTATAAACTATCATAGTTAATCAAGAGTCCATTTGACGGGGGAGTTCACGTTCTTTGTGGGGTAGAGCTTTGGAGAGCATATAGTTGCTCTACAGGGAAATATCGTGTCGGAGATGATATCTCGTATATCGAGGATCCTCGTATAATCAAGCATATCCTTCCTTATAAATACTGCCTGCTTATCATGTAATTATCGGAGTTATAATAATCAATTCAATATTCTATTTTGATATTCAGTATTTGGGTCAATATTCGGACATTATCTAGTTCCGACAAGAAATTATTTTATTCTAAATGCGGGGTGAGGGAAAAGGATCCCATAGTATCAATGTTAAATTGCCAAACGCCTCATAACCATGAACCCTCCAATGGATTGTTAGAAATTGTTAAAAAGTGCACTAGTACCACAGTCCGAAGGCCAGTATTGTAGTTAACTACCGTAACTATGGAGCAACTATTTACGGAATACATTTCGACCTAATCAAAATTCGTGCTCGCCGCTGTCTCTTGCATGGCGGCAAAGTTTTGCTGCACCGACGCTATCTTTTGCTGCGTCCGCAGGACACAATCAAGACCCAATGGCAGGCGTAGGAAGCCCGTTTTCCCTTCTCCCATGCCAGTCCCATTGATCACTTCCATAATTCTCTCAACGGCCTTGGCGGGATCCCCTGGCTGTTTGCCGTCGAGAACAAGGAAACGTTGCAGTGAATCGTTGTTGTTGTTGTTGTTGTTCTTCATATTTTTTCTAAGGCCATATGCAGTCTGAGACTATGACAGCCTTCACCTCACTAGCCTACCCTCATGTTCGACTACTCTCTAGTTACATTTCTCTATCCATAACTGAGTCATCCTTGATGGAGAGACTTCACTATACCATTCTGGATCTAGCCCTCAAGGGGGCCCTTGCCCCACAATTGCTCACGCAATACTAAGCAGTCCCTTGTCACTTGGACTACTCCGTAGACATGTAAGAATCACAACACCTTAGGATCCCACACTATACTGAATCCATCTAGACTATATACATAGTGTTGAACATTGCTCTACCCTGCAGTGGCAGTTACCAATAGAAATGAGATAAAAAGGGTACCCCCAATATCCACCAAGATGTGATAATATCCTTTTGAAGAGGGTGGGATTCGAACCCACTACCTTCTTGTCTCAGCAGAGGTGGCCCCAACACCAAGTGCCTACTTGAGAAAGCATTCCATGATCGCGAGCGAGGGATTCCGAGATGCCTGTTCAGTTGTGTCAGTAGGATACTAGGGTAGCATTTTCATCATGGTCTATCGGCAAAGCGCACCTTCAAGGGCAAATTTGCTCCCCGCATACATCGAGCAGGCCGTCTGCGCATCAAGCCCGGCTACGCTGCTAATATTCACGGTAGTCCCTGACTTTTGCTCTCTCATCGACGGGATGGCTGCTTGCATGACGCGGATTGGGCCGTAGACATTGGTATTGAACCGCTGGTGGATCTCGGATTCGCTGTTCAGATCAACAGAATCATATCGTTATACAAATATTCTCATTATCGACCTTGCATTGTAGCACTCTGCGACCCCAGCGGGTTAGCTACTCACCTCACATCGTCCAAGGCCCCGAATAAAGCATAACCTGCGCTGTTGATCACAACGTCAATCTTGCCGTACTCCTGCACAATCCGCTGGACCTTTTCGCGCACGTCGGACGCAGTGACATCCAGCTGTAGCCATTTGCCCCCAAGCTCTTCGATCTGTGGGATCTCCCGTTTCGACTTCTCTATGTTCCTCGCAGTTGCAATGACTCTATTGCCAGCCTTCAGAGCCGCTTGTGCAAGGGCGCTCCCAAACCCGGAAGATGCGCCGGTGATGAACCAGACAGGAGAATTTTCCATGTTCGATGATTCGCGGTTGGCAAGATAGAAGTGTTTTAATATTACTATGTGCTTTCGTCTTGGGTATTTTTATAACGCTACGGAGTTTCAGAACGTTTGCAACTTGAGGATGAATTGGGACTGCTCGCCTTTTACCACTTTATATATATGTAAAACTGTGCATCCTAACGCTGGTTCGGAAATAAACTAAGCGCGAGCCGAATTCCGACTTCCAGATGGCGATTCCGTCGTTCGGAAATCCCGGAGTTTGGCAGGACGCGAGTGTGTGTACAGACCTGTGAAGACCAGTGACAAGATGATGATCGGAGCGGCGAACTGGTACAACCCCCGATAAGGGTCTTCCGTGGCTCCGTATGTGAAAGCGTGCGGAGATCCATGGAGGTTGACATTTGGAAGAAACGGAGGAGCTGCCTGAGATCTGGATATGGCGATCTGTCGTAGCTCCCCTGGCCATCGTAGAAGAGCTGGATGAACCACATAGCTTTCCATTGCGGAATCGATTATCGTGAATACAAGCAATGCGATCCAAGCATATCCTCCAGCGGGGCAGCTGGTTTGGTTCAAGTTACTTCGTCCTTTTGTTCTCCCTGACCCCGCTTTACTCCTCGCCTCGCATCACAAGCTTTTGGACACCAAAATAGCTGGATATTCTTCACATCCCCATTTGTCAACATATCGATTACATACATACATAGCACTGTGCGGCACTGCAGTAGAAGGCAATATGGCTTCTTCACAGGGCGATTTCGAAACCTTTCCCCTCGGCGACTGGAAGCTCCAGAGCGGCGAGGTTATCCCCGATGCGCGTATCGCTTTCAAGGCTCTGGGTGATCCAGCGCTCCCCACAATTGTCTACCCGACGTGGTTTTCTGGCCGTAAGTCTTTGTCATAGAAGAAGAAGAAGAAGAAAAACCAACAGAAATACCATAGATCTACACGGCAATAGAATCAAAAGAAATCTGTGGGTGCTAACAGTACTATTCATATTATTTCCGTCTCCGGCTTAGTTATCTCTGATAATCTCTGGCTGGTGGGAGATGACAAGGAACTCAGCCCGAAGAAATATTTCATCATCGTCCCCGCATTGTTTGGGAACGGCCAGTCCACATCTCCCTCCAATTCCCCTACCATCAAAGAGTTTCCTCGGGTCACATTCTACGATAATGTGAGGGCCCAGCATGAACTCGTTACGAAGCATTTTAACATCACCCATCTACGCGCCGTCCTGGGGTGGTCTATGGGAGCCGCCCAGACATTCCAGTGGGCAACCCAGTATCCAGAATTTATGGATTTGATCGTTCCGTTCTGCGGTTCCGCAAAGACATCACTGCACAATCAGGCTTTCCTTGAAGGCGTCAAGAGCGCCTTGTTGGCGGCCAAGGGTTTTCGATCTGCCGGGGTAGGAGAGGTTGGAGCCGCAGTGGGCAGCGATTTACACCGGTTGTGGACTCGGGACGAGAGAGAAGTCGCACTGCGAGCATTCGGTCGCGGGTATTCTGGTTGGTAAGTGAATGGAAGTGGAAAGCGGAACGAAAAGTCATGTTTTGCGATGACAACAGCCACTGAAACTGACAGATGTATGTACCTTTTCTCACTGTCACTGCAAAGGGGAATGAGCCAGACGTTTTACCGGCAGAGGCTGCATGAAACCGTCCTCGGATACAAAGATCTAGAGGATTTCATGGTGAATTTCTGGGAAACGTTCTTCCTGACAAAAGGTAACTGCTAATCCCTAGAGGAGCGGAATTTCACCTGACAAACCGGTTGAGGAGGGATGAGCTGACCTGTTCTATAGAACCAGAGAACCTGCTCGTCATGTTGCAGACCTGGCAAAATGGCGATATCTCCAAGCAGGAACCGTACAACGGCAACTTTGAAGCCGCTCTAAAGGCAATCAAAGCAAAGGCACTGGTTCTACCCAGCAAAACTGACCTATACTTCCCGTGAGTGACCCATGCCCAGCACTCAATCAACACGCCGTCTTTTTGCAAGGCCAGCAGTTACTGACCACATCGATCAGGCCTGAGGACTCGGAGTACGAGGTTGCGAACTTGCAGCCCGGAATAGGCAGGCTGGATGTCTTCCCATCCATATGGGGTCGTAAGTTCAACAGCATCACCCGGGATACGAGATGCCAGATCCTATACATGCTGACCACATATCCCGCTCTTCTCAGACTGGGCCGGAGCGCCCCCGGGGAACAAAGAGGACATGATGTGGCTGAATGACAAACTGGTGCAGTTTTTCAAGACGGTTCCGGGTAGTCAATAAGTGATCCATTGTGGCATTGGTTTGGCAGATCATGCCGTTCATCGGGAAAGCCCACAGGAGCAAACATCCTTCGAGCTGTCAGTCCGCTTTCTTGCTTCATACTAGTATTTGAACTTCTCATCGTTTTAAGACAGGTAGGTAGTTGGGAAGCGTTTGGGAATGGGCCAAGTCAAGGAGCTTAGTAATCATACGGTCACCTGACCCAGTCATGCCCTAATGAATGAGTTTTCCGCCGAAAGCAAAAACGGACAAAAGGTGGAATCCAGGATCAAATATTCTATCAAAGAACTCTTCGTACTCCGTAGTTACACAGCCGAAACAGGACACTTGGGGTTTGCTATGGATGAGTCACAGGGGACCAGAGAACTAGAGAAACTGTTGTAAATTCGATAATAACACTTTGCATTCATACTTACTAGTATGCGTCTTGCTACAGAACAAAGGTGAAGAACCACAACTCGATCCGCTTCTTGCACCGTGTTCTTCAAGCTATCTTGTGGATGGAATATTGGCCTTGGATGCTTTGGCTACGGCTATCCCGGGCTCTCTACAGCGTCAGTCATTCGTCTGTCACCCCGCCTTTGGCCCTGTCATCGGTGAAATAAATAAACTCCACTCCCCCCGCCGGGTATTTCATTCCTTCTCCCTCCTCCTCCGCTGTGGTGACCTGATAGACGTCGCATCAAAGCTTTGTACATTTTTGTCAGTTGGTTAGGTAGCTACTAGGTACTCGTAATTGACCGGCTTTGTATGTTGCTTGTGCCTGTTTGAGTCCATATTCTTTCTCACTATGACCTCATTTCCTCCGCCACCAGTCGACTCGATCGGTATGTTGAATCATCACTCCATTGGCCGTTCGAACGATAGCAGGTCATTGTTTATCAGGGACCCCACGGCTAACAGAACGAATCCAATCGTCTAGACTGGAATGATGTCGGCTTTAAAGTCCGCGAAGGTATGGCTAATTAGCCCAGCAGAACCAGCACAACCAACCGCCTCTCTAACAGCCCAACAGTCAACGGCCATGTCGAATCCCACTTCTCCCACTCCTCCAACCCTCAATGGAGCGCACCACGCTTCGTCAAATCCCCTTACATCCCAATCCACGGCATGGCCCCAGGTCTAAACTACGGCCAACAAGCCTACGAAGGTATGAAAGCCTTCCGCCATGCCCCGTCATCTACCTCCCCTTCGGCACCCGGGCGCATAACCATCTTCCGCCCCCAGAAAAATGCCGTGCGCATGCAGCGCTCAGCCGAATTCATCTCCATCCCCCCAGTCCCCAAAGAGCACTTCCTCGAATGCGTCCGGCTCGCCGTCGCAGCTAATGCCGAATTCGTGCCCCCCCACTCCACCGGCGCCGCCATGTATATCCGGCCGCTTATCTTCGGCTCCTCCGCCCAACTCGGCCTGAACCCACCGGACGAATACACCTTTGCCGTTTTCGTCATGCCCACTGGCGTGTACCACGGCGTGCATGCGGTGGATGCGCTCATCCTGGAGGACTTTGACCGCTCCGCCCCCGACGGCACGGGCTCCGCCAAGGTTGGAGGCAACTATGCGCCCGTCCTCCGACATAGCGACCGCGCGCGCTCTGAGGGGTACGGAATCACTTTGCACCTGGATAGCAAGACGCGCACGGAGATCGATGAGTTCTCGACCTCCGCGTTCGTCGGTGTTCGTAAGGACAAGGACACGGGAGCCGTTACGCTCGTGGTGCCGGATAGCAAGAATGTGATTGATTCGGTGACGGCGTCGTCTGTCTGTGAGATTGGCTCGAAGATGTTTGGCTACAAGGTCGAGCGCCGGAGGGTGGCTTACGAGGAGCTTACCGAATTCGACGAGGTCATGGCTGCCGGTACGGCCGCGGCGCTTGTGCCCATTAAGAGCATTACGATGAGATCAAAGAATGACAGGTTCACTTATGAGGCGGGTGAGGGGGATGCGGGGGGTGAGATCTGTAGGAAACTGCTGAAGACGCTCAAGGGGATCCAGACCGGTGATATTGTGGATGAATTTGGCTGGCTGGTTGATATCGAACCTGTCCCTTCTGGATGGATGGAGGAGGCTGGGGGCAAGTAAATGAGGATGTTAATAATATACTTCATCTTCTCGCAATTTCGGTCTACTTTGTTGCGTTTCGTCGGTATGGCCTTGGGGGAATAAAAACACGGCGAAGTGGAAAGTTTTGGTTACTATTCTAACTACATCAAATTATGGGAATGGGGATGAACGAGATATGAAAAAAAAAAAAAAAAAAAAAATCAATTTTGGATAGCTACTTTAAGCAGTATTTATTTCAGAACTATCTTGAACTATCTTGAGCTGGGTTTCATTTAACTTATTTCTGTTTCTGAAAGCATCCATTAATCGAACTGATTTTAACCTATCATGAAAGTTTGCGTCATAGAAAACCAACCCATTTGCAGAGGAATGTTAAGCACAAATAAATTCTGTGTTTGACACGGCAAACGAACTGGTGCAGACTAATCAAACAATAAACGAATTCTCCGAAACCACTCTCATTTAAACGTAATGTCCAACAATCACGCTATACACTAACCTAACCGCCCCTATTTCACCGATTGCAACACCATCATATCATTCGCAGCACTAGAGAAAAGGAAGAATGCAAAAGAAAACGAAAGGGAGAGGAGGAAAGGAAATCAGCGATTCTAGATTTTGGCCACTAGTATGCTATCCGCAGTTGTGCTCCAGGCCATCTTTCAACACTAATTGCAACAATACAGAAAACCATTTGTTGAAAAAAATACCAAGTACAATTCCTGTCGGACGCACCTACGCCATCGCTAGATAAGAAAAGAATGAAAAGGGGGCTATGGAAGAGAAAGGAAAAAGTCTTCGGAACGTCAACTACATTAACCCAGTTTTGCGAAGGAAGTTAAGCGCCGTGAACCCTTTAGCGCCCCGCACGTTGTCATTCTCAGAGTCGCTTTTGGCACTGCTCTCATCCTCACCCTCATTCCGATGACGTAAAAGTGATTTCAACGTGCTGCGTTGACCTTGGTGATGGTGAGATCTCCCATTAGCGTTGGATGTTCTCAGGATGGAAGGATTAGGCTGCGAGAATGAGGGTGCTCCTAACCCACCCACAGCCGCCGTAGGGGTTGTTGCATTGGCGGCAGTATGAGTATTTTCTCCTGCTGATGCTCCATCGTCTGAATGCCACTGAGCATCCGTGACTGGCCAGTTTTTTTTGATGTTACGAAAAGGAGTAATCAACCTCGCCCTTTCTGAAGTTCCGGAGGGAGGCAAAGACGGGTGCTTGCTTAGCATGCTTTTATCTGGGGTCTGATTGGAGTCGGATTCCGAGTCGTCGCTATCGGAATCAGAACTACTTGAGTCCGATGATGTCATGCTTCCAGCTCTTTGATCATTGAAGGGGGATTGTCCGTTGCGCTGGTCGGGTTCATTCGAGTGCTCTTGTTCTGACGTGCTGGTATTCATTTTATTTGTCCCTAGCCCACGTTCTATTAGATGAGAGGAGTCGTGGTCTGGCCGATGGCGCTTAGAGTTTTTGGGTGAAGTGACAGATTCCGGCTCTTGTATTTTTCGTTTCAGGCCATTTCCGTCTTTAGGTGTTTCTTCCTCCTCGACCGCCTTTCCCGAGGCTCCATCGCCCTTACGTGATAATGAATTAGCTGTCTCAACAGAGTCTCCCGTGGAAGGAGATGAAGGGTATACCAGGGGATCCCTAGAAGTAGAAGTAGCTGAGGACTCTTGGACGCGGGGCTGCTGGTCTGGTGGGTCTTCCGGAAAGGCACCATCAAACCCAATTTGGTGTTGTGATTTGCTTTGCGACCCGTTTATGGAGCCTGGCCGTTCGTTATAGTTCTTTCTAGATGTCTGATCCTCAACTTCTTCACGATGATGGCTTTCATGGCGACCTTCCCCTGAGGTGCTCTCATCAGGGTGGTCCTCTTCAGGATGATTCCGAAGATTTTTCATGGCCATGTTCAACCTGTATTCGTATTTGGCTATCTTATATTCGGGCTCTCTCGGCTTGGCATAGTAAAGCTTCTCCGTAAGATTTTTAATCTCTCGTAATAGTTCACAATAATCTTCACTCTTTCCCTGGAACCTAGCCTCCTCGATTTTCCTTTGAAGTTTACGATCGGTACGCATGTATTCAAGAGACTCTGGTGTCGCTCTGACTGGATCCGCGGTGTTAATATTGCCGATTTTGACGGATGAGGCAGATGCGGGAGTGGACTGTATGTCAACGTTTGGCCCCTCTGCAAATGAAACCGAACGCCGGGCGGATGAATTTCCGGGTAAAAACTTCTGGGATGAACGGAGTACCGACAAACGAGGTGTATGCGGATCGCCTGAGCTGATTTTCTCGGCTTGTGTTTGCGCTTGGCTTGCTGGACGGGGTCGAGGAAACGCTGGAGTGGTCGACACACCCCTCTTAGAATTGCTGTTTGTATCGGCTACAGCTACAGGAACTAATTGGCTCATTGAACGACTTCTTGCGCGTTTCACTGGTGATGAGGTAATTCCTAGTCCAATCTCCTGTGAATCAGGTGGTCGACTAGGTGTCCTGTGGGATGGACCCTCGGATTGTTTACCTGGGTCTTCTGTTAATTCATGAACGTTAGGATCATTTCGAGTCCGTAATTTGCACGTACTACTACTGCCCGGAGTCTGGAGTGTCTTGACTCGCGGACTGGAAGGCATTTTTGCTGCCTTCTGGGGAGTCGCAACTTTGGTATTTTGTCGCACTCCAGATGTAGGGGATCCAGTATCATCTGAGGGATCACTGTCTGAGATATCGGAGTAAATAGGATTACTATCCCTAGCATTCACGTGCGCTATAGGGGAGGCGTCGACCATTGGGCTCGAATCTTTCTTCGTGGATTTAATGCCATTTGAACCATTTGTTGCATTGCGATTTACTCCTCGGTGGCTTCCACCAACCAGAAAATTTTTTGAAGGGGGAGTTATAACTACTTGACAAACGCCGGTAGCCTGGGTCGATGTTTTGGGGGGGTCGACAATTTCAATATCGGAGTCAGGGATTAAGACAGTAGATTTCTTGTTTGGTGGTATTTTTGTGATAGAAGCTGAACCCTCAGCGGAATCTTTGTCACTCCGAGGAGCCGTAATGGCTAATTTAAGTGCCATCGATTTCCTTCCTGGGCCACGAATACTTGATTTCCTAGTCCCACGTCGAACACTTGACTGACTAGAGATAACAGCGTCGTAATCCTTCTCGATCTGACCAGTAGGTCTATTGTCGCCTATGTCGCTGTCAACTATGATTGCATTGTTCGGCCTGTCCCCGGTAGACGCAAGTAGGATTTTCTTATTATCCTGAATTGTAAATTCAGCGGCACGACTTATATTGCGTCGTTTTCGTTTGGCAGGCTGAGGTCTCGCCGGATTCTTAAACTCCTCTTGGTCGGTAGGTGGAATGGTATAGATATCACCTACCTCCTCCACCTGTCTCTTATTGGGCGTTGCAACTTTCGAGTTCTTGTGGTTGGGCAGTGAGGACTGTGGCGTTGAAGCCTGTGGTCCAGGCGAACTGGTTTTCGGCGGTGCCTGTCGATCTAACTCTCGCGCTATTGCTTCATCTAAAAGGCCAATGTGAATTAACGCCTATTACTATCGAAAGGGGAAAATGATCATAGTGTTCGCCTACCCTTACCAGTCATATATACCAATGCATCGTCTATAGTGGTACCATAGGCTATTGCCTCCTCCTGATTAGCCAGAATCGATTTACCAGCTCTCCCTAACGCAGTGCTTTCCTCATCGAGCAAATCTCCATCTAAAAACAGTTCTTGCGTTAGCTGGAAATCGAAGCATCGCAGACACAAGGCGGATGAAAGTAGACATGTAACATACCTCGAATTTTGTCTGCAAAGGATATGAAGTTTCTAGATTTCTGTGGGTCTTCTATTAAAATTGGTGAGGCGTGGTAATGGTTATCTTGTCTGCTGGATATTTCTTCGCCAGTCTCGCTCGGTCGAGGAGCATAGTCAGCCTCTGGAACCTTCGCCTGGCGCGATGGGCCGGCGACTGGTCCGTCCGTGAACCTGAAAGCCGTGGAGCGAGGCTCGTGACGTGGTGAATCAGAAAATAGCGGTGGAAGAGGTCGCGCGTAATTGCTCGCTACAGCAGCCCAATCCTGCACCACAGACCCATACCGTCCCTGACGCCCAGGTTGTTGAATGACCCGTATAGCCCCTCTCTGATCCAAGCCGTCAGTAAGAGCCTTTCCGCTGTCCACAAACACGTCTGCCACAGTCAATCCTATATCAAGGGCATCCTCCGCGTGCTTGTCATCCACGAGCTTCTTGATTTCGAGCGGTCTACGGGGACAGGACATGTGCGCGCTGTTAGCCAAAAACCATGTTCCCCCACTTAACTAGCATGTGCGATGAAGAAGCAACCAACCCACCCAGCATCAGGTTTAAGAATCGCCCACTTGTTCTGTATCATATAGGCCAACCTCCGCAGGGTCACTTCCTCCGGGTTCCTTACCACTAGGAGGAAGTTGATGGATTTGCGGCCGTCGTCAACGTCAGTAGTATCCGGCGTAGATTGTTGCCCAAGAGGCTCTGGAGGGAAGACCTTGACAGTTAAGCGGAGGAGAACCATTGTCACAGCGCGGGTGAGCCGTGGCCCCTCTGCTCAACTGTTGTCGCTTCGTTTGGCGGATATTTGAATTTGCACGGAGGGTATTTTCAGAACGAAGTATCGTCTCAATGTGAGTTGCGCAAAGCCAACGAGGGCTCAGGGTAGGAGGATAGATCGTTTCTAGCATACGAATATCGAATGTGGTATAGGTAAAAGCTTGGTAGATGGATGGGAAGGCAACCGGTTCAGAACAGGGATTCGAGATGAGAGCTTCGATGTCGTGGAGGTGGGGGAGGAGAGAGAAATGCAAGAATACTGCTTGGGATAGGAAGAGGGAATCTGGAGATGACTGCCTTAATGAATGTAATTGAGACTGACGGCAGTGAATTGGGGAGAAAAGAAAGGTGCGTTGTGTTGGGCTGTGTTGTGTTGTGGCATGGTTGTGCTTGTGGAGGAGTTTGAAAGCTACTGGTCAACTTTTAAATAACCTTTCTACGTCCGCCGCGCCAACCTGATGAATGAACTAACCAAGCGTCGTCCTTGCCAGCAGCCAACATTGTTGGAAATTTCAAAGTGCAAGCATACATCTAGGGTTAATCTTGAAATTAGTCAGGAGTTCTATATAGTTATGTGGATTAATTTGCCTGCAACTAATCAGGTGAATGGAATGGATAGGACCTAAAGGGGTACTACAATGCACATAGACAGTGGAAATTTACATTCTATCGATACAGAGAGTGACATGTTATTGAAACATAAAAGTAAACCTATTGATGTTATCCAAAAATGTAAATAAAAATGAAAATAAAAAAATAAATAATAAATAATAAATAAAACGGTGAAAATTTTCCCATCAAAACCCCATATCCATGCAATAAATCAAACCTCTTTGAAAAAAAAAAAAAAAAAAAAAACGAAAAAGATTTTTTTCTATCGAGAACAATAGCGCAGCGTTCGTAATAGCCGTATCATCGTCGTCGTAATAGTCGTCAACAAATAAAAAGCAACAGCAACAACAATCCATCCCGCAACACCCTTGCCCTCCCTCCCCGCTTCACGCAGGCGGCGTGAAGTAGCGCTTGAACCTCTCCACCTTCGTTAGACCCAGTTGCAAAATGACCCAATGACAATTGATCAACAGGCTAGGGAATCGCAGAGCCCAGAATTGGAGATAGCCAACCGGTAACCCTCCAATGTTGGCTTTGAGATGTTCTGGCATATCGTTGTAATGATTGCGTTTGTTTCGGAGAGCGCGCAAAAGGTCCAGCATCTTCGACCCGGTGTACTTTCGCTGTTTGCCGAGACTGTCTTTAAAGTCCTTCGGAAGCAGCTTGAGGAAGTCCATTTCCAATCCAATGACGTCCGGGGCAACCGATTCAAGGCAGAGTAGATTTGCAGAGGGAGGATCGCGGGGTTCGAATTCGAAATGGTCAGATACATCACAGAGGAAATTCAGACGGTCTGCGGGGGACCAGAAGAATGGGTGGAGCATTATGGTAGTAGCGTCAGGCCTTAGATATTGAATTTTGTCAGACTCGTGTAGTTGCTTGAAGTTTGGGCATTTTGCTATTATATTAAATTTTGGAAAACTCACCGATGGCGTGGATCCAGGGATAACATTTGCCTGATCAAATCATCCGCTTCGAAAGCGTAGTCTCCGAGTTTCTGCAAATCATCTAAATTATGATACCCTTTGACAATATTCGCCTCACGCATGAATTTGCCGTCTTTATCGAACGGATGACCCCCACGAGTCAGCACGTAGTAAAAGACACAGCCAAGGGAGAATATATCAATGGCACGTGTGGCCCTTCGGTTCGTCTGAGGGTCAACAACTGCAGGGTCTGAGGAGTCGACACTCTGGTTGTCCCAGGTTGAGCCGCTTGGAGCGGTTTGGTCGTCGTCAACAAGAAGCTCCGGAGCGCGCCAACCGGATGTCCCAGCGGCGTGTGCAGTAGTAGCTCTGAAGGAACTTTGATTATCTTCCAACTTTTTGCACAAGCCGAAGTCGGAAATAAGTAATCGGAGCGAACTCGAACCGGTTCGGGGCTTCGGTGCGGCCACAAGAATATTTTGGGGCTTCAAGTCACGATGGACTATTTTCAACGAGTGGAGATATCGGACTCCAGCGGTAATTTGCCACAGAACGTCTGGTACGTCCAACCCTCCATTGACAAGACTGGGGTAATCAAGCGGCTTTTCCACCACGTCCTGTAATGAAGCAGGGCAGAGCTCCAGACCGATATAAAGAAACCCTGCAGTTTGCTCTCGACAGAAATATCGAATGACGTTTTTGTGGTCATCACTTTCCTGCAATAAGCCAACCTCGTGAGAGGCAATATCGTAAAATTCCACCAACATCCGTTTTACCGCCACATCCCGGCCATCAAAGGATCCCTTGTAGACCACAGTGCCATGGCTGCCATGGCCTAAAACTTTATCTGTGTGAACCTTCAGTTGGCCGATTCTAATCGAGCCATCAATTTCTATCATCTCTGTTGAAATAATCCTCGAAAGCTGTCTCTCGAGCCCTGGCCGCCTCGCAATCTCGGTGTGGTCATTATCGGACGGTGTCTCGGTGGATATTTTGCCATCTGCGTCTTCGCTCTGTTTCTGGTTCTGGTTCTTCTTGCCACGCTTGTGTGCGACGCCACCCCGTCTTCCACGGCGAGCTTTTTTCTTTGTTTTCTCTGGCGTCTGAAGGAGATTTAGCTCTTCAACTTCGTCATTCTTGTCATCATTATTATCAGGGTCCTGTATCCTGACCCTCGGTGTGGATTCCATATCCTCACTTGAATCCCGTGATTTCAATCGTGGCGTCACATCACCGTCCTGGTCGAGGGTTGGGACGGTGATGTTGACAGTAACGCCAGGGTCAAGTGAAGATGGTACCCCATCCGTACCAAACTCCGACGGGAGAGTCGGCATTGAAGCGATTATTGGCGTAGAGGGTGTGGTAGACAGAGGTTTCCCATTGATAGAAATGACATTTTTAAGATCGAGTTTCTGTTTCGCAAGCTCCTGTAAAGTGTGGGAGTTCAGGTAAAGAAAGGTTCCAAAAGTAAGGAGACAGAGGGTAACCACGACATCAACGACGTTGTCCCACCCCTTTTGAATAAGGACACCCGGTCTAATGGTGGGTTGGGGAGGCGATTTGGGTGATACTCTTGCAATATCTCGAGGGGTATCGTTCGATAAATCGGCTGGGGGGCCAGATATACTAGGAATAGTCCGCTGATACTTGCCTGAAGGCTCATTGAGAGAGTGGACGCCAGCCAGAGCAGCCCTTTGTTGGGCAAGGCTGTGGCTCATCAAAGGTTTCTCGTTCATGAGGTAGTCCTTCTCATAGCATTCGGCTTGCCTTGCACGTCCTGTGACCAATGGATATGAAGCTTCCGACATTGCATACCAGCCGCCATTTTCGGTACAGTTTACGAACACACGGGACTCTCGATCTTCCGGCGTATTAACGCCAAAGCTGTCATCTGGAGGGTTACGTGGCTGGGAAAGGAGAACTAGGGACGTATCGGGCGAGTCAGTGCGAGCAGGGCGTGCAACATCGAAAACACGCGCCACGGGAGAAGTAAATCGTTGGGTGTAGCGACGTCCGTCTACTTTTGAATGGTCGAACCCAAAGATAACACCGTCGTGCATACTGTAAATGTGTCGTTCGTCCATTGTTCGGAAATATTGACTTTGGAGGTCAACGTCCCGATTGTTCGGGCCCCATTCAGAATATTTGATGGTGCAAATAAGATTTCCAGTTTCTGTATTTTGGACAGTTACTATGTACTCGAGTCGGCCAAGGGTGAGCGTGCCATTTTTGGTCTCACACTCCTCGTCATCGAGAGCCTCTAGGTCATTGACACGTCGACAACTTTGTTCTGTTGAGGCAGCAGAACCTCGAGAACTGAAGACGCGAAGAATAGTGCCGGTGCGAGCATCTACGGTATAGAGGGTCGTTTCTTTTCTGGCAGTATATGTAACGGGAGGGTCGGTTCCGGAATAAGGAGTCTCGTCAACGAGAGCCTTCACAGTCAAACCCAATTTCTGAAGGCCGCCATTGGGGGCCTGGTTGTAGATGTAAAGGTCGCCATCCCGGCTGGGCTCTACGATCCAAATAAAATCGTCCTCCGGTTGCGCATCGGCAAAACCGGACCGATTGGACTGGTGATAGATTGTTTCCACCATCGGGCTGCTTGGAACCTCGAGTGCCCAACGCGGGGCCCCTGTCTTTCGATCCCTCGCGTGGATAGTTCCATCGACGGTCGCCAAGAGGACAAAGTCCTCAACCTCCCAATCCTGTAAGGACCGCGCTTGGAGCTGCGGACCCGGGCCAGCGTTTGAGTTGAGCCGGGCAGGAGGTGCTCGAACGGCGGGGTTGGGGGCCGCCAGAGCAACAGTTTCTATGGCGCTCGCATCGTTGGCGTTTGCGAGTGAGTGTGCTTGAGTGTGTGATTGAAGGGGGGCATTGTTTCCGATATAAGCTTGTAGAGGTTCGACGTTGTGGGCAAGAGGCTGCTGCTGCTGAGCGGCCCAGAGCGGGACAAGGAGGAGGGCAATGCCGGTGGGAAGAGCAGAGCGGGCACCAGGCAGCCGCCAGACCATGGTGGAGACCTACAATGCGGGCAATCGTAGGTCAGAATGTTCCCTGAGTGATAGAGGCCGCAGATGATCCGCAAAGCCCGTAGGTGACATTAGAGAGTGGTTTCAGCGTCCCACTCCAGGAGAGGGAGCGTGAGCTGGAAGAGGGAGTGGCGGAAGAGGGCTACAGAGGATCAGCAGAGCTGGAAGCGGGGCGAGGAGCGTAAGTGAATGAAGGAGTCGAAGGTGGGATAGAGGACGAGATGAGAGAAACGGGGTAGAAGATAAAATGGATCGACGGGAGGATGGAACAAATGGAAAATGGAACAAGTTGCGTGCAACCGGGCCCCGCTGACTCAGCAGTCCCCCAACCACTGGCTGACAAAACCTTCGTCCGGGGCGAAGGGCTTGGCGCAACCCTGGAAGGGCCCTAAGGACTAAGTGCTGGGCTGCGTTTGCGGCCAACCACCTGTCGCTCCGTCGGGGGCAGAAAAATGCTGTTCCCAAGGTTCCACTCCACGACCGCCGGGGAAAGTTCTCGATTTCACCACTGCCAGGAAATCAATATATTGGTTTGACTGAGCAAATTGAAATCTCCCTGTAACGATACACGTATATGCAAGCTGTACAGTACATACATGCAGTTACGTCCGCCAATTCACGTCCAGATTATTCTATCAAAAGAATTGTCAGCCCCCAAGCTTAGAATCTGTTCATGATGGTATTATTCTGTGCTGCATTGTTTACGCCTCTCAAGACCGGAATCATGTCTATTGGTTTCCTGTTCTTTGCTCCTCCAGCCCCTTGAAAGCAATTCTCGGTACAGCAGGGAGTACGGAATACCTCGTAAACGGTTCCTCGTTATAGTCTACCTACGCACATCAATTGATATCCCTTCTCCCGTGGTTGGACGGCCACACTCACTGGAACAGGACAGCATGTTCGGGGAGGGATGAGAAACTTGGGAGGCTAGACGAGTTCATCGTTTTTGCATCTTGCCATTATGCACAAACTCTATAACCTCCATCGCCCTCAACGTTCCCAAGCCCAGACATAGACGTGTTATAGTGAAAATACATGTTAAGGACGCAACATTACAAAGTTCATTCCGATGATAATGTCTTATTATGCACTTATTATTGACGCAATCTTGCGGGGTCACTGAAGCCGAGTTAAGGGTATACCAGAAGCACTGACATCGCTTAGGTTGGCTAATGACGACAAACTAGCAGCACCTAACTCAAGTAGAATGACAATGAACTTTTGAAGTGCCCCTAACCCCCCCCCCCCCCCCCCCAAATAATATACAAATATATATACTATGAGTATTAGTTTTAAAAATAAACCAGTGTTGCGTTGTTCTCTGAGTTGGAACGCAAAAAGCCCCACTTAAATTACACAATATTGCTTCCTCAGCTAGTTGAGCAGAGACATTGTTGAAGCAACATCTTATAAGTCCCTGGACATTCGTCTATTAGAAGGAGTAACGTGATATGCTTGTTTATTTTGGGTGTTGGGAACAATCATCAATGTCTTCTTATTTGCTATAACTCAGAAAGGTTCGCCATTTACATGCGTTCCCGCTTACGTGGGGCACTACGGATGATGTTATCTACCCTGAGCAGCAGCTGTAAAATGGAGGTATTGACGTTAGCCACACTTCGAACATGAAACGCCACAAAATAGTAATGAGTATGGTGATAATTATGACAACTGGATAAGGTACATACCTCTGCAGCCTCTGACGCTGATGACACAACTGCTCGCTTTAGTTTGTAGCTCTCTACAACACCCATATCCCGCATGTCCGCAATCCCACCACCAGGGGTCAGAAGATCAAGCCCTGAGCTTGTCATACCATTATTGATGGCTTGTCTCAGCCTCGTGACGAGGTCGCTCGAGTCCAAGCCGGCGTTGCTTGCAAGGATGGTTGGGAGTTGTTTGAGGGCTTGGGCAAAAGCATCGACGGCAATTTGTTTTTTCCCCGTGGTATTTTGCGCAGTTTGTTCGACTGCTTTGGCCATCACCATCTCCGCACATCCGCCACCCAGCGTCACCTTCGGCTCACGGACAGTCTGAGAGAGGACGGCAAGAGCATCGTGTAGAGACCGTTCAGCTTCGTCAAGCAACTGTTCTGTAGCTCCCCGGAGGACAATGGTGCAGGCTTGGCCGGCCGCAACACCAGAGAATTTGATCAGCGTGTCCTCGCCGATGATAACTTCCTCGATGACATCGCACCGGCCTAGCTTCACTTGATCTGGATGGTCAAATGTTGATGTGATCTCTCCTCCAGTGACCAGTGCGAGACGCTCAATGCCGTCGAAGTCGGCGTGCTCAATAGAAACAATGCCAGCATCGGTAAAAAGTTGTTCGGGCCAATTGTATATGAGTTGGCGGTTCACAAAGCAGTTGATTCCATGTGACTTAATCTTCTCTACCTTCGCTCGCATTTTTTCTCGTTCTGCTTTCTCTAATTCTGCCAATTTTCCTGTTGAGTCAACCTTAACACGGGCACCGAAAATTTTAATTTTATCCGTGTCCATAGCAGTATTTGCGACCAAGATCTTCGCGTTCTCAAGTCGCTTGGGTTGGTTCACTCCAATCTTTTTGTCCAAGATGAATCCCTCGTCGAGGTAGGAGTCACTTAACTTCCCCCCAGCCTTCTTGATAATTTGGATGTGACTTAGATCAGTAGATCCCTTGAGCCTGAGGACTGCGTCGCAGGCTACACTTGCGAAATGATCTCGGTCTTGGCTAAGAACTTTCGAGCTGAGGGTTGTGCGGGCGATCGCGTGCAAGTCCTTTCGGAAAGCAACGGGGTCTTTGCTGTTGTTCACGGCTGTTTTCTCCAGGGCTACGAGGGCCGCGCGGCTCGCAATCCTGTAGCCTTCTATAATGGTCTGAGGGTGTATTTTCCGTTCCACGAGCTTTTCCGCCTCCCGTAGAAGTTCCGCAGCGAGAACGGTGACAGAAGTGGTTCCATCGCCAACTTCATCATCTTGAACCTTCGAAATATTCACTAGTACCTTCGCAGCAGCGTTGTCGAGAGCTATGGCTTTGAGAATTGTAGCTCCGTCGTTTGTAACCATGATCTCGCCAGTAGAACTGTTAGATTGCTCGGCTGTTAGAAAAAGATGTTCTAATCATGCCCCGCATCAGAGCAGGAGAACACGTAGCGTACGCTGATTGAAGAATTTTGTCCATTCCCTTTGGGCCCAGAGTGCTTTTCACCAGGTCGCCTACTGCGATCGCACCCACAAATGCGGACAAGCGAGCATTTTCACCTTTCTCCTCCGTTACGTCTTCGGCGAAAATCTGCGTGGGATTATTGAATGACGCCTGGAAGAGTTAGAACCCAAGAAAAGGAACAGGCATAGACCAAGTTGAGGCAAAGCATAGAACTTACCATGATTGAAGCAGCAGAACAGCAGCTTATATCACGACAATGCAAGTCGCTGCGTTCGAAGACGTTGCAAGTGGGCTGTGTGCAACAACAACCAGATAGTCCTTAGACTTGCGCTGCTAACAACCTTCGTTGCAAAATTCTTAGTCAGGGTGGTCCGAGCTGTTGGCGCGCGCTTGGAATCCTTTAGGGTATCGACAAACCTCAAAAGAGCACAACATACTCCAATAACATTGGCCAAAGTTATTGGGTACACTGGCTTTTCTAACCCTTTTATTTAATTCCAATGCAGGTCCGGGCGATGGCTGAACCAGAGGAAGAAACGCGCAGCACTGCCTCCAACAAGCGGTCTCGTTCTGAGCTCGAGGAGAATCAAGTGAATGGTTTGTTCCTCGGATATCGAATACTGGTATCTAACGAAACAAAGACAGAGCTAACAAGGGCACATAATAGATGAGTCCTCATCATCGGGGGATGACTTTGGCCCTGCTCTCCCTTCCACCATACCTAGAAAGAAACGACGAAAGCTACCCTACGAAAAGGTCTACATCAATGCGCTCCCAGTTTCGGCCCGATACTCAAAGTCCCTAATGCACAAGGACCAGCTCTCCTTCGTTACTCTAACCCCTCATACTGACTTCCTTATTACAAGCTCTATTGATGGAGTTGTCAAGTTTTGGAAGAAGATGCCGGTTGGTGTCGAGTTTGTGAAGGAATTTCGCGCCCATGTTGGAGAGCTGAAAGGTGTGAGCGTTAGTCTTGACGGTAGAAATTTCGCGACGGTTGGAGTAGATAAAACGGTTAAGATATTCGATGTGATTACTTTTGGTAGGACCTTTCATTTCCTTCCTACCCCTGGGCATGCTAGAAAGTTTTGTCTGCTAATACCGTTGGTTTCAGACCTCCTGGCCATCATAACATTGGATTATGTCCCAAGGTGTGTTTGCTGGGTACATCGGCGAGGCGCATCGCTGCCACTGTTAGCCGTGAGTTGCGATTCAACTAGCGACATTATGATTTACGACGGACGAGGAGAAAACTCCACGCCCATCCATACATTGAAATCAGTCCATCGCTTCCCGGTTGTCGCAATGGCATTTAACGATGCATATGACTGCGTTATTTCTGCAGATGAAACAGGAATGATCGAATACTGGCGTCCGAATACCCCCTTCGACAAACCAGACAACGTGTTTGAACTGAAATCTACCACCAATCTCTTTATTTTTAAAAAATCCAAATCGGTTCCGTCTTCAATTACAATTTCTCCATCAGGCCATCAATTCGTGACGTTCTCCTTTCCTGATAGGCAGGTTAGGGTATTCGATTTCCCAACCGGCAAATTACACAGGTCCTATGATGAATCCATCACGACGCTCACGGAAATGCAGCAAGCTGGAACGGCACTCTATAAGCTCGAGGAGATTGAGTTTGGACGGCGGATAGCGATTGAGAAGGGACTTGAAAACCCGGCTACCGTGCCGAAGATTAATGTGGTCTTTGACGAGTCTGGCCATTTTGTGATGTATGGCTCTATTATTGGGATAAAGTGCATCAACACATTCACAAATCGCGTTGTTAGAGTCTATGGCAAAGATGAACCATTTCGTGCCCTCAATCTTGCCATTTATCAAGGCCAACCGCAGAAAAAGGGGGTTGTAACGGTTTCTATGGCCGCTAGTGCCAATCCTTTGCTCCAAGAAGCTGAAGAGCGTGATCCTATGCTCGTCAGTACTGGCTTTGCTAAGCTCCGTTTCTACCTCTTCACGAATGAAACGGAGGTATCCAAATCAAGCCGCGACGTACAAAACGAGAAACCAGTTGGAGCTCGTGAAGACGCTGCAGCTGCAGCTGCTAAACAAACAGCAACGGGCACTACGGCCGTGCTCCATACCACCCTAGGCGATATCCACCTCAGACTTTTCCCTTCCGCAGCCCCCAAGACTGTTGAGAATTTCGTTACCCATTCACGTAATGGCTACTACAACAACACCATCTTCCACCGGGTGATTCGCAAATTCATGATCCAAGCCGGCGACCCGCTCGGTGACGGTACTGGGGGCGAGTCGATTTGGGGCGGCGAGTTTGAAGACGAGTTCTCGACTCTGCGTCACGACAAGCCTTATACGCTCTCAATGGCTAATGCCGGCCCGAACACAAATGGCAGCCAGTTTTTTATCACAACTGAGAAGACGCCGTGGCTCGATGGGAAACATACGATATTCGGCAGGGCCGTCAAGGGGCTTGACGTGGTGCATAAGATTGAAAATGTCAAGACGTACAAAGAGAAACCAGAGGAGGACGTGAAGATCGTCAGCATCAGCATTACATAGTGACTCTTGAGTACGTGCTAGCAATATCTATGTGAACCGTTTCCTGCAATACATGGGTTTTTTTTTTATCTAATCGTGCAAGCGCCCATCCTCATTTTTGACACACACACACACACACACACACACACTAGAAGCATGATTCCCAGAATTTATGCATTGAGCTATTTTTTATACATAGGTATATCCAATTGGATATCTATATATATCTATACAATTGCGTATGTATTTGCTTTGGGGAAATTCGGCAGTGGCTTGGTTTGGTGTGGGCGAAGGGGGCTGGAACGAAAGTCACATGTTCATTTATTTTAATACACATATTTATTGAAAGTTCAGAAACAGTAACGATAACCGTGTAAACTCCGTTTGCCCAAACATTTTGACTGCAGCGCGATTACAGCCCATACCAAACAAGGGAAAGATATAGTTCTCCTACCCACTTAAGCGTGTTCCTGAGCGATGATTAAGAACAACAACAACAGGATCTCGAGCAGAATCAATGCAAGCCCTTGACCCCAATAAACCGCAACAGTCCATGCCCTTTCTCAACTTGCGACGCGCTGTCATAACTAATCTTTCGATCGAGGCGGTCCTCGCATATTCCTACTTACCCGTTGCGGCGCACGGGTAAATTGTCCGGATTCTGCTCTGTTCGATATATTGGGAGTGGAGCCAGCATTTCCAGGGCCTTGGGCGCGTGTATGGGCAAGATGTTGCTGTGGACCCCATTTATCGTCTGCCAGAGCTGCTGCGACTAGATTTCTCGAAGTTGGTTCACGGGCGCTCCGACTGCCATCTCCGAGGATCACAGCAGGTAGGGCTGAAGGGAAATGTGGTTGATTTGCTCGCTTACGCTTGTGCCGACGCTTTAAATAAATCAAGAGAAGAGCAAAAAAGGTGAACCCAACCGCTAGTGCGATTATCATCACCACCCATCTCCAGTGGGAGGAGAACCTATCGGAGTTTAGTGGACGAAGGCTTGAAGTTCTATTTCGAGGTGCCTTCCATAGTTGTCCAGCCCAACTTGGTTTGAGTGAAAGAATGATGGGAAGCAATGAGCGCAACTTCGACATACCAACTTGAGGAGGCTTCATGAGTGACTGTTGAAGCTGTTCCGTCCCTAGGATGGGATTCCGGAACATTGGATGTGGCGGTAGTTGTAGCCGGATTGCCTGTTGCGCAGAACTGTGCATACCATTTCTGCAGGGTAATTAGATCCGCCGGCGGACATACTGCTTCGCAGACTCCATTGGGAGAGCTGCGGAGGGCCCGCAGAAGAGTCGATTGGCAAAAACACGAGCTATAAGTGGCTTGGTTTGTTACAGGTGCCGCTGGAGGGACGCAATTCGCCTGTGCCTTGTGAAGAAGTGGACATGCAACAGCGCACCCAGGAAAGGCTGCCGAGCCGGTAGTCGGTATGAGAGATTGACATACAACTGACGTAAAAGCGGCAGTGGAGACGAAGAGCAATCTTCTCATCACGGCGTACTTCCAGCTTCTTTTTAGAGAACGAAATACGCGGATAGCATTGGAGGAGAAACGAGTAGTTAGTTCATTGCATCAATATTGGACTTCCTTGACCACATTATTAGTGTGATCGTTTTCCGCAAATCCCCGGCGATATGTTGTGGAGGTCTCTAGGCAAGTGCATCACCCCCTGTAGATGGCAGTGAGCTGGCATGGCCATGGTGATTATTGTGGTTAGCAGGTAAGCGCCTTGATGTAACCAAAGACAAAGAAAGGTGCAGGCCAAGTCCTTCTTTGATCAAGCGCTTCAGATCCAATGGCTTTGAATTGGAAAATCAAGGGAGAGGGGGAAGGATAAACCAGAGCGTTCCTGCGTGCCTCCACTGCTATTTAGCCTACATTGAAATTTGACACATCGAACTAAAATGGCCAGGAAACAAGTGAGACATTTCAACTACAGATTACACTTTTAAAGTCCTCGCACATGTGAGAAAGTTATGTAGTAAATCTGTTATAACTATCAAGGCATCGTTCGCAGGCTCGATGTCTAATACCTTGCTGTTCAGTTAGATGGCGAGATCTCAACCTGGCACTCGTAGTTATGTAGTTACCTTATATTTCTAGCGTGGTGACTTTAACTAATTAAATTCAAAACAACCAACATGACAGACAAACCTTAGACATCAAGCTCTTAAAGGTATATTGTCTAAGCTTCGAGAAACTTAAAGGACTTTTGTTACACACTGGAGCAGTGAGCAGTACCACATAAACATTTGTGTAGTATAGGTACTTCAGACACGGGATTAGCTCCAATAGAAATATTAGTTGGCAGATTCCACGTCAGCAACCTGATTATTTTACATAGTTTCCATCGATATACCGAAATGTCGCATACAGAGAAAAGGGGTTGATTAACTGCTTGCTAAAATTTTAATGTTTGCGAGTACGGAGTATAATGGTACTAATTACACAGCGTTAACATCCATAAGTACTATAGTGCCCGTGATAAGTAAAATGCAAAAACAGGAAACTGAGATTTTCAAATGACCCGCGAATGGGGATCGCTCTCTATTTATCCCTATCTTGGAGTGAAATTCTTTTCGTATCCCGTTCGATTTTGCGTTCGGAGACCAAAAACAATTGTGGAGATGCCAGTTGACCAAGATTGATTCTGAATCCTTCACGGCCTCCCGGCCTCCCTCGTCTCGAGAGGATTCCATATTATTGCTCTGCATTGGCCAGGTCACCATTATATTCCTAGCCAAGCAGCTTACGCTAGAGGCTTGCTCAAGGATGAGAGCACTTGTCCAGAGAACTGCAAATGTCATGACAATAGAGTCGTTATCCAAAAGAAGGCTTAGCGGCGTTTTGCAATTGGTTTCGCAGCTGAACAATTCCAGACGTCATGCCATCCGAGCTGGCAAATGCCGTGCTTTTGTGGGTTCGAGGTTCGCCCAATGCTCAAAAGCAAGCACCTTTCCGTCCCTTTACTAGGAGCTGTCCAGATACCCGGTCTCTGGGATCGTCCGCATCATCCTCCGCGCCCACGCCAAGCCTGGGCCAAGCTCGACGTTGCGCGGAACCTGGCTGCGGAGCGGGTTCGATGTTAGTACCCAAGGCTTTCTCTCCGTTGGCCGAGCGGACGGTGAGCGGAAGGCGGGCGGCGGCAGCGGTACCGCCATCCACGGATCCATGGATGCCGAAAAGCGTGGAGGGCTGGCTTCTTTGGCTTCTGATCTGGCCAATTCTTTCCTCGGTACTATTTAGACTCTTAACCAATATCATAGTTAAATTCTAGAGTCTTCTGCGGTAAATATAGCAACACGGTATGGGCGGAATGGGCGGGATGCTGGCATTCTGAACGGCCAAACCCTTGAAAACATCTGTCAAAGACAACAGAACTCAGGCCGTTGCAGCTCTCCACGGTTAACAACTGCGATCGTGCCACGTGGCGGGAGCGTTGAGCGCCCAAAGTCTTTTTGCTTTGGAGCAGCCAGGAAACGCTGAAGGAATGCTCCGCCCTGATCTCATTGAGGGTTCAAAAAGCAACGGCATTTTCCACACAACGGCCTCCTTTACTTTTGGGTAGAGACAACCTCCGCCATATATTACGTACTATATATATACATAGTTATGAGGAATAGCTTGGTACTTGATTTTCTATCAAGTAGCTAACCCATAAAAGAGAGACCAGAAGTTATGCCCAAAATAATTACTCTGTGATTGCCAGAGAATACGTCATGAAAATCGTCAAATTACAGAGAGGGCTGGAGCATGTTTTTTTTTGACTTGTTGGCTTACAAGTCACTTTTCATACTAAATTAGCGGACTGGTACAAGGAGAAAAATTTCACATTCGTCTATCAAATCGAAGGGGTATCCGAATATAAACCGCTTATTTCTCATCGCCACCGACCGTTTTGAACATTACTAAAATAGCATTGAGATTTCTTTTTCTTTTGGGACGATTGCCAGCTCGCATGCGAATGTCATGTCCCGTCTTCTTCCACGGTTCGTCCTATGGTCATCGGGTCATCAGAAACGCAACATTCCAGTGACAGTGATACGGGAATTCCGTGATGCCTCCCGTCCCGCAAAGGGACCCTGTTTTGATGGGTTAGCTCGCGCTTCCTGTGCGGAGTGCTGTGCTGTCGTTTTTCTTAAGATGCTTTTCAGAAGTTTGGAGTTGGGTCCTTCGGCCCCCGTTGATTTCGCCGCCACGCGCGATATGATCCCCTTCCTTCGGTATTAGTATTTCTTCCCCTTTATTTCATGACCCGCAATAACAGTCATGGAACCCACAAGGGATCAAGTCGGCCGGTGGGGGTGGGTCAACCGAATCTCTCACAATTTGGCGTGGCTCCAGCCGAGCCAACCAGGTCAAGGCAACATTGCGGGATAGATACAGGCTCTATTTTTCAAGTTTCGTATATCAAGGGACACAATTCCCGTTCCCGTCTTCGTTGTTTCGCTGTCGCCGTCTTTGTCGTTGTTCTCATTGTCCATCTTCGCAGTGGGAGCAACCATAGGGGGTATTGGCGTTTGACAGCATCCAGTTCCTTTTTGACACCGTGTGTGCCCTGTCCTGCCCCGTTGCCGCAGAGTACATTCTATTCCGCTGCTGTCTTATCACTCTCCGCTCCTGTGACTTGTCCCTCTTGCGCCTTGATCCGTCTTTGCGTTCTCATTCCCGACTGATCTGTGTACGGTCCTGTCATCATGAAGATGGTAGACCAAGAAAAAGGCTTCAAGGCAGAGCAGGTTCTGGTTGCCCCTGCGCCGGCTTACTTAGAAGATACTGGGAGCCAGGTACTTGGGACTTCTAAAACCCAGTATGAGTCGAGCCGGCATCTGCAGATGATTGCAATTGGTGGCGGTATCGGGTTAGGTTTGTTCGTGGGCTCAGGCGCTTCACTAAGCAATGGTGGGCCTGCAACGGTACTAATTGACTTTGCAATTGTTGGCGTGGTAAGTGGTCAATCTCCCATAGGGTTAGAGGCATTATCATAGCAACGCAACTATGATCACCAACAACAACAACAACAAGAGATAATATGCAAAACAACAATGACACGCGTTCGTTTCAGATGATCTTTAACGTCGTCTATGCTCTTGGCGAACTTGCTGGCTGTCACGTTTCCAGTCTCTGGTGGTTTCTACACCTTTTCAACCCGTTTTATTGACCCTTCCTGGGGTTTCGCCATGGGATGGAACTATGTTTTCCAATGGGCTATAGTCTTGCCGATTGAACTCACAGTTGCGGCCATAGTAATCGGGTATTGGGACATGGACACAAACATCTGTGTTTGGATCACAGTTTTCCTGGTGGCCATCGTTGCCATCAATATCTTCGGCATCCTTGGCTACGGCGAGGAGGAATTCTGGAGCAGCAGCCTAAAGCTTGCGGCCGTTGTCATTTTCATGATTATCGCGCTTGTGTGTGTCCTTGGTGGTGGGCCCAAAAATGGTATGTATTCCGAATATTGGGGTGCTAGGTTCTGGTACGACCCTGGCGCATTCCGGAACGGATTTAAGGGCTTCTGCTCCGTCTTCGTCACTGCAGCGTTTGCCTTTTCTGGGACGGAATTGGTCGGTTTCGCTGCCGCCGAATCCAATACCCCTGTCCAATCCCTGCCCTCCGCGGTGAAACAAATCTTCTGGCGCATCAGCTTGTTCTATATCCTTGCTCTCTTTTTTGTTGGCCCCCTTGTGCCCTACGATGATACGCGGTTGCTCGGGAGTGTCTATATCAATGTCAAAGCTTCTCCGTTCGTCATCGTCGCCAAGAACGCCGGGCTCATAGGATTTGACCATTTTATGAATGTCGTCATCTTAGTTTCCGTTCTCTCTATCGGAAATTCAAGTGTATATGGTGGTTCCCGGACGTTAACTGCCCTGGCGGAGCAGGAATATGCGCCCAGAATGTTTTCGTATGTTGACCACGCTGGGAGGCCGTTGGTGTCAACAACTACAATCATTCTCTTGGGCAGCTTAGCGTATATCAATTTATCTGCCTCAGGAGAAAATATCTTTAATTAGCTACTTGCGCTCTCTGGCCTTTCCGCACGCTTCACCTGGGGAAGCGCGAGTTCATATTTTATTCGTTGTTGTATTTATATTATATATGATTTGTCGCTAATCGCACTTAGATTTGCTTCGCCCACATCCGCTTCCGCGCTGCGTGGGCTTATCGTGGTCACACCGTCGCCGAGCTTCCCTTCACTGCCGCCTTCGGAGTTTATGGGTCATGGCTGGGTCTAACTCTTGTTGTAATTATTCTTGCTGCACAGGTTTGTTGACTTGGCGGGCCCCGCCCGACGCATGGCATCCCTCATGTTGATTGTCAGGGGGATATCCCACTAACGCGGGGAATTACTTCTAGTTATATGTCGCCGTTGTTGATATGGATGCCGAGACCTTCTTCAAGTCTTACCTTGCTGCACCTATTGTCATGTTTTTCTGGGTCTGTGGTTACTTATGGAAGGGTCAGGGTTGGCTCAAACTTAGCCAGATTGATGTTGATTCCGGCCGCCGAGAGATTGACTGGGAAGCGCACAACCGTAAGCTGGAGCAGAGGCGCAACTCCCCTCTTTGGAAACGTGTTTGCTGGAAATTTTTCTAAAACTAGTTCAAGCTATTGGTTATATGTGTGCATGGCGTGGTCTCTGTTCTCATTTTCTGAATCCCATAAGGTAGTCAATGAGAATTTCTTAGAATTGCTTGTTATATTCACCATGGATATGGGTATTCGATTCCCCTTTCAGTTGAATAGCATCTAAAGAGACAACTTCTGTGGCGAAATTAATAGCCCTCAGGGGAGGCTGCTATCCAGACTATCTACAGTACGTGTACAGCACATGTGCATACGTTCAAATATTGTGGCAGATTATCTTCACATTCTTTCTGGTAATAATTTTCTCTTCTTCCTGTACCACTTCGCCGTATGTCACTGACGGGACTAACTCAACAAGCAAGCGAACTGCAAAGTAGGGAGGCAAAAAGGACGTAGATGTCCAGGTTTGGGTTCGGCGTAATGGAAATGATACAGTCCGCTGCAATTGTGCCATTGCCATGTGAGTCGTAAGGAATTCAGGTGAGCCATATGCATGGATGGCGTTTGACGCATGGCCGCAGTGCATATAGCATTCAGCATGGTTATTTTGTTCTGGTCTGCCCATGCTCTACCCCGTTCATGTCGCTTCATAGTTGTACAGAATGAGGCCCATCGTTATGCTCACTCCCTGTCGATGTCCAACGAAGATATCACTAGCTATTTCCCGGGTATCGCGGATTATCCCATTCTCGCCTGGATTGGACCTCCTATACGAAGCACACTCTACATTTTCAAGGATTGATAACACACACCCACACCCACACACACCCACACACACAGCACCCGACTATATGGGCCAAGCCCTCGAGGAGATTTCCTAGCCATTGCCGGATCAAGAGTTCCATCAAAGAAACCAGCACACCTTCAATGTGGATATGCCTGTCGCTACAGATGTCAAGACTATGTCTCCGAGTATCTCTGATCTACGACATTGCCAAAGGGTTAATTATATAACTTATACGGTGGCTGCCACAACATAGTTTAGTATGATGTTTTACCAAATGACCCAAGGACCAACCTCATGTATCTAACAACTTGGTGCACTGCTTATTACCACGAATTTTCGGAGGAGAACAAATCTAGATTATCAGTTTCAATGCCGAGCCGGCATTATCGGGTAACTATTAGTCATTTTTCTCACAGAATACTAGTAATTGCCATCAATCAACAGTACTCAAGGTCCGTTTGCATCGGCCGTAACTTTTGTCCAGAATATTTTATTTCTTCTTCATTTTGTTGTCTCCTTAATCCGTCGAATGTGGTCGAGAAAACCTCGGTTTAATCACAATGGCCATCTACCGATTCGGATGAAGAGGTTGGTCATTAAACTTCTAGATGAAGGGTATATATATATTGGCGACGCGGAAGATCGGATTGGGTGGGTTCATCAACCGATATATCGGATTGCAATAGCCCGGATGCGACAAATTGAGGTTACATCCAGGACGTCATGGCCCGTGCTTCCAGCGGACAGGAAATGTGGCAGATTAATGTGGAAACTCACATCTGTTATTGAGAATACGTATCTTCGTCTTGAGTTCTCTTCGCCTGGTATCCCGAACCATGGCCAAGGTCGGAGGAAACAATAGTATACTGTACACGTCAACAGCATCTGAGTAACATTTGAGAGCTGTGTGGAGGTCCGCACACACATTGTGCATGGTTCGTAACATGCAAACAATGATTTATGGAACCTTTCGCATTCATCCAAGGTGCGTTTTTAGACCGAACCTTGCTGTGTCTGTCAGAGAAATGAGCGGTGGACAACGAATATATAACTATGAAGTTTGATCGAAGAGGTCGCCCGACATCAATAATTAAGTGGTGATCAGTGGCTTCTATTTGCTCATTAGTTACCAAACTTAAATTTATAGATAGATGCTCAGATCCGCTCGGTGAAAACTCGACTTGCATTAACTAGTGGGTACATACGGTGTTGTACAATGTGCTGTAAGCCACCAAACACGAAATTCTCGAGAGGACATATAATTGCCAATCAGGTGGTATTTGCCATCGCTTGCGAAAACCAGAATCCGAAGTTGATTTGACATTTTCAGAGTCTTCAATGTCAATCAATTGAAGGAACAATGGGCGCTGCTGAAACTTGGTATTATGGAGCGCATCATCGTTTCATTTATCCCATTAAAAGAATAGCCAGCAACAATACCAATAATTTGCAAATACGAACATGTCGGGAAGCCATTGTTTTCAGACTGCTGTCCTGGGCGTCTTCAAATGTTGATGTGAGTTTAAAGAATACATTGAAATATTCCAACGCTCTCACCAGGGGTCCATTCTGCGCAGTATGTACCCAGGTTATTCTCACTTATTGCACAGTATGTTTGAATGCTATCCCAGGGGATATGGTTGCGTAGCAGTGACCATGCTGAACGAAACGGGTCATTTAACCTTCACTCCAGGTGTTCTTGTTTCAATATGTTCAATTTTCATAATTTACTTTACCGGTGGTGTGATATATAGGTTATATCTTTCCCCATTGGCAAAGTTCCCAGGGCCGAAGTTAGCAGCCGCGACTCTATGGTATGAATTTTATTATGATGCTGTTCGCAGGGGCCGATACACGTTCAAGATTAAGGAGCTACATCAAAGATATGGTCAGTCTATCCTCGTCTAGCAACTCTCAGAAGACGGAGGGAAGCCTAACTTGTCTATCTCCCCAGGGCCAATCGTCCGGATTAGCCCATACGAATTACATATAGATGATCCTGACTATTACCGTGTGCTATATTCGTATAGCTCTCCGCGGGATAAGTACCCATATTATCTGAAACCATTCGGATTTCCGCTATCCGCCTTTGGAACGGAGAATCACTATCAACACCGTCGTCGTAGAGGTGCATTGAACCCATTGTTTTGTAATGGAAAAGTTGCACAACGTGAAGGTCTTGTCCATCAGCTTGTCCACAGACTTTGCCAATACTTGGAGCAATTCCGGGTCACTGGCAAGACAGTGCCACTGTCGCTTGGATATACATGTTTGGCGACGGACCTAATCGTTTCATACGTACTAGATGAAAACCAACAATGGCTCGACGCACCTGGGTGGCTTCCACATTGGAGGTGGGCGTTGCGAACTTTATCAGAAATGGTGATGGTATCTAGGCAGGTCACCTGGTTACTTGAAATTTTAAAACACTTCCCTCGAGCCTGGGTAGCCTCCTCGAACCCTGGTCTGGGCTTGTTTTTTGAACTGGAAGAACGATTTCGTCGTAAGATTGATGAAATACAAATAGACAGAGGTAGAGGCTCTCAGCGTGCGGAAACGGAAATATCAAAGGGATACACGTTGATCGACCAAATCCTTGATTCTAATTTGGAAGTTGAAGAGAAAACCCCTGAGCGAATTCTCCAAGAAATCCGATCTACAACAGCTGCGGGGATTGAAACAACGTCAAACGCGCTAACTGTCATAACATACTATCTTCTCGACAATCCAGACAAGCTCCAAAAACTTCAAAACGAGCTTTCCATTTTGGAAAACGGTGGCAATTCTGAGCAGCAAGTCCACGAGCTGGGAAAGCTTCCATACCTGGTTTGTCTCCTGATGTACGGAACCCAGATTGACAGAAGGTTAACTAACTCTTCGGTGCTAGACTTCGGTCATCCTTGAGGGATTGCGGTAATGATGGCCAGTGGAAAGTGACTTAAAGGATGCCATACTGCATACTGAAACTTGACTCCTAGGTTGTCGTACGGAGTAAGCACACGGCTGCAACGGAAGTCGCCTGAGAAAGCAATTCAGTACAAAAATTACTGTATTCCTCCAGGAGTAAGTAGACGGTGGACCAACTATCTTACTATTATTTGAACATCGACAAGACAGACCTTGCTCATGAGCCATTTCTCCCAATTGACAGACTCCCGTTGGAATGACATCGGTTCTCATGCACCACAATGAAGCCATCTTCCCAGACTCATGCAAGTTTGTTCCAGAGCGCTGGCTGGACCTGCAGGAACGAAAGCGACTTGAGAGATACCTGGTGTCCTTCGGGAAGGGTTCTCGGCGATGCGTTGGGCAACGGTTAGTTTAGCTCTTTTCCAAGAACGGTGCTTGGTTATGGCTCAAGCCAGTTTTAATCAGCAAACTCACCAATCTGATGCTTGCTCTACCATTTAACAGTCTAGCGCAGACGACACTGCTTATCGCAATCGCTACTATTTTCAGGACGTTTGAACTTCAGCTGTGGGGTACGCTAAAGAACGATATTGAGATTAGCCATGACCTTTTTGTCCCAAGGCCAAAGAACACGAAATCGATTGGTTTACAAGTCCGGGTCTTGAAGAAGTACTAGGAACATAGATTCCAGGGTCTTTTTGTATGTATGATGTCTGAGCATGTATGGAAAGGGGCACAGGGTCATGTGATTGCGAGCAACCTTATACTGGGCCAACTTCCGTACCTTCATCACATTTCTGCTGAACATGTTAAGAGTTAATTCCCAAATCGGTTGTTTTGTGCTTCAGTATTCGTTTAAAAAAAATGAGAACTTACATTGTCAAAGCAGCGGAATTGCTTGGAAGTAAGATACTGAGTTTTCGGTGAAGTCCTCACTTCATGAGCGCTAGTTAGTATTGACTACCAAAAATAACCAGATCAGAAGGGATAAACATGCTCTCCCATTAGCTTTATTAGGCTAAAGTTTGGTTTAAATGGCACCGGCTTCATTTTGAACTTCCACAAACTTTCAAAAACCTAAAGAACATGGTCCTTAGCTTGCTTCAAGTTGCTTGGAACACAGTTACTGCTTAGGGTGCCATTCTCGTGAACAATTATTAATACCCATTGCGGGGTGACATGGCTACACGTCAGAAGTATCTCGATAGCCTCTTATTTGGCCTTGGTACCCATAGATCCAATATTATTCTTGAGAACCAAACTAAATGCGGACATCAAATCCGTCGCTACGTCTTTGACTAATTCGCATTGTCGACTCTTGTCGAATGTTTTTTGCCCTGACGCTGGGCCATTCAGGTTTCAACATTGTCGGATTTAATATAATTTTCATTCGGGTAATTCTGACCTCGGTAAATATACCCGGTGGTGATATCGTAGTTTGTCGCAATCCTCAAGGGTCTGTCAACCGCAGTTTGTCTGTTGACTACAGTTTGCTTTTCAGGGATATTTGACGCCTAAAAGATTAATATATTTATTTAGACGAGCCCTGTGCCGGAAATGAAGCCCGATTTTAACTAGAGACCCAAGTCTAGTTCCAGAACGCATTCCGCATCCCCGTCAACTTCCGCCGAGTATATGGTAGGAATTGATTCGATTCGATTCTATTTCAAAGGGCGAGTTTTCGCAAGGTATCTGCCGATCATATTGATATTTCCCTGTTGATTTTCCCTAGCATCTATATGGCTTCTAAAAACATGGATGTGCCCACATGTTTCTTCCCCTGTTGTGTGTGTGGGGGTTGTGGTCGATGTCACAACATCTTCCTCTCCACACGCCTTGCTGTTTCTGATTTCCCATACCCGTTTCCATTTGAAGGCCTTTAATATGTCATATGGAATACTTGGCCAGCAGAGTGTTTCGACAAATGCGCATTGGTTAATCCGCCCAGTGGGCTGAAAACATCCAGGGTCTGGAAGAACTGGGCCGTTAGATCAATAACTAAAACTCAAGTATCGCACCTTTTACATTTTTCTTGCGTATATTCCAGAGAATTTTTTATATCCTTGACAGAACAGGCCACTCAAGTTTCATCGATCCCACTTTGGAGACTGTCGTGCGGATGGACATCCTTAAGGTTGTTTCAATATCTGTTGTGGAAACCTATGGTTTCCATATTTTTGATCAAGTCACCACATCATTCAGTCGGCAGGTCTTTTGGACCCTATTCATTGTTCAATATGTTGTTTTAAAGATCTATTGGATATGGATCTATCCGCTCATTGCGTCGCCACTACGTTCTCTTCCTGGCCCAAATGTTTGTGTGCATCGCTCTGTCAAAAGTGCTCATGGACAGAACAGCTAACTCTCTCCCTTGGTAGTTTACACAATTTCTTCTTGGTCAGACCTACAACCAAATCACCGCTTCCTGTCCGAATTCGATTGCCTTGGTATGGATGAAGAAATTTCCTGATGCGGATCTAATTCGATATTTTGCTCCAGGGAACCACGAAGTGGTTCTTGTCAATAGCCCAAGAGCATTCCGCGAGGTAACATTTACCCATGCGTATTCTTTCGCCAAACCAAGATTCTTTAAGCGTTTAGTAGGGGACATGATTGGAGGCGGTCTTTTTTTTGCCGAAGGCGATGTCCACAGAAAGCAGAAAAAGTTACTTGCCGGTATTTCGAGCCTCCATCCGAGCTGGACCTAGAGCTTACCCATTGCATTGGAGTTGAACTTCTGACTAACAATTTGAAGGTCCTTTTTTGAATCAAAACGTCAAGCACCTGCTACCCGTTTTCGAACAGAATGCTGATGAACTTTCTTCTTCCATCGAGACACTTGTTGTGGATAGTGAAACAGGAGCTATTGAAAGTAAGAACTGATGTCTGCAAGTTACAGTGGACAATGGTAATGTTTGGGCAGTTTCATGCTTGATATCAAAATCGTTACTTGATATAATCAGCCAAGCAATCCTCGGACTCGAGCTCGACAGCCATTCTATTGCCAGCGAACTTGGACGATGTTATCATACAATATTCAGCTCTACCACGATGTCCCGTGTTATGCTGTTTCTCAACACTTGTGTGCCGGTACGACGGCTTTTACCAGTGAAAACGAACCGAGAATATACTGATGCAACTATTGAGATAAAGCAAATTTTGAAGAAGCATGTACAACAGCGAACTCACGAAATAAGAAGTTTGTGGAGAGAAAGATTGAAATCGAAAAATAAAGACATATTAACACTAATAATTCAAGAACAACTGAAAAAAAGTGATGAATGCCCTGAAGATGAAATTGTGGACCATGTAAGCTCAACTTCTGTCAATGAATTCGACCTACGATCGAATATGGTTCTTTCCCTCCCCTTCCCCAAACCTCCTCTGCCCCCCCCCCTTTTATTTTCCAAAAAAAAAAAAAAAAAAAAAAAAAAAAAAAGGAATTTACTAACCCAAAAATGTAGCTCCGGACTTTCCTAGCTGCCGGTAAGTAAAGCATGTCTTCCATATTGAACCCGATAGCTAACAATGAGAAATAGGACTGGAAACTGTCGGAACCACCATGCTGTGGGCATTTCATGCACTGGCAAGCCACCAGGATGTACAAGATCGCCTGCGAAACGAAATTAACGCAGCGGGCGACGGGAAAGGTAGCGAGCTCAAGTATTCAGACATCTACAAGCTAGAGTTATTAGATCACTTTGTCAAAGAAGTTCTCCGCTGCTATCCTCCCTGTAAGTGCCTTCCTCACTAACCGATATGATGAACACTAATAGGTCAGGAAGAAAGCTGATGGTAGCTCCAATTTTAGCCACATGTTCCATGCGTGAAACCATACATAACGTTTCAATATGCGGCCAACTTATCCCTGCCGGCACACATGTCCTCATGTTTCCAATTATGCCTCAGTCTAACAGTATTATATGGGGTAGAGATCCGGAGAAATTTGATCCTGATCGTTGGAAAACTTTGCCAACTTCAGCTCGTGATGGATATACATTCCAAGCGTTCAATACCGGTCCGCGAGCCTGCCTAGGTAAATCTTTCGCAATGCTTGAGGTCAAAGTCCTGGTTATGAAACTCGTAGCGCGATGGAGGTTCTGCCATGTGTCAAAACCAGTAGTGTTGCAAAAGATTGGGCTGTTATTTAAACCCGCTAATGGGCTAGAATTAAAAATTGAATCTGCGGTTTTGACTTGATGCTCTTTTTTAGACCACTGTACATCTGTACTGTAATAATGAACGTAACTCTTAATAATAACCTTGGAACCGCGAGAGTTCGGCGGCCAATAATCCTCTCCTCTTGACAAGCTCGAGACTCAACAACAGCAACCATGCAACACCCAACATTACAGCCGGAAGTCGACCCCAACCCCGTCGTCTCCTCCTCCTCTTCCTCCTCCTCCTCCAACCCTCTTCCCGCACACCTAAACCCGGCCAATTACCCGCAGACCCGCTACTTCTCCGACTCAAACATCCATCTAGAACTAACCTACAACCCCCTCGACCCAACAAAGAGCCTCGCACAGATCCGCTCGCCCCACGCAGGTGCCAACGTCCTCTTCCTGGGCACCACCCGATCAACGTTCGACAACCGCCCCGTTGCCCGCCTCACATACACCAGCTACGCGCCCCTGGCGCTGCGCACATTGGAGAAAATCGCCCGCGGTGCAGTGACCAAATATCAGCTGTGTGGCATAAGTATATCGCATCGCCTGGGCGAGGTCCGGGTTGCGGAGGAATCAATTGCTATTGCCGTCGCTGCGGGACATAGGCGCCCCGCGTGGAGGGCTGGGGAGGAAGTTTTGGAGGAATGTAAAGCGGCAGTGGAGATCTGGAAGCGGGAGGAGTTTATTGGGGCTGGGGCTGGGGAAGGGGAGGGCGAGTGGAGGGCAAATCGGGACACAGATTCGCAGGGTAACTGTCGCGGGGATAAAGTGGCAGAGGGCTAAAACTGTACGATTGAGATGGGGGAGAAGTGCTGGGAGTTATGCTACTAATAAGTTACTGGCTATGATAGTTCTCTTCTCGTGATACCTTGCATATTCACGTCTTTGATTTTATTTGGGTATTGAGATTCGGATGCTCCTCCACTTCAGGGTAGAGGAGTGGGTGGGGTAGAATTCGGGTTAGCATTCTGGTTTGATAGGGAGGAAAGGGCATTGAACTCCCAAGTATGCAACCACGAGCTCTGTTGAATAGAAACTATATACGCCAATGTGTGTATTTCCGTCCCTGCGTCATTTTGAGTTGTATTAAAAGAATAAGCAGGTGGCTACGATTCCTTCATGGATTAGATTCTGCCCACACTAGGAAGAGATATCCCAATGCTAACAGTTTGTTAAGTAATGAGCAGAAGTATTTTACGCTATTAGTTCGATGCACTTACAACACCGCTGTGTACATAGAGATTGATCTAAAATATGGGTAGTAACTCTCCTTCATACTCTTCGTGATAAGCAAGAAGGGATACAACTATGTTGGTTTAGAACGAAAATGCGTTTTGAAAATAAAGCTTCGAAAACCGAGCGCAGAGCATCAAGACCTCGGCCAGTCGAGGAAAGGGTTGCCTGTCACATCCCACAATGTTCCATCCACAGCACGGTTACCAACCCACTCCTGGCATAATGAGATATCGTTGTCACTTTCCTGCTCCAGATTAGGCGGGATAGGTACTTCAACCGCCACACAAAAGTGGTCAGACTCAGACATCTGTACAGAAGCCTGACCAACATTATGACTCAACCAAGCACTCCTTAATCTCCCCAAAAGGGTATCTTTCGCCGCAGCATGATCGTCCTCGTCGAAGCTCAGATCATGACTAAAGCCTCGCTTAGTATTGATGACAACAACGCGCTTGAGTTTTGCCAAGGCTCCAAATCCAGCGAGGTCATTTGGGACTTGGTAGAACATCCCATCTGCACGCGGAAGGACCAGATGGGTCAGATTGGAACAGCGTTTGATACCCGCCACGAACGTAGCATCATCGACGCAAGCATTGTACATGGCAAGGCGCCGCAATTGTGGCCACGTGGGCCATACCGCGGGTTGTAGGTGGTGCTCATCCGTATCCAGATAGAGCTCATCTTGCATGGAGCAGAATTCTTCCAGGGCAGTCAAGCCGGAAAACGCTTCCCGAAGCACTGGACGTACGAGATGTTCATCATATTCCGGCCGGAGGTAACGCAATGGCAGATTGATAACGAGGCGGGTGAGTGTTCTCTTAATGTCGGAGAGCAGCAGGCTGACATTCTGTGCAATGCTGGGAAAATCGAGATTCTCTTGGGGGAAGGGGCTTAGGAAAAGTCCCTTGGGTGCTGCGGTTGTGAGATCAACTAGTGACCGTTCTCTGAGATGGATGAGCTTTGCTAAGCGATCACTGGACTCTATATATAGGCAGTGCTTCAAGAGAAGACCTTTTGCAGTGCCTGATGTAAGACGTGATACCAGCGTGAGGTTGAGCAAGGCTTTTGTCACCGGATGCGGGGCAGCGAACGCCACGGGAGGTGGAGATGGAATAAGGCATCTGATAATGTGCAAAATGAGTTCGTTTGGAAGCGCAGGCACTTCCATTTTTGCTCGGATCTTATCTCGAAAACTAGAGGAGAACCTCTGGAACCAAAACTCAACGGAAGTGACTTGAAAAGGAGGGGAGGGCATTCAAGCATGTATTGCACTATCCATGTGCAGTTCTGAGCTGGCTGGTTAAATTAAATTGTGAGAATACTCGACCGTAAAATACCGGCATATGTGCAAAGTACCCTGGATGCACTTCTGGTACTCCTCGTGCCCATAATGGGTCTCTTGACAAGGCTTGAAAATAGTGTTTTATGTTGTAGGATAACAGTTGTTTAACCCGTTCCATTGCTTCTGCAATCCATCCAAACAACTCATCCTTGGTTCACAGCGGTAAGTAGGATGCTCCTTGGGTAACACGTCTGTATTCATGTCGTCCCTTTTCCATAATACTCAGAAAGTGGAATAATAGCCAAGTGACCGGAGAATTTTGGCAGATTCTCTTGCTAGAATCTTTCGGCTGGATGTTTGCTTAGTCAGGCCTCGAAGCCAAACAAATACGATGCGCTCAAGTAAATTTTTTCTTTCCTTGATTCAACGGAACAAAAAGTGCCAATTGACGATAATGCTTCATCTACTAACTTCTTGAGGCAAAACGTCATAAGTCTTGAAAAACAAAAATGAAAATAAGCACTCACCTGTCCCGAAAACAATCATAACCTATTCTAAAAGCTACAAAAGCGACGCACGCACCATATATCTACGTGCACACAAAGTTCATACGTATATGCGCAGCTCGTTACGAGTCCCAGCCATGTTCTCCGTCATCCTCCCCAGCAGGCCCTGCCTCACCGATGTCGTCCCGCTCTCCTCAGACCCCACAGTCCCCGCGAACAACTTCGCATTCACATTTCCCGCTCTCCCCAAGTTTTCCCACATAGTCATCTTCCTTCTTCCAGGCGTTGTCTTACCGGCTGACACCGCAGCAGCAGTATACATCCAATTCCCCAAAGACCTCATCCTCAACCCCAACACCGGAACCGCTGCCCCTCCCCTCTCATCGTCCGCCACGAATACGGACCCGGAATTTAAGTTCCTAGGCGCAATTGCCAATGAGAAGCCATCCGCAATCTTCAAAGTCAACTTCCCTTCCGCGCGGCGGCGTACTGAGGCTGAAGAAGAAGATGATATGATGGATGAAGGCACTAGTGTCACTCCTGCTAACACAGTGGATATAAACCCCAACGCTACAATCACACTGGGCATCACCATCGAACCCGTGCAGGCCGTTGCATCAAAGATCGCAGACCTCCAGAACCAGAACCAGAACCAGACCCAGCTGCAGATGTCGTCGTTCCCGTCCACAACGGACCTACTCAAATTGTCCACAGGACAACAGGGTGCAGCGATGGCTAAGTGGGCACCATCATCAGTCTCAGCAAAAACCCTCGCAAAGCAGATTATTGGAAATGCATTTAACTATTTGGCTAGCTTTGCAGTTTCAGACCCTAGGGTGCCAGGTGAGGAGGTTGTGCCATTAAGAGTGTTTAGAGATTGGTGGACAAAGTTTGAAAATAGGATTGATGCAGACCCTGGGTTTTTAGAGAGGGTGGATGCTCCCTAGGCCCTAGGCTTTATTGTTCTCTATGTGTGTGTTTGGGTTCTGAGGTCTGTGGTTACAGATCACAGATGATGACATTGCAAAATTTCACCTCATATGCATGAACAAAAGATATCCATAGTGTTTTGTTTATTTATTGCTCTGATCTGCGATCAGGACTGTTCGGGAGCTGCAGGCAAAAATCGACATTGAAAACCTATCACAGTTATTTCTACCAACAAACGGCTATATATTTAAATGCTACTGGTGGTATTGAAGCATCTATGAACGTGGAATTTAAAAACCAGAAATATAACAAGGGCAAGGATGTATGCAATGTTCAGCAGAGCAAACCGGCTCTTACAGCAGCTCAGTCATTTCTACGCAGCGTCGTGACTTTATATTAAATACCAGTACCCACTGCTATATTGCACGTTCAAATTCGACATTCTTTTGTTTCCATCATCTCATTATCATATTGAATAATTACTATTCCTCACTTTGTATGCTGGTGTACTGCTCTTTTATTCTCCTTTATTATGTATGTACGTACTGAACAGTATTCGCAGCCAAATTTCTGATGCACGGTAACGCTAAACCAGATAACGTTAATACAGGGGTTGGGAAAAACTACGGGGAGTACTCGGCCCTTGAGACGTGCATCCGGTCTGGGTTTCCGCAACTCTTCCACCTGGTTGGAATACGCGGAAGGGCAATGGATACACTTCAGTCCCTCTTCGACCTGTATAGCGACTGCACACCGAGCCAATTGCTCACTGCGCTGCTTGGAGCTCTTCTTGCCGTTTGGACGCTCAAGCAGGTCGTGTTCAGAAGCGAAGCCGGCCCCGTTGAGTATCAAGTGCCAATCCCCACTGAGCTAACGGATAAATGGGACCCAAAGACGTGGGATGATGTTAGTGAAAAGGATAGAGATATTTTGGAGTGTCAGGCAAACGGGGTAAGTTTTGCCCTGTTGAAATAGAAGTGCTATTCCAAAAATAACTTTCTTGAAAACCGGTTGTGTGGACGCACTTATTAGTATCACTGATATATATTTTCTATTCAATCTAGAAATGGAACAATGAGAAAATCCTTAGTTATTGCCCAGCTGATGGTCGTATACTCGGAGATGTAAACCATGGAATTAAACCAGCAACGAAACAGGATATCGATATCGCCGTCAAACGAGCGGAAGCTGCCCAGTTGGGATGGCAGCATACAACCTTTGCTGAGAGGAGGAGAGTATTAAAAACACTGTTGAAGTGCGCATGCGAGTCCCAACCACTGTACTTTACAGCCATATTTTTTTTTCAGCAACTAATGGTTTGTGCCACTTTGCAGATATCTTCTTGAACATCAGGATGAAATCGTTTCCGCATCTTGTCTGGACTCCGGAAAAACAAAAGTTGATGCCGCATTTGGCGAGGTCTTGGTTACCGTCGAGAAGCTGAAGTGGACTATTGACCATGGAGAAAAATCCCTCGCGACTGACCGTCGCCCGACAAATCTACTTATGATATACAAGAAGAACACTGTCCGTTATGAGCCTCTTGGAGTCATCCTCGCCTGCATATCATGGAACTACCCATTTCACAACTTGATCTCTCCGGTTATTAGTTCCATATTTGCTGGAAATTCTATCATCATTAAACCCTCCGAACATACAGCCTGGAGTTCCCTCTACTTTTGCGATGTCATACGAGGAGCGTTGGCAAGTTGTGGACATCCGGAAGATCTAGTTCAGACCGTCGTTTGTCTTCCCAAGGAAGCAGATAGTTTGACATCTCATCGTGGCGTGAACCATATCATTTTCATTGGCTCCCGACAGGTTGCGCACCATGTCTGCAACTCAGCTGCCAAGTCACTCACTCCTGTTACGGTGGAGCTCGGTGGAAAAGATCCGGCTGTCATTCTCGACGATCCAGCCACCGTCAAGGACATTGCTAGTATTACCTCTATCCTCATGCGGGGCGTCTTTCAATCCGCTGGCCAAAATTGTGTTGGAATTGAGCGCGTCATCGCACTCCCAGGAACCCACGACAAAATCTTGGAAGCGATAACCCCTAGAATAAAAGCACTCCGTCTCGGATCCGTGCTCTTTGAATTGAGGGAATGTTCAAAGAACCCTGGGCGAGGACTCTCAACTCCTGACATGGGAGCCATGGTTTCTCAGGGAACATTCGACAAGTTGGAAACATTGATCGCCGAGGCGGTCGAACAAGGAGCGCGTCTCATCCACGGCGGCAAACGCTATAAACACCCAAAACACCCTCTTGGGCATTATTTCACACCTACGCTTCTAGCCAACGTGGACACTACCATGCGGATCGCAAGCACCGAGCTTTTTGCACCTGTTTTCCTCCTCATGCCGGCAAAAGACGTTCCCGATGCCATCAGAATCGCAAATTCCACAGAGTTCGGTCTAGGAGCGAGCGTTTTTGGGCACAATCGAAAGGACGTCGAGAAATGCGTTTCGCAAATCAACGCCGGGATGGTTTCCGTGAACGACTTTGCCACGTACTATGCTGTGGGGCTGCCATTTGGCGGAGTGAAAGGCAGTGGATATGGCCGATTTGGCGGAGCAGAAGGGTTGAAAAATTTGTGCAATATGAAAGCTATTTGTGAAGATCGGTATCCTTCAATTCAGACACATATACCACCGCCTCTCGATTACCCGATTCAAAAAGGGGATGGGTTGAAAAAAGATGGACGGGGAGCGTGGGAAATGTGCAAGGGGATTGTAGAGACAGGGTATCAACCATCCCTTGTGGGTAAGGTGAAGGGTGTGGGGAAAATTTTGAAGAATCTATGATGATCAGCGAAGTGATCCAAGACAGTTAGTTCTACGCCTTTGAAGGCTAGAATGCTTCATTGCACTGTACAATGCCAATGGTAATGTTTTTTAAAGCCACATTTTAATAACTAATACAACCCAACTAATTGGGATTAATTTCATTCAGATATTTATTTTCAGAAATTATTTTCATGACATACAAAAAGTCTTATTAAAGCAATGCATGGGTGGAAATGGGACATAACGAACACTCGGTACTCAAGCATGCAAAAACCTCATCGCAGTTCCTCAATAATCAAAACGATACCAACCCTACAGTTTTCTCTCAACACTTGCAAAGCCAAAAACAGTCGTTGCTTCGTCAATGCATGCCAAGGTGACCAGAATGGAATGGTGCATTTAATCATCAAGATTGAATGCACTATTTCCATCAGTCTGTACGGCCCTCCCCACCTCCGGCTCAATTCCACTCCTCTTAGACAAAAGAACCTCACTCTAAACCCTCGTCCTCGTTAATCCGTGCCGGCGTCTACCGGTGGTATGCGTTGCCAGGCCCCCCCTTCTCCTCCTGGAGCAGCCGCCGCAGGTCAGACAAGAGATTATAGCGTTGAATATGGACACAATTCCGCTGACGATGGAGGTGAGAATAGCCCCAATGGTACTGGTGATAGCCATGAGACAAGCCCCTATGGATCCCAGAACACCTTGGATCTATTTACCAAGGAGATCCGCGTTAGACATTATTTGAACCCCGTTGTTGCGTGGCCAGTCAGGGAGGATTCACTTACGCAAGAAACAACAGCGCCCATCGTGAAGATATGATGGTTCTTGTAAGTTTTTTTTTCTTCTTTTCGTCTCTCTGGAGAGGATATGCTGATGGATTATAAATTTAGGATATATGGGAAGTCAATCTCCTCTCCTGTTTTGTGTAGTATCTGTAGGCCAGAGCGAGGTAGGTTATGGGATATTAAGTTGGAGATTTAAATGTAGAATATTCGATAGTTCCTCCGGACCTGAGATAGCGGAAGTCTACTCCAGTATATATACGGATTCTTCTGATCACAAAACCATGATTTTTCAACAGCTACCCGAACTTATGATGTCGTTTCTTACCCTATGTCTAAGGATAAACCCTTAGCAAAGAACTACGCTGAGTTCGGGTCCCTTGATGATGTATCCCAAATAGGAAAAATCAAGTTAACACCAAGTTAAAATTCAATTGTGACGTCACGCTGACATCACCGCTAGTTTTTTTGGGAAATTCCATTTTGAGAGCGCTAAGCGAAGTCGGTGTGCACAAGCAGAACTACCCCGTGAACACACTCGAATATATTTTTATCTTTTTGCTTTGTTTTGGTTCTGTGGGGATGAAGAACGCCTGGCAGGGTTGGTAGATTCCCTATAGAAGTTTAAATTTCTATACATGTTAATCGAATCAACCGGGGAAAAACTGAATGACTGACGATAGCCTGACTCCGATAAGGGTCAGGGGTAAGCGACATAAGAAGCCACTCTTTCCGGACAAAAAGGTGGCACGACAAGGACGAACGCATGCTGGTAATGAATATCAGGCAGGTCACCTTCCCGCTAAACCAGCCAAGAGAAAGTTGCGGGAAAAGACCAGCTCCCGCAATGACAAAAGGAATAAGCGTGGGCGTTCGAAGAGCAGCCACCTTGAAGCTCTCCCAGCAGAATTGATCGAGAAAATCTTCCTTGATTCACTAGAGCTCAATTTAGCACGGGCATCACCACATTTTGGAACCATACTCTCCAGGAAGCGAATCTACAAAATCTTAACGTTTCTTGCCTTCTTCAATGATTATAGACCTGGGAGAGATAACATACCCCCCGGGTATCTCTCAAACATCCTCCGGCCCCTGAAATACGTTCCTTTGGACTTTGATACACAAAAGGCGCTCCAGAATGATGTGATTGGTTGTCGGTGGTTCAATCTATCTCTTCTCAAAGAATGCCAGCGTGATATGTTTTCCACAATATTGCAGACGCGCATATTTGGTCCCTCACTACTTGGACAGTCGATGGTGTTGGATTCCGCAGCAAGAGATGTTTTGAATCAAAGCCTTGATGAGAACCCAACGCACTGGAGCATGACCTTTCGAGGAACTGACAAACACAATAATCAATGTGTTTTGAATATTTGCCCTCCAACGGTCTCTTTTACTCGTAACCGACTCGGGACTACGCACTATTTACCAATGGCTGTTTGGACAATTCCCGACAAATTCTTTGCAAAACAGCCGTGGACAGAGGAAAAATTCTGTCTTCTACATCACCTCCTCATGGCTTCTCCCTATGGTCTCCTTCCAGATAGGCTGGAAGCGTTTTACCCTAGTCCATCGTCGTTCGACATTTCACGAGAGAGAATACAGGAATGCATTCACATCGCCATCATGGAGGAAAATATTTGGATGCTTTGTGAATTACTGGCTTGCGATGAAAGGGCATATCAGGCTCTTAATGGAGGTGACATTTTCAGGTATGAGATACGCGGTGAACATTTCATAGCTGCCGTAAACCGATCCGAGAACCCAGGCCTTCTTCAGATTCTGTTACGTGCCCACGCGGAGTCGATACCATATGATGACCCGGACATTACAGCGTGGGCACTGAGGCAAGCGAATCATGGGTTCGGTCGATGGCTCCTGGGCTATCTCATTGAAGTGCCATCTCGAAGGCAGTGTGGAGTCACGCTCTTCACAGGCGGCTGGAATTCACGTCGCCGCCGTGGCGGACGTGATTATCCAAATGATCCAGGATGCTCCATTTGGTGGGCCGATTTTGAAAGATATGCAGGTCAAAACAATCTTATTTAGTGAGCACTGCTAAACTCCGGTCTCCCATGACATGGTTATGACATAAAAAATGATCGTGGTCACAGCATAATCTTTCTCTTTCAAATATAAATGCATTAGTCATTTCAGTTCTCAACAAAAACTGATCTAAAATATTGGATTTAAGAGTGCAGAATTTCAAGAGCATTAGGAAGATATTGTGTATAAAAGCCGGGGATGAGTATCGATTCTAAATGAGAAAATGGTCTCTCATCATCATGATCGAGTCCATTTTTTTTACTTAGCCCTGCTCATCTGCATCAGCACTGCTTCGAAGAATACAGGATGGAGCAAAATGTACGTGTACAATACATCCACATTAAGATTTGAATTCTGAGCCTCGGCCGCCTGTTAACGGCAACGGTGTGGCCCAATGTTCTGTTGACGATACCACACAAACGTAGAGCTGCCAGTCGCGCGTCATGCTGTGTCCCATCAACTAGCGATGTTCCTTAGCCCATTCCCTAGAATTTTTACATACTGGTATTTTCAGCCGAAAATAGAAAATCTACCTATTCCTCTAATTTTCATTTTTGCGTATCTGTACCTTTTTCCAAGCCTCGCCATGCAGCCAGAACCATAACCCAGCCGCCCTTGCAGCATCAATAAAAATCCCGGGCCACCCACCAGCCAGGCCGAGACCTCTTTGATATACCCAGCCCGCATGCTCTCAACAGCGTTTTAAGAGAGCCAATGACGAGAGGCAACAAATGCGTTATTATCCCGCATGTTCTCCGTACACATACGTATACGTATGCAACAAGTACTGGTATTTCATACGTTCCTCAAGGGATGGCTCGTATTTTCGCTTGCCATGCACGCAGCACTGCGAATGATTTTTTTTTTTTTTTTTTTTTTTTTTTTTTTATCGACTTCCATTTCATCCAAGCCAGCTGGTTAGCTTTTTATACTGATTCACTAACTACTAGTATATCTTCGCGATGCAAAAAAAAAAACAAGAAATGAAAAAGGGGAGAAACGGGGGGAAAAGACAAGGAAAGACATTTATTTAGATATATATGATAGATATATAACATGAGCTTCTCCAAAAGGAGGCGATATCATCCCACTCCCATCCATTTGATAAAAAACACTTTTGGCTTTAACTTCTACATCAATTTATCATTGCAGAATCGTAAAATTTCATCATTGGAACGACAGGAGAAATCCCTCAGCCGTAAATGAGAAAGGAAAGAGAGGGGAGAAAAAAAAAATAAAATAAAATAAACCAAACCAACCCTAAACCAACCCACATTAACTGCGACTTGAGTAAAATTTAACTTCCAAAGATTTCCCTTTTCCTCTCCCTGTGTTCATATCTCGCCATGAGGGCTTTGATATTGTGGTCCGCCGGAACCTCCCCCTTGCGATCTGTGAACAAAATCCTCAAAAATGGATCATCGTCCGACGAGCCCGCATTTCTAGCAGCTGCGTGATAATGCGTCCGGCGAGCCGGCCACGGAAACGCATATCCATAATTCTTAGCACGGATGTGCATGCCCAGTATGTGCTTGAAGGTCTCTAGGTCACGCGCATCAATCACCTGTCGTAACACAGCCTTGGAACGCTCGCGTCGTTCGTCTTCGTCGATGTATGCTTCTGTAGATAGCAGGGTGAGGAGTTCCAGTTTCTCGGGCGTCCAGGGTGGGCGCAGGAGGCGATCAGGCATCCGGCAGGGTTCACGGATACTGCATGAGGGGAGACGGAAGACATCTGTCTCTTGTAAGATGGGACTGCGTTCGCGGATCTGGACGGAACCGAAGTTGAACCAGATGGCTACTTTACGCGATTCTCCGTGCGTGGCGCGGGGTATTGTAGCACCCGCGCTAATGCTCACGCTGGCGTTAGTGATAGGTGTGGGTGCTGGCGTTAGAGACGTGAATATAGATGATGTTGAGTGGTCGTTCTCCGGCTGTATCAGTTTGTGTTTGGGTGGTGCTAGCGGTAGTCGGCCCTCGACAGTGAGATCACCACTACCCCGGCTCCCTGGGGGTCTGGGGTCGAAGCGGTCCATGGACTGCCAGTAGGGCTTGAGATTTTCCAATTTCTGGCGATCGGCGCAGGATATTATAAGGTCTTTGCACTTTTGGCGGATAACATGTTCTACGTGCTCCCGCTGACATTTGCGCATGAGAGATAAGGTGCACCACCGGCATTTGAGGATTTCGGTTTGAAGAGAAGCTCGTTGCGAATTAGAGAGAGAGAAGTAGTCGAGTGGAAGGTAAGGTTTTGTGAAGAAGCCAGTTCGGGCAGACTCATTGTTGCTGCTGAATGCTAGGCGGATGAGCCAGGTATGGATGACGTCGTTGGACAAAGCGTGGGCGATGGGGAGAGACGCGCGAGGGAGATTAATTTCTAGACATTCAAAAAAGATTTTTTGGATCAACTCGATCGGGAGTCGTTCCAAAGGCGCTTTTCGCAGCGAATGACGCCGGTACTGATGATGTCCCGGACTATCAGCACTGGGCCTGGGCGAGCCCCCTATTGTCGGATTCATTGGAGGCAGTTGCCCGAAAACCACGCAACCTCTGACCGCGGAGATGGGATGTCGTGCAGAGACATCCGCCAGGAATGTCTTTGAACAGTTTTATCCGTTTTGTATCCAGTGAGGGAAAAAGGCGCAAGCTTATGCTGAACGTCTCAGAACAGCTAATTCCGGCGGTCAAGTCACTGCGCCGTGTTGATGAGCCAATGCAATGGCTTATTGCCTATCAGAACGCATTACTTTCACCATTCAAAGTGTCGCAGGGGAAACAGTTGAGCAAAAGAATCGAATCAGAAGCAGCGTGGGAAGTCGGTTTTGAACTCCGTGTATGAATTTGCCTTTGCGAAATGCGATATTTTTATAATTTTCGTCCGCCTCCGTAGAAAGGGACCGAGAGCGTTCAATGAAAGCGGATCGGACTTCGTTGAAATGTAGATCCTAGTCTGTTTTGCATGTATGGCGTATTATTGAAGTACCCAGGCTTGTTGTTGCGTATTTTGCCTTCATATCAATTGAAGTGACAGGATATGACTAGTGCTAAGAAGAGGGGGGATTAGCCCAATATGTAATCTGTACGGAGTACTTTAATCAATATATAAATTTGTATCCGGGTCGTCCACCAGCCATTTGCAGGGTGCAGAACAAGTGATCGGGATATAAGATACCTGCTGGGGATGCAGCATTTTTAAAACCCACGAGTTTTCATTTCCATGTACACTTTGCCGGAGGAATGCGACGCCATAAAAACGGGCGCTTGAGCGGGCTATACGTATCATATGCAACCTCTGCACAACCCGTGCTGTATGAGCGGGAATGACCTTCCTTATCAAAAGCTGATCGACCCAGAAAATGTTTATATATATCTGCGGCCATGTTGACGCATCCACGCCTGCCCCTCCAAACCCATCCGTCCCAAGCGAGGGGCGCCACCTTTTTGAAAATGGGAAAAAAAGCAAAGAGCACGGGAGGGCAACGGGACGAATAAGCATGCAAATGGCTGTGGAGACTTTGATTTGCGTAATCTGACATCCTTGAATTCCTTCGCTAGGGCAGGGTTGAGGGACCCAGAGAGATTTCTGAAGAGAGCTTATGACGACGAAAAAAAGGGTAAATTTTACTTGGTTCCCCCAGGATTTCACCCTCTTCTTGTCCGGCTGGATTGATCATGGACTGGGCGGTTCATGGAACCACCCAAGGCTATGTCTGTTTAGAGTTGGATAGTAAGTTTTGGACGAACAGCCACAACTCAGTGTACACCACCCATGTCGCAGTGAACGCCTGCTCAGCGACTGAAGGATGATGCCGAGACTCCTCCATGAATAGTGGTATCCAAAGTATCCGGGCCGTCGAAACAAGGATGCGCATCGGGCTCTTGAGCCAGCGAGATGGCTGAGCCGTTTTGAACGGGCGGCGTCTCAGTCTTGGGCTGCTATTAACCTATCACCTAGCGGTCGGGCTGTATACTGTACTTGTGATTGGAGCAAGCCATGATTCCCCCCCACGCGGATGGGTGAAAGTACCTCAGGATCGCATACCGCCTATTCAGAGACGACCTCTTTTAGTATCGTTATTGTTGGACCTGGTATAGTTGACCCCGGCTGCTGGGACGGAGCATTTGCCAGACCCCAAAGAATGGTTCATCAGCCGCCCTACGAACCTGACTGTCGGGTCCAGCTGCGTACTATGTAGGTTGGACCGTTCTGCTGGGAATCCGACAGCCAATTCGCCTTTGTTCGCAGCAAAAATGCCAGTTGAGGTTCCAGTGAGGGGGGCGAAAAAAACCTCTCTTGCCCTGAAGAATCCGTCCAGGCGGGATTTCAAGTGGCCAACACCGAATTTTCCACATTTCGATGATTGGCGGGTGTGAATGTTAGTAACTTTGGGGTTTTTGTAAATAACTACCCTGTCTATATCGCAAGCGTAACCTACACGGAGCGGTTTTCTCTTCAAGGCGGAAACTTTAAAATCCCTTCAAGCAAGCTTCAGGAGGACGTTGATGATAATTTCTCCCTCCAAGACTCCTAAAGAATTTGGCAATCAGCAAGGGCCCTGTTTAGGGGAACTATTTGACCCCACAGCATGCCTAACTAAAGCGCAATTTTATTTACTTCCCGTTAGGACCACGTTTACGCCTCGGCCTACAGTTGGATATTTCATCAATCTTACTACATGCAGCAAGGCTCTTAGCACGTCTCTGTGCGTCGCTCCATTGGAGAAAAGAAATTTCCCTTTGAACGGAAAGCGGAATGGACTGTTTTTTTTTTTTTTTTTTTTTTTTTTTTTTTTTTTTTGTGTCGTTGACCGCAGGCTTCGACATATCGCTGCCTTCATCTGAGCGACACATTCAACTCTGCAACGGATGTTGCTCATGGAATTCAGATTTCATACGGGGACGATCACGCAATGGATGGATTTGGGAAAGCCTCGTCGTATCGTTTACAAACCGAAAATGAGAGGCGGGTTCCGGTTCATAATTGTCTTGGGGCGCTGAGACGCATTCGTGAATATCTTGCGAGCGGCATGCCAAACTCGTAAGACTGTGTATCCTCTTGCATTCGTTCGAGCCGCGTGGCATTTGTCGGGATCTCGTTTAAGTCCAACTGGAACCGTGTTCTATATACAGTATATATATATATCTTTATCAAGATGTGAAAATAAATATAATGGAAGACTCAACACAGATCACAAGGAATTGTTCCCTATTGCGAAAGGGGCGCAAATAAATCCAAAGTAAGTTGCCATATTGGAGATGACAGCCTCAAATGCCCTCCGGGCTAGCCCCGTGAAGCAAAGATGGATTTGAGGCGATAGCGGGGCTAATTCTGCGATATAATATACCCATACACCCCGGGAAGAAGTATTGAGAATCAGCTGGGTATACTCCATGTAGTTGGGTCACTACGAGGGATGCTTGTTTCACACGATCGTTGAATATTAGAAAAAAAAAAATAAATAAATAATCAGTATTAATGATAATTCGAGGTTCTTGTAATAATTTTATTATTACGAAGTGCAGGTTCGTCTAACAATTGTTAGTTGATTGTTCCTGCTTTCCCGCCGAAGCCCTGACGGCGCCCAAAAAATAAATGAATCAAGCCAAATAAAATCGTCGTTGACTCTTTTGACTCTTCAAAATCGATATGCAATCTCCCCCAATCCCCCTTTCCTCTCTCCATTCATTCGTAGTTCTGCATATCATATGTGCTCATAACATTAAGGCCGCTTCGTGCGGTTCAAAATCGCAAGACATCACCACTAGGCAGAAAATCACAGAACGATATAATCGCATGACGCAATATCTAAGCGATGATATTAGTTGCTTGTTTTCCAGAGGAATGGCGAGGAAACGCAATCATAGAAGAAAAGGAGGCAAAAGTGTATCAGATATAATTTTGCCCTGTCAAAGGCGGTGATCATCAATGTATAGACTATGTTGACCGTCGTGATAAAATTGTGAAGAATCATCATGAAATAGTTGGGGGGAGGGCAGATAAATGGAAACAGAAGGTAAGCAGAATTACACACCTACATTGCAGAAGACTCTTACCCTAGCTGAAACTACTCAACTGTAGTGTGTCTTGCTCAGAGTTAGTGTCAGAACGGTAGTTTTCTTCACATAATGGCTGAACGTAGTCAAATCAAATCAGGTATGAGACGGTATCGTCTTCGTCGACAGAAGCCAACTTGGACATATGCTTGTCTATTTGATGTCATATATCATCATGAGGATATAAGGAGAGTTGCGGTTGATGCGACGTACGGTCAGTGGTGGGACTAAAAACACGCCTTGTCACCAGTCCAGCAGGCGCCTGCGTCAAGAGAGAGTTAGTGGGAGACCCATGAAGGAAATTGGATATTTTATTCAAATGGACAGATTATTTTCAGAAAAGCATGAATGGTATTAAAAAAAAAAAAAAATTGTCTGCATCGAAAACTCGAATAAGACTCGTCATCTAGGGAATCATCATAGAATGGATACGGATAGGAAGTAAAACTTGAAATGTTCGCGTACACACCTAACACGTCTAGATTTCTAGCCATATTTGCAATATACTCACCGGTTCTACAATGTTGAGGGAAGCATTAGAAATGAAGCTAGATATCGAGTTGTTCATAGCGGAAAATAGATAATAGAATTGAAGAATCAGTGGGCGAGGTTTTCTAGGCCTGCCACAAAGGGCATGTCCATCATAACCGGGTTGTGATATCAACACCGTCGGAGCCCAGTGCCATTCATCCTGGAAAGTATAGGTGGTGGGATGAAAGGAAATTGTGGCTAGGGCTCATACAGGGTGGAGCTCGTAGCTCCCATTAGGGTCAGCAGAAACTATTGTCTTCTGGGATCAGAGGCCCCACAAGCTCATCTATTGACAAGTTGACAGGTTAGCGGATGTCATCGAATTTCGATATATATTGAGGAAAAGTAAACGAGTTTGTTGAATCAGTAATAGCCATTTTGTATCGTCAAAAACCCGAAGGTCTCGGCCGGTAATTTCCAGCGTATATTATACAATAAATAATCATCATAGGAGAGTGATTTGAGTGCGATCTGGACAGGAGAAAGAGCGTACCATTGTAATTCCAGATGCGATGGGTTCGTGGTCAACGCGCTGTTGATCCTGTTTCAAGGTCAGCCTGAAAGTTTTCCAAAACAATAGTAGAGCCATAATCTCAAGGAAGAAACGAAAATAAATATAATATATCAGTCTGACGTGCAAAGCAGTTTCACACCCCTGAAGGGGTCAAAGACTCTAGTTTATGCGGTTGTGCTAGATCATCACCAAAATGGAAGATAAAAGCAGGCTTGATGACCAGAGGGAAACATACCAGGTATGTGGTAAGTAATTACAACACACGACAAGAGCCGAAGAAGCACATGCACAGCTTTAGCAGAGCCATATGGATTCTCCAGGCCCAATTGTTGGGGGAGCATCGGTTGAGTTCAACAGTCGATGTTGGGAGAGGAAGCTGAGAGAAAATAAAAAATTCGAGCTTTTCAATGGCGCCGCATACCAAGACACCTTTCCTGATACGGTTTAACTTACCACTGGCTCCTGGAGGTTAGTAATTCTCACCGTCCAGGATTTGAGCTTCATTGATTTCCCCCAACATCCACGAGTCAAGTATTAATTATCACGTAGTATTAACTAACTACTGAATTAGGAGTCAATGTAATTATATTTCAAGTCACTTTCCGCTACCACTGTAGCTTGTAGCGGTCAACCAGCTCCAGGAGTAAAACAAAACGGTCCCAGAACATTCAAGGAGGGGCAAGCTTAAGCACAGCGTCAACTCACCCACCCAGAGCGACGTTCACCCCTCATACGGAGTACTCCGTACATTGGGCGGCATTCTCTTCAAATCAATGACTATTAGCCCATTTCCCCTTCCTGAGCCTGGCCGTTTCGAAATTATCATGAAGTGTAATTTAGCTGACCACCACCACCACCACCGCGGTTCACCCGCACCAACCTTTTCGTCGGTTGCTGACAATATGATGATTAATTTCCAGATTTGCTTTCATCATGAACTCAAAACCGGCCGCAGGTGGGGAGAGCCGGCCGGACAGGCTCCGAAAATAACCCGGATGAGCTAGAGTGGTCGTTCCCGTTGGAACCATCGCAGATGCACCAGGCTCATCATGGCGGGGTCCTGAATTGTATCGCGATGAGGAACGGCCAGCAGAGTATTATTGAGTAGGGAGGACAATACACCGGTGGGGTGCACCACAACACAGGCTACAACAATACATACATCGTAGGAGGAAGCAGATGCGGTCCCTGTCCCTGTCTCTGTCCCTGTTCTCCTGGTTTCGTGTGGTGGTGTGGGAGTCCGGTTGTCCACGGTAACGGACTGGGTTCTTGCTGGGGACGGTTTGCCTGGGTTTTCCGCGCTACATGAAACCTCGGGCGGCCGTCTCCATCTGTATATAAAGGAGGCAACTAACTACGCCGGGATAACAATAATAATTGGATGTCAATTGACCATCTGACGCTGCTCCGAGGTCTGTCTGCTTTGCCCTTTGGCCTTTATTCTTTACTACATCATCCAACTTTTCCAGTTCGTTGCGATTCTCCCTTCCCCTCCTCATTTACCCGGGCATAACACTCTTCTTTATTCCATCCATTCCCACAGACAGCTAAATTTGTTTACATTCGTTCTCCGAATTACTGTCTCTTATCCCTTCGTCCCATCTCAGTCTCAATACTTGTGTGTGTGTGGGTGTCTCTGTGTTTCTATTCTTCCAACAGATACTATAGATCTTTTTAGACAAAGAAAAGCTATCACCAAGCTCCTCCTCACTTCCCGACCTTTTTTCGTCCGCCCAGAATATACCGGAAAGAAATTCGTCAATATGGTCGCTGCAAACGGCTCCTCTAATCCGCCCGTGGGCCAGGAAAAGATCAACACCGACATCATCTCTCTCACACGCTTCCTGACAGAGGAGCAATCGAAACACCCTGAAGCAACGGGCGACTTCACGTAAGTTGATACATTCCGCCTCTTGTCAGGAGGGCTGAATCAGATTAAACTCCCCCTGGATTTGCGATTCAGTTCTAACTTAGTGAATGATCTTTTTTCACAGCCTTCTTTGCCATGCGCTCCAGTTCTCCTTCAAATCCATCTCGTACTACATCCGACGCGCCACTTTGATCAACCTTACCGGCCTAGCAGGTTCCTCTAATACTACCGGTGACGACCAGAAGAAACTGGACGTCATCGGAAATGACTTGTTCATCGCGGCCATGCGCGGATCAGGCAAGTGCCGCATCCTTGTCTCCGAAGAGGAGGAGGAAGCCATCATTTTCAACGAGAGCCCCGATGCGCGATATGCTGTTGTCTGCGACCCGATTGATGGCTCCTCTAACCTCGACGCGGGTGTGTCCGTCGGTACCATTTTCGGCATCTTCAAGCTCCCAGACGAGGTTCTGGGCCCCAACAACACCGTCACGGCCAAGGATGTCCTCCGTCCCGGCACTGAACTCGTCGCCTCCGGCTTCACCATGTACGGCGCCTCGGCTCAGCTTGTCATTACCATGAAGGGCGGCACGGTCAATGGCTTCACAATGGATGCCTCTCTGGGCGAGTTCATCCTGACTCACCCCAACATGCGTCTCCCCGCCAAGCGCGCGATCTACAGTGTCAATGAAGGAAACTCCTTGTACTGGGATGATTGGGTGCTCGAGTACTTCAAGGACCTGAAATACCCGGCTGACGGCAAACCGTACAGTTCCCGATACATCGGCAGCATGGTTGCTGATGCGTACCGGACACTGCTGTACGGAGGAGTCTTTGCATACCCCGCCGACAAGAAGAGTCCCAAGGGCAAACTGCGCATCCTGTACGAATGTGCGCCTATGGCCTTGGTGTTTGAGAACGCGGGAGGCCAGGCGCTTAATTCGAAGATGGAAAGATTGCTTTCCCTCTCCCCAGAGCATATCCATGACCGCAGTGGCGTCTTCTTGGGCAGCTACGACGAAATTGAGAAGGTGAAGGCGTTCCATCAGAAGTATGCCAAATAAGTTGGGTGGTTTTCCCCCCTTCGTTTTTCTCTCCTTTCTTCCAGATGTTTTAATCCAGCGTTGCCCAACAACTTTTTATTCAATTTTTATTTTTATTTTTATGTTTATTTTTGGCTTTCTCGTTCCGTCTAACTTCCATCATATTGAGAATGACATTTTGCACAGAACAAAATGTTTCTATAAATGTAGCTAAGCTAGCTCGTATATTCTTCATGTAAATAGCACCTAGCGATAATGAGATATACAGATACACCTCTCTCTGATATTCTCCTCTAATTCTCCCTAGGCAGTGAATGATCTCCTTGGACAACCGAAGGCCAATCCTAATTGGAGAAACCAAAGGTTTGTGGCGTCTCTCAGCTCATTTCTCGGGCTACCTAGGGACTGACAATCCATGCACATGACTAGTTGTTTAGTTAACTAACTATTTCACATTGTATGACATCATCCAGGAGCTCTGATAACGAACTAGTTAGTTAAACGTACGAATTATGTATCTATCCACTTTGGTTTTCCGACCTCGCAGCCTCCGGTTACATGTCACTAGATATTGCCCCAAAGCAAATGGGGGCTTGAATATAAATAAATGATATATTTGCGTGAGTGTCCGCCGTTCACTGCTTGCGGCGGCGGCGGCGGAGGAGGGATGCTGATTACTCCTTGTTGTCGAATGGGGTGGTACAAAGGGATGATGATTGCCCGGCTCAGCATGGGGTTGTGGTATAATGTGATAATACGCTTTTGTTTTGCACTGCTCCCAATAGAGCTCACGAAGCTAACATTTCCTGTTTGGATTTGAAGAACTTAATGTACGCAGCCTATGTGCAAGTACGTGCTTTCATATGCTGCGGGGATTAAGTATTTAAGTAAGATAAATGCATTTCATTTCGTTCAGTTCGCAGCGATGGATACAAGAGCACAAATCTCTTCTATGATCTTCCATCCCCCATGCATTATCAACATATCATATCCAAGCCCTTCCGCGCTCCATAGTTCGATGCCATTGTAAGTAGCAGTCATTTCGCAGTCCTTTCAACGTCAGTAACGAAACCCCGAATATATAACCACCTTCAAATTAACACCTAAAGTTAAGTTCCGTATAAGGAGCAGAGCAGAAGCTTTCCTTTTTGAGTCTATATATCAGCCTCGAGGAACCAAGGCTGAAATGGCATTTTGGGGCCAGCTGCCCAAGCAAGAAACTAGGCTGATAATATGTTTCTGGCATCCAGGCCCGACAGGTGGAAGTATGGCCCACAGCGCCATCCCATCCCGATATTCGAACCGTTAGATTATGATGTACGACGAATCTCAGTATGAAGAAGAAAAAAAGTATAAAATAAAAAGCGTTGTCAAACAGGTTTGGCACATTCAACCGAGTAGTTTCATCAGAAGGTGGGAAGTTCCTAAAGCCAATGGTGCCCATCTCCCTGTCAACACCATCTGGCATTGATTTGGCCCGTCGGATCGGCCTTAAAAACGGCGTGGAAAATTGTGAGAATTGCTGCCGTGCATCCAGATGGGCGTAGCTCAGGGAGAAAAAAAACATCATCATGTGCTTGTACCCTGACCCCCGAGCGATGACTGAATCTTATTCCCCGCTGTTCTGTATTGTTCGTCGATTACCTGGAGGCACACCTCCGCTTATTCATGCGATATTCATTGGCTGTCATTGTCCTCAGCGCGACCAGCTTGGCCTGGGGAAAAGAGGCAGCGGGAGCACGCTAGACTATATATCGACTAGTGGCCTACTCTGGCTGCGGATTATCTTGGAAACGATCTCGTCATAGAATACCGGGTAACTTACAGCCCGTAATGTTATGGATGCAATACCTCGGCCGAGTGTGGTCTGTGTAGCTTGGGAAGGGATGAAGATGGTGACGACGAATAAACCCGCCGCCGTTCTGCTC